TATAACTATGAAGGAATGTTATATGCAGTGCGGTAATTTAATTTAATTCTTATAACTGTTGATTAAACTTGAAACAAATTTGGCAATTTTGTTTTTCCCTCGACAGGAAATCCTTTACGAAAACCTACAATACCTCAACGTCTTTCCAATCCACGCATGGGCAGAAATGAAAAGGGATGCCAGCCTGCTCGCAGGTCCTCCATCCTATATCAGTGAACAAACTCTTGCCGTGAGGAAGTTCCCGAGGTTCGCGTGGATACATGAGGATATGTTGGAATGTAGCGTGAATATCAAACGGCGTAGTTAGAACATGTCTGTTCCTCTGTATATTCTCGTAAAGTTTTGGATAGACCTTTTCAAACCACTCCGGTAAAGTGACTGACAGAAACGGTAGCCGTTCCTCCATGCGTCCAAGGACGGTAGAACGTACGAAACCGTATCGTAAACCATGATCACCAAATAATATAAGTATGGTGTTATTGAGGTAACCTTCAGTTTTGAAATACTTTAAAAACGATAAAAGATCATCTTCAACCAACGATATGAAATTGAAATCTTCGTGATGGCAAAAGTCGGAGCTTATTTGAAAACCAAATTTCAATTGATTGGGATACGCTTTGAAGAAGCTTTTTATACTGTTGAAGCTGATATTATAAATGGCCTCCGAACCAAGGCAATGTCCCTTCAGATAACTCATACCACCAACCATCTTTTGGTACTTCGTCGAGAGTCTATCCAACGCTACGTACCATAACGGTAGAAGGTAATGGTCGATTGGCGGTTTGCAGAAACTTTTAAGACGTGTGGTAATAGCGCCCCAGAAAACCTCGTCTTCATTGTAAAATGTTGCGTAGCCATGCGCACTCATGTCTTTGAATATCCATGGCCAACGATCTAGGCATTTGGCAGAAAACTTCCTACAAGAAGAAAAATTTTGTTTAATACTTCACTTCACTTACAAATGTAATTACATGGTTTTATTAACAGCAGCATTGGAATCATTTGAATGGTAAGTAACAGTTACTCATGATTACGTCATCATGATTACGTCATTAGGAGAAGTCCAGGTGTAGTGATCATCTCTAAATGTGGATCATCCTGGTTAGCGAAGTCCCGAGGACTATTGCTGTTAGGACTGTTAATGATTTTCACTATAGATATCAAAATGTCAGTAAACACCAACACTAGCAGTCCTTGTGACAATCTACATCTACAAATATACTATATATATCTAACCCTCTTCTTCCTTCAGGCAACTCATCAATATGTTGTCCAACCAGCATTGCTATCAATGCTGCAGTTGTTCCATCACCAACAATGGATTGCGCGTTGAATATTTGTGATTTCAAATCATTCTTAAGGTACTTGTATATCGGATCTAGCTTTCGTTGAAAGTGTGCATGGGAAGTAGAATCTAAGCCCACCATCATAATGTTCAGTGGTATTCCTGGTTTCTTTTGAGGAACTCTGTTTAGTATTTCATCACGAGAATTCACTTCCATGTGAAATTCTTTTTGAATTTTATTATCTGTTTTGTGAATCTCGACATACACCATGTCTTCGTTAAGGATCACCTCTGGCTTTGATGGTGTAAGGGTGCCTTTTTCCTTGACATTAAACCATTCTCCAGAGTTGCTACGTCCTTTAATAACTTCATATTCTGCTTTGATTGCTCTTAATCTTCCAGCTAGAAAACAACACTTATCCATGAGTTTTGGGAACATCATGGCACAAGTATGTTCATAATTTAAAAATTTTTACACAAAAATATAACAAACAAAATTTTTACCAAACATAAGTTATGTAAGTGCACAATATGTGTAAATGGAGAAAATGGGGACCCAGGGATGTATGAAAGGATAATTAGAGGCTTATGCAAATATGTATAGAACACTATAACTCTTTATCCTTGATACACATCGAAAATGGTGTTGTGCTTTTTACATATTGCAGTTGATTGTTTTCATATATCTTTGATGTTTGATGTATTCTTAGTTGTTAGTACCAACAAGTAAAAGTGGTTTTTTAAACAGGTGCTATTTTTATTTTTAATACCTAATTCTATGTATCAACTAAAATATTCACTATATGCATGTGACATGTATAGACTTCCTGTTCAAAATGTTTTTTTCCTTCATTGCTGGACAGAACTTTGACAAATCAAGTTTTTGGCTGAAGATCACAAGCTAACCATAGAAACTTTATTCAAGCAAATTACTGAGATGAATGAACTTTAAACATACCTGCTGTTAGCGTCAACTTTCCATTTCTATAAAATGTCAAGTTTTTTTCTCCTTTGCAAACCAGAGGCTCCACTTTCTTTACCATTTTCATGACAGTAGAATCAAATGGGTCAATGTTGGGAATATTGCATATCTTGTTTGATGTTTTAGTATTCGCTTCTTCCCTTCTTTCCTGAAAGAAAAAATGAAATAGATTTCAAAATAGCAAATACCATGGTGAATGGTGATAATAACAATGTAATAGTTCTTAAAAGAACTGTTTTATTGTCGATTTCAGTTAACTTTTCAAATGGCGGTTGCCAAGTTACTTTCTAATGTTGCCAACTACATTTCCAAATATGGAATATTCGTTATGAACTTGCCAACTTGAGTTGACAAGTTGTGTACTTGAGTACTGAAGTTTGAACTTTAGTACTGAAGTTGTGAACTAAAGTTGCGAAGTACTGGCAAAAGCAAAAGGTCTTTGTACCCTGTAGACATTTGGCAATGAATCCGTTCAGTTAGCAAGGAAAAGCTTAAAGCTATTTCATTTCTTACTTCTATTGGTAAAGCCTTTACCAATAGAAGTAAGAAACGAAATACTTTAAAGGTGGTTAAATAACCAGCGTTTGACAAACATTTTGAAACAACTAAATCTACCGTATAAGACTATATCAAATATAATAGACAATAAAGTCGTACACAAAAAGTGCACGTTAAATTACGTTAAATACTTGAAATGTGGTTAAATAACGAGCGTTTGACAAACATTTCAAATATAATAGATCTATGGGTAGACACTGGTTCTATTGCACCTCGCCAGAGCGAACGTGATGTTCGAACCACGCGTACAGATGACGTTATTGCATACACTGAATATCTAAAAATTAAGACACCATCTATTTACGCTAAAGAGATTCAGCAACACATAGAAAATAACAAAGTTTGCCTTCCAGCAAACGGATTAGAATTGCTAAAGCTTTTCCTTGCTTACTGAACGGATTCGTTGCCAAACGTCTACAGGGTACAAAGACCTTTCGCGTTTGCTTGTACTTCGCAACTTTAGTTCACAACTTCAGTACTAAAGTTCCCAACTTCAGTACTCAAGTTCCCAACTTCACTACTCAAGTACACAACTTGTCAACTCAAGTTGACAAGTTCATAACGAATATTCCATATTTGGAAATGTAGTTGGCAACATTAGAAAGTAACTTGGCAACCGCCATTTGAAAAGTTAACTGAAATCGACAATAACCAAAACACTAACCAAACAATTCAAAGGAACCGTTATTTACGATCGTGACTAAAACACCACACGTGTACATACGAGTACATACGAGTACACACGAGTAACATACGAGTACATACGAGTAACATACGAGTACATACGAGTAACATACGAGTGACATAGGACTATTTTCTGGTCAACAAATGAGAAACAACACAATTTCTTCAATACATTGATATTTACGTTTATTTTTCCTTGTATTTGTGTGGACTTTGGGGCAACCATTTGATGGATTTAAATGCTGAAAAGGTATTTTACTTTCATACTACATTCATTTGTATGTTTTAGTTGAATTTGTTATAGATATTTTGTCGATGCGATTTGCCAGTATTTGAGCGCTTTTTGACATAATGTAAACGTTTTACGTAAATGTTGATATTCAAGAAATAGCGTAAGATTTATTGTTTATAGCTATAGTTTAATTCAGTTTAAATATGGTAATATTTTTTAGAAAACAAAGTTCATTTTCATCGTTGATTTTATTTTAAAAAGTGTAAGAAGTAAAAATTGCAAAACAGATCGTAGTGAGTATTTACAATGGCGAAACAGTTAACTATACTTAGCCATTCGGGGAAATTCGTGAATTTTGGATCCTTATCTATAAAGTAAATGGTTTGAACCCGGGAGTATCGTTACATGTTTGTAAATGTAGATCGTCCAGGTTGGTATAGTCCTGAGAAGGACTGTTTTTGTTGTTGTTGACTGACGTTTCGACAACCTTAGCGGTAGTCATCTTCAGAGTCAAAATAAATGTATAATCGCTTTCATAAATATGTATTTCCTAGGTGAAAGTGTGTCAAAAAGCGCTCAAATACTTGCAAATCGCATCGACAAAATACCTATAACAAATTCAACTAAAACATACAAATGAATGTAGTATGAAAGTAAAATATCTTTTCAGCATTTAAATCCATCAAATGGTTGCCCCAAAGTCCACACAAATACAAGGAAAAATAAACGCAAATATCGATGTATTGAAGAAATTGTGTTGTTTCTCATTTGTTGACCAGAAAATAGTCGTATGTCACTCGTATGTTACTCGTATGTACTTGTATGTTACTCGTATGTACTCGTATGTCACTCGTATGTACTCGTATGTTACTCGTATGTACTCGTATGTACTCGTATATACTCGTGTGGTGTTTTAGTCACGATCCTTAAAACTCTCGGTGATATTTTTTGCATGCAATGTGGTCTTTATATTCTCAAAAAGAACTATTCTTCCACCCACTCCCAAAGAGTCTTTCCCTGCTCAAATATCAAGCAATGTAGTCTACGAGTTTAAGGGGGTGTTTACATGAATCCGGAATGACTTTCGATCCGGAATGAACTCATTCCACTTTAAAAGAAATCCTATTGCATGTTTACATGAATCCGGAATGAGTCACAACTCGATCCGGATCGAGTTCATTCCTAGTTTCATTCCGGATCGAAATTTACTTTTTATCTCATGTAAACGCGAACTGAGTTTCATTCTGGAATGATATTGTGATTAATGACGAAGCACGCATGTGCCATGGGTATTGTCTTCTGGCAAATTGAAGCTCGTAAGTAAATAAAGAGGCTAAATGGGTTAAAATGAGTGCGAAGAAAAACAACAATTAGTTTCATGTAAACACGGATTGACATCACGTTTCGATCGGGATTGAAAGTCATTCCGGATTCATGTAAACACCCCCTTATTCTGATGAAAACTTTAGAATTATTAAAAAATGTCGCAATTAATTAAATTGACTCATCCTGTCCTTTGCCGACAAAAGAATTACGTGTTTAATCTGTCTCTGTTTTAAGTGTTATCTCTAAAACTAGGGATGACATTGACCTTTTGTAACGTTATAAATATAGCATGGTTTGGAGGTTTTAATTTAGCATACGTTGACACCTGACGAGAAGTCGGCCGAAATGCATAGTGTCTCTTTCTAGCTGTAAATAACGGTTCCTTTGAATTGTTTGGTTAGTGTTTTGGTTAAAACACTTCTTTTAAGAACTATTACATTGTTATTATCACCATTCACCATGGTATTTGCTATTTTGAAATCTATCTTTAAGTTTGTCACCACGACAAAGTCTCTGTTTCATTATTTAAAAAATGAAATATTAAAAAACACGATTTAGCACATGTCAACTTACTGATGTGAACTTAGGTAAACACCTTACCCTCACCGGCGCACATTCGTCTGATTCTTTCAACATCAAAAGGTCTTTATATTCATTTTTGTATGTGGTGACAATACCAAGTGAGAATTTCGGTTTGCCATTTTTACCACGCTTGAATGTGGCCGTTTTCGTTCCGAAGTTATAAGTCACTCCGAAACATTTACTTCCCATGTTGAAACACATCATTAAGGCTTCTTCGGTTTCTATTGTACACGAGTCGTTAGATAGGGAGCTTGTACAATGGAAATCCGCCTGTATTATGTCTAAATTATCCACCTAGAAATTCGCGTGATATTATTAAATTGATTGTTGTTTACATTTAACACTAAATATAAACTCACCTTCACGAAATGCTTGTCGTAGTTGTTGTAATAGTCAACGCTGTATTGTATCGATTTTAACAAGCAATATACTGCTATAGCGCCGACGACTGTTCTCGCATTCAGTTGCTGCCGGACATTACGAATCAAAAATGACTTCATCGGTTTTAACATGTTCTCCCGAGCTAGAGCAATTTCTATTCGAAGCGAAGAGGTTTAAGCTTCGAATACGCAAATTTTGAAGAGACGTTTTTGGGTCCTTGCTTTGGTGATAACAAGAGTGGATTCTTGTAAATTTTCTTACACTCGACCAAGGAACCCTAACTGAGTATTGTTGTGTAAATCAATTTGTTATGCATCCCTCAATATCAAAAGCTTTTGAACGGCAAAAATGAAAGTGTTTCGCGTCGACGTTTTGTCAACACAGCTGTGTGGAATGATTTTGAAGCATGTTGATCCGTTTATGTTGTATTTTGGAAAGTGAACTTATTCGCTAGAAGTGAAATTCTAGGATATTGTCGACTTGTTGTCACTTCTCATATATGCAGCAACTTCTTTGTTTTGTTTTTCTGACTCTGTCTGGCAGAGACAGTGTCATAGAATAGAGAATATATAGAAGGGCAACTCGCGTCGGTAACCTCTGATGTAAGCGTGGCGCGCACTTTGTTTTGAAGCATGTTGATCCGATTTATGTTGTATTACGGAAAGTGAACTTATTCCCTAGAAGAAGTGAAATTCTAGGATATTGTCGACTTCTTGTCACTTCTCATATATGCAGCAACTTCTTTGTTTTGTTTTTCTGACTCTGTCTGGCAAAGACAGTGTCATAGAATAGAGAATATATAGAAGGCAACTCGCGTCGGTAACCTGTGATGTAAGCGTGGCGCGCACTTTGTTTCGCGCATACCGGAAATGTGACGGCCGCCATTACTCAGGCCAATGAAGTGTACAACATTTACTATGAAAATATATGGAGTGGAAGCCGTAAAGTGGGTTAAAATGTAGATTTTGTGAGCTGTTGGCTGTTTTTGGCATCTTTTTGAAAGAAATTGAAATAAAAAGGCAAGTATTTTGTATATATCATGTAAAAAATGCATTTATGTAGTATATTTATAGCGAAATTCAGTCGGAAAGCTTGAACAGGTTCTGGAGGTTCACAAGTCCTGAGGACTTAAATGAACTTGGATGTATTACATGTTAAATATATTATTGTGATATAAAAAGCTTTTGTTTTCAATTTAGTTTTATAAGGGACAAAAAATTATATGCACAAAGCCCTCAAAGGTGTGTGACTTTAATGTACTTTCTGTCTTTCTGTTTAGTTGTTGCGAATATTCGGTTCGCAAATTTTATGGCGTAGTAAATGCGCATTCTTACGAAAAGTTTCTGCAAGAACTCAAATGGGAATTCCGTACAGCAATCAAATTCCTTTGGTATGGACTTGACGGTGTCTAATATACTTCGACCAACACCTTCGCTCTTTGTGTAGACAGAAAACGTCTTAATAAATGTGTCTTCAAGTTTGATGATGTATTCCAGATAAGGAGAAGATGGTGATTGTAGTCCTCCTAAATCAGATTTCTTTTCATCGAATGCTTTAAAGTGGCAGAATAACTTTCTGCTATCATCCAGTTCTGTAGATGAAAGAGCATTGGTGCATTTCAGACAAGAGTGGAGTTTGAAACTCTTCATTACAAGAAAACCAGACACATATGCAATGGCATTTTCCCTCATTATGTTAGTAACAAACATTTGGCTCCTTGTAGTCAGTAGGACCAATTGCTAAAATTTGTGGTTGCGGAGGTGGAAAGACTTGAACCGTTTTCTTCTGGCTGACTTTATTCTTTGCAACATTTTTGGAATACTCAACCAGCATAGAGTCAAGGTCGTTGTCACAATTTCCAGATGAACAGGTTAGAAGGGAACTGAAGAAAAGCTTTCTAAATGCTTGCATAAATTGGGTTGGAGTGGGGTTAGGGTTAGGGTTAGGGTTAGGGTTAGGGTTAGGGTTATATCTAATTTATCACTACTGCCTCCCTGGCAACGAATAGTACCAAAAAATTTTCTAGTGGGTCAGTATTTAGTCGTCTGGTAAAAAGAAACTTAAACTGATGCACTGATCGTAATGTTTCCCATATCGAGATGATGGCTTTAAGTGTCACTAACCAGCCATGCAGACACTTAACTCTACCAGTGACATCTTTATTCCCTTGGAACACTTTCAATTTTTTGATGAAATTGTAAAAAATATGAAATATGTAAAAAATTGTGAAAAATATGTACAAAATAACAGCAATATAATAAATATTATATTTTCTTAATGGTTACAAGGCTAAAAACATGTCTTTGTCGTTAAAGATTTACATGGTGCACAAAAATCTTTAACACAAAACAATTTAAATTTAGAATGTGTGCATTTCATGCAATAGAATATACAGAATAAAATACAGCAATTCAGTACACATATTTACATTTATAAAATTTAATGACAACTTTATTCAGAGATGGATATAAGAGAGGGGTGTGCAGCCCTCCTAGCTTAAGCTAGATGGGGGTGCAGAAGAAATGCTAATTTCTCTATAAATATTGGTATACTAAACAATTAAGCTGAAGAAATTGTGATCAATGTTTAATAAAGCACCCTTACAAAAACCACCCAATCATAATAAAAACATAATAGAATTTAACAAACAAAGTTTAACATGCTACAGATACAAGTAGCCACTAAAATCTAATCCAACATACTAAACTACATAACACAAGACACTTGCAACATAATCCTCACTTGAGAACTGAATGCCAAAATAACAACTAGAAAAAAATATCAGAAAATCAATCATAACTATTGGTAATAAATTTAATAGAGCACAAATCACAGCAAGGCAAAATTTATAAATAAGGCAAACAGAGTGTATACCTCACTAAAACTACATTTGGTATTAAAAATGCCCAACTATTAACATATTAACATTTCACTCATGCTTAAAATGATAAACAAACCCTCCATGGTTTGAAACTGAATGTTGCAAATTATTATCAGTGTTATAATTCACACACAAGCATCATGAATCATTATTGGATTACTTGGTTAGCTGGTTGATTAACTTGATTTATAGTTTAGCAAGTTGGCAAGTTGCAACCTGAAATATTACAGCGTTGGTGCAAGTAAAACTCTGACAAGTTTGTGTTTTAAATAATACATTTATAATAACACCTCAAAAGTTTGAAATTTATAATTCAGAATGGACGAAAACGCTAGAGATTTTACTCCTGGACTCTATTCACCTAACATACTGACAACTCTATAGCAGTAAAATAAACACCCTACATTGAAACATGTAATTTTTACCAATAAAAAACCTTTACGGACTTGCCAGCAATTAAATAATGGTCTCTCACCTTATTCCTTTCACGTTTTGTCACAAAATTCCATGATCTTCCAAAACAGTTTGTGTTTTAGGCGATTATTATCCCAAAATCGCACTTTTCCAATATTATTTTATATTACGCCAGCGTCAAGTTACTGGCCGAGTAATGGCGGACCTAACGCATGCGCACAGAAAATATGCCACGCGTTTCACCTGCGAGTTGCCCTTCTATATATTCTCTACGGTGGTCCACAGGTGTCACGGCACAAACAAAATCTCACGGCACACACAAAACTTCTCACGGCACACAAAACTTCTCACGGCACGCACAACACTTCTCACGGCACACACAAAATCTCACGGCACGCGCACAAAACTTCTCACGGCACAAGAGCAGTATTCAAAGAGACTGGGACTGATAAACATAAATAAAATATGGCGGAAAACGAAGGCGAAAGTTCTTTTGAAAGTGCGAGATTTTGTTGTATGTGTGGCACAGAGCACAAAAGCAATGACAAATTTTGTGCACAGTGTGGAATACGTAAGTTATATCTAATTTTTCAAACAAATAATTGAAAAATATGTCAACAGTGGCGTAGTCAGCATGGAAGTTTTGAACGACAGATTGGGAGCCATACGTGCGGCTTTTTCGCAATGATTGTTTGAAATATTAATGAAATATTTCCATCACAGGACGAAATAAGTGGATTGGATACGCAATGGCCTGATAGTCTAGTAATGACTAATGTTAACTGAAAATACACGAGATACAAAAGCATTCCATTGATTCCAAAGTAATTTCAGAGCACTTAGTTGATTTAAAGTATATTCAGTGCTTTTCAATGACATGAATGCAGTAAATTAGCTACAAAACATCTTTTTTTCACCAGTGATGTTTTTAAAGGAAAAAAGTCCTAAGAACCGAGTGATGGTGCATTTTGCAGGAGAGGAAGGCATTGATAATGGAGCTATGGCAAAGGAATATTTTACAAATATCATGGACGAAATTGGAAAGAATGTTTTTCCAGATGGAAGCCCCCAAAATTCAATGCTCAGTGTCCACAACGGTACATTTTATTCATGTGGGCAAATTGTTGCAACTAGCATCGCCCAAGGAGGTCCTCCGCCATGTTTCCTAGAGGATTGTGTTTATGATATGCTTGTTCTAGGAAGTTTCAACATGAATGCACTTATTCCTGAAAAACATTTAACGTCTCATGAGCAAACACTGATAAAAAGCATCAAAGATAACCCGACTTTGATGCAAGATGTCATTTTGGAGCACGAGTACACTGGCAAGATCGATAAAGAGCATGTTGATGATATCATTGGTACTGTTATGGTTAGCATCGTCAGCAAACGTCTCCTCTATCTAAACAAGTTTCGTAGAGGTTTGGATCTCTATGGATTTTCGGCCTTATTGCAGGCTGAGCGTGATTTGTGCAAGCAGCTTTTTGTCAAAGGACGGTCTGAAAAACCAGCTGATGCTAACTATTTAGTATCATGTTTTGTGCCATATTATTCAGAAAAAGGAAGCTTGTGGCGTGTGATTGAAGAGGAAATGATTGACTTCTTTCAAGATGTGTTAATGAGTATGGAAGACCAGAATGTAACAGGCTATATAGAAGATCTGACATGGAATGATGGAGAAGATAGTCTTGGTAACATGCAAGACAACATGGAAAGGATCACTTCCCTGTCTGCAGATCTAACACCATCAGGAGTTCTGGGGTGGCTCACCGGACAAAAACATGTCCCTATTAATGGAGAAAAGTTAAGAATCGGAGTTCATTTTGATCATGATTGTATGGCACGTAATACCATGCATAAAATCTGTTTCCCAATCGTAGGATCATGTGGCAGAGACATTACATTACCAGTTGAGCATATGAAAACAAGTGAAGATTTCAAGCACGTTTTCATGATTGCCTACTGTAAGGGTCAGAGTTTTGGGAAAAAATGAAACTTGTCATTCTAAATCAGTAACACCTTATCAGTGTTATCAGATTATTATGGAATGGTTACTTTTTTGTTTGATTCACCCCAATGGCAACTTTTAATTTTACTTCTTTCAAAATTATGTACTTACCAAATGCTTGTTAGTGAGGAAACATTTACTATACACTTTGTTAATTTTATGTTAGCAGATAAATGTGATTGCTACCTACAGAAGATACTACCTACATTTTTGTATAAACAAAATATATTAGATTAATTTGTCTTATGGCCAGTGGCTAGTAGACGTTAAGTGGGGGGGTGAATATTCATATATTTACCTCTGCTTTGCTGATTTGCTTTGTTAGTGATTATAATTTAAAAACAAATCAGCAGGGCAGAGTTGAATATTTGAATATTCACCCCCCTCCCCACTTAACGTTCTAGCTTTGTGCCTGCCTATAGCTACATGCAGTCTGTTGAAATTGAATGTCGGCAAGTATATTTACTTTGCATAGTACTGAAGAGTATTGTAAAGCTCAGTTGCCTGTTTCCAATCTCTTGGCTTGTCGAGATCACAAGATTGTAACACGTAGTTGAAATATTCTTGGAATATGTTTTTTTTCACTTTCCACTATGTGTGATCGAGCATAATGAATTTCTGTAGAAGTAACTGACAGTAAAAAGTGATTGCCACCATCACATTGCTCAGGTAAATAATACAATGAGTCAGGTCTGCCTTTTACAGTATCATGACGTGATTTTCTGATATAATGGGTGTTCCATTGCTCTTTCACTTCGTCTAAAACCTTTTTTATCACATCCGAAAAGCAAAACCAAAGACACTCCATATCTAACTCTGATGAGAGATCAACTATCCTTTGATCCACTAGATCTTTAAAATAGTTTATCCACCAAGATGAGCACGAGTTTCTGAATAGTCCCCACCACGACTCGATTCTTTGATTTCTAGGAGATGGGACATAACGATGGCTGTCAACATCCCGGAAAAATGATTGAATGGCTGCCATTATTCCATTTTCAGTGCCTAAATCTGTCACCAGATCAACAGGACATCCACCAAAATGTTCGACAGCATCTAAATAAAAACTGGCTATATCACCTGGGTGGTTGTTGGATCTAGTTACTTTTAGCCAGAGTATCTTTCTACTCCACCCATCAATGCAACCATGTATTGGAAATCCGAAAGGCTTCATTTTATCATAGCCGTCACAATGCCAAGCATAATTTGGGCCTGGATTTCGGTATTCCCTTCTTTTCAAGCGATGTGCTCGTCTTCGTTCAGTTCCTTCGGGACATATTTCACGCAAAATCTCCTGAACAGCTACTCGAGGTACTTGTATGCCATTAAGTCGTAGAGTGTGCAAAACTGACCTATAACCCTGAAGACTGCCATGACCATCAACAATAGTTCGTATTGACTCTCTTACAGTCTTGTAGACCATATTTCTACTTGCCTTCTTCCTAGACCATATTTCTTTATTCTTCTCTTTAAAGTGCTAATGCTTAATTCTATGTCGTCGTATTTCTGTAAAAATCTTCTTATTTCTTCATAAGTAAAATCTCTATAAAAATAGTATCGTATTATATCTTCATCGTCAAACTCTTCATTTTCCTCAGCATCTAAGTCATCCATGTTTGAGGTCGTGAAAACATTCGCATGTATTTGAAATAGCCTATTTGAGAGTGATATTTTTGCCGCCGTCAGAAGAACTTTCGCCTTCGTTTTCCGCCATATTTCATTTATGTTTATCAGTCCCAGTCTCTTCGAATACTGCTCTTGTGCCGTGAGATTTTGTGCGTGCCGTGAGAAGTTTTGTGTGTGCCGTGAGAAGTTTTGTGTGTGCCGTGAGAAGTTTTGTGTGTGCCGTGACACCTGTGGGCCACCGTAATTCTCTATTCTATGTCCGCAGAGACCTAAAACGGAACCTCTGAATGCTTGTCCGCGTGAGCTCAAGTTTCAAACAATTGATCTAAAAATATTGTTTCCTAATCCAAGTCCATAAGTCACGTCCCTTATGATTGCAAATGGTATGAAAGCAGTAAAATCCACGAAATTCCTTTTAACACATGATAGTTTAATACAGGATTGTCTTTCCAATAGAATATAAGAGATGTGAATTTCAGTTCATCGGCTTTATTCGACGCTTGATCGGATATTTCAATGAATTCAATCAGATTGTTGTTTGTCTTGTCCATTCATGTTTTAAACAAACCAAAACTATTTCAATTTATTACCACAAGTTTAACTTGTGGCCTTGGTGACGCTTTTCAGGCTGTAACTTTCTGGCGTTATGTTTCTTTTCCGTATGGTTTCCATCAATGAACACAACTACCTAACTGACAGGGACTTAAATATACCACAGACACTTAATCTGGAGAATGTGGGATGCAGACTAGAGAGATTGCACATCATGGCTGCGCACAACTCGTAGCCTTGGATAGAAGGGGTGCAGGAGGGATGTCAAAATACTAATATTCCAAAATTCAAAAAACTAAGCAAAAGCAATTGTGATTTTAAAATGTTTAACGGCGCACACTTCCCAAAATCTACCAATCGTAATAAAAAGAATTTTTGTCATTTGAACTGTTGTCTTCCTCCGTGACTGCATGGTCAATTTTCTCATCTATACACCAGGGGAATTTCATTCGTATGCAAGACAAACATCCAAAAAGACGGTAAATTTGGTTTGAAATGTGCTAATTTAACTATTGTCTTTGGAAACGTTGGCTTCCATCACTGCCACATGGTATAATAACCTTTTGACGGTAATACAGCCATTTCTTTCGTTAATAATGTTCTTCGTTTCATTGAGAGATTCTCGATGATTCGCGCGGTTACATGTTAACAATATTAAATATGGATTTGAGGAAAACACGATTGTATGTAACCGAAAAGATCAAATGGTCAGTTTACGAATTTGAATGTTGAATTTCCACCGATCAAGTTTAATCAACCATTAATTTTCATCCACGAAGGGTCGCTAGGGATGCAGGAACCATATTCATATTGAGAACTACGTTTTTGAAGGCGTCGCTCCATGACAAAAGCATACTTCACGTAGAAACGGATGCGTTTTTCTTATGCAATCTGATTGGTCGTTGTATGCGTTGATTCGGCTAAGTTGTTGATTGACGTTTGGAATGCCGCTGATCAGTTGCACCGTAGACTCGTACATGCCGTTGTTTGGTGACGTTATCAGTTGGAGTTGATACATGCATCCTCCTGCGAGCGAAAAATGATGTTTTTAAGAATGTTTACACAGGGACTGCGAAAGATGGTTGATTGGGAGGAGGTGCTTCATATATGTTATAATCTGTAATCACAATCGATTTTCAAAGAAACTAATAAAGTGCAACATGTATATAAATAATATCCTCCCCCAGTTATCAACCTTCCGCGGTCCGTGCTGTAAACATCATTGAGCATGCGCATGGCCAAAAGAAGACTTCAAAAGTTTACCTTTGAGAATCTTGCTCATCGTGAACTGTCCACGATTCGTTTCCTCTTCTCCTCCTTTTGACGTGATGAGCTTCGCCGAGATGACTTCTTTCAAATTCAGTCGAGCGCATTTTGCCTCCACGCTATTTTTTGTCAATCTTTCGTTGATCATGTCAACTACAGCTGACGCACTTTTTTGTACGTCTTCATTATCGACCTGAAAGCATAAGTGAAACGGTGAGTGATTCTACGTATTCATAATGTAAAACTAAAATTCTTTTTTGATCACTTTGAGTTGATTGAATTTGAAACAAATTTTGCATTTTTGTTTTTCCCTCGACAGGAAATCCTTTACGAAAACCTACAGTACCTCAACGTCTTTCCAATCCACGCATGGGCAGAAATGAAAAGGGATGCCAGCCTGCTCGCAGGTCCTCCATCCTATATCAGTGAACAAACTCTTGCCGTGAGGAAGTTCCCGAGGTTCGCGTGGATACATGAGGATATGTTGGAATGTAGCGTGAATATCAAACGGCGTAGTTAGAACATGTCTGTTCCTCTGTATATTCTCGTAAAGTTTTGGATAGACCTTTTCAAACCACTCCGGTAAAGTGACTGACAGAAACGGTAGCCGTTCCTCCATGCGTCCAAGGACGGTAGAACGTACGAAACCGTATCGTAAACCATGATCACCAAATAATATAAGTATGGTGTTATTGAGGTAACCTTCAGTTTTGAAATACTTTAAAAACGATAAAAGATCATCTTCAACCAACGATATGAAATTGAAATCTTCGTGATGGCAAAAGTCGGAGTTCATATGAAAACCAAATTTCAATTGATTTGGATACGCTTTGAAGAAGCTTTTTATACTGTTGAAGCTGATATTATAAATGGCCTGCGAACCAAGGCAATGTCCCTTCACATAACTCATACCACCAACCATCTTTTGGTACTTTGTCGAGAGTCTATCCAACGCTACGTACCATAACGGTAGAAGGTAATGGTCGATTGGAGGTTTGCAGAAACCTTTAAGACGTGTGGTAATAGCGCCGTTGAAAACCTCGTCTTCATTGTAGTACGTCGCGTAGCCATGCGCACTCATGTCTTTGAATATCCATGGCCAACGATCTATGCATTTGGCAGAAAACTTCCTACAAGAAGAAAAATTTTGTTGAATACTTCACTTCACTTACAAATGTAATTACATGGTTTTATTAACAGCAGCATTGGAATCATTTGAATGGTAAGTAACAGTTACTCATGATTACGTCATCAAGATTACGTCATTAGGAGAAGTCCAGGTGTAGTGATCATCTCTAAATGTGGATCATCCTGGTTAGCGAAGTCCTGAGGACTATTGCTGTTAGGACTGTTAATGATTTTCACTATAGATATCAAAATGTCAGTAAACACCAACACTAGCAGTCCTTCTTGTGACAATCTACATCTACAAATATACTATATATATCTAACCCTCTTCTTCCTTCAGGCAACTCATCAAAATGTCGTCCAACCAGCATTCCTATCAATGCTGCAGTTGTTCCATCACCAACAATGGATTGAGCATTGAATATTTGTGATTTCAAATCATTCTTGAGGTACTTGTATATCAGATCTAGCTTTCTTTGAAAGTGTGCATGGGAAGTAGAATCTAAGCCCACCATCATAATGTTCAGTGGTATTCCTGGTTTCTTTTGAGGAACTCTGTTTAGTATTTCATCACGAGAATTCACTTCCATGTGAAATTCTTTTTGAATTTTATTATCTGTTTTGTGAATCTCGACATACACCATGTCTTCGTTAAGGATCACCTCTGGCTTTGATGGTGTAAGGGTGCCTTTTTCCTTGACATTAAACCATTCTCCAGAGTTGCTACGTCCTGTAATAACTTCATATTCTGCTTTGATTGCTCTTAATCTTCCAGCTATAAAACAACACTTATCCATGAGTTTTGGTGCAACATCATGGTACAAGTATGTTCATAATTTAAAAATTTTTACACAAAAATATAACAAACAAAATTTTTACCAAACATAAGTTATGTAGGTGCACAATATGTGTAAATGGAGAAAATGGGGACCCAATGATGTATGAAAGGATAATTAGAGGCTTATGCAAATATGTATAGAACACTATAACTCTTTATCCTTGATACATATCGAAAATGGTGTTGTGCTTTTTACATATTGCAGTTGATTGTTTTCATATATCTTTGATGTTTGATGTATTCTTAGTTGTTAGTACCAATAAATAAAAGTGGTTTTTCAAACAGGTGCTATTTTAATACCTAAATATATGTATAAACTAAAATATTCACTATAAGAGTTATATTTTTTCATATATCTTTGATGTTTGATGTATTCTTAGTTGTTAGTACCTACAAGTAAAAGTGGTTTTTTAAACAGGTGCTATTTTAATACCTAAATCTATGTATCAACTAAAATATTCACTATATGCATGTGACATGTATAGACTTCCTGTTCAAAATGTTTTTTTCCTTCATTGCTGGAAGAACTTTGACAAATCAATTTTTGGCTGAAGATCACAAGCCAACCATAGAAACTTTATTCAAGCAAATAACTGAGATGAATGAACTTTAAACATACCTGATGTTAGCGTCAACTTTCCATTTCTATAAAATGTCAAGTTTTTTTCTCCTTTGCAAACCAGAGGCTCCACTTTCTTTAGCATTTTCATGACAGTAGAATCAAATGGGTCAATGTTGGGAATATTGCATATCTTGTTTGATGTTTTAGTATTCGCTTTTCCCTTCTTTCCTGAAAGAAAAAATGAAATATTAAAAAACACGATTTAGCACATGTCAACTTACTGATGTGAACTTAGGTAAACACCTTACCCTCACCGGCGCACATTCGTCTGATTCTTTCAACATCAAAAGGTCTTTATATTCATTTTTGTATGTGGTGACAATACCAAGTGAGAATTTCGGTTTGCCATTTTTACCACGCTTGAATGTGGCCGTTCTCGTTCCGATGTTATAAGTCACTCCGAAACATTTACTTCCCATGTTGAAACACATCATTAAGGCTTCTTCGGTTTCTATTGTACACGAGTCGTTAGATAGGGAGCTTGTACAATGGAAATCCGCCTGTATTATATCTAAATTATCCACCTGAAAATTCGCGTGATATTATTAAATTGATTGTGTTTTGATTTAATACTAAATATAAACTCACCTTCACAAAATACTTGTCGTAGTTGTTGTAGTAGTCAACGCTGTATTGCATCGATTTTAACAAGCAATATACTGCTATAGCGCCGACGACTGTTCTCGCAGTCAGTTGCTGCCAGACATTACGAATCAAAAATGACTTCATCGGTTTTAACATGTTCTCCGCGAGCGAGAGCAATTTCTATTCGAAGCGAAGAGATTTACGCTTCAAAAAACACACGAATACGCGAATTTTGAAGAGACGTTTTTGCTTCCTTGCCTTGGTGATAACAAGAGGGGATTGTTGTAAATTTTCTTATACTCGACCAAGGAAACCATAACTGAGTTTGTTGTTGTGTAAATCAATTTGAAAAATGCATACCTCAATAAAGCGTCTTGAACGGCAAAAATGAAAGTTTTTCGCGTCGACGTTTTGTCAATACAGCTGTGTGGAGTGATTTTGAAGCATGTTGACCCGATTTATGTTGTATTTTGGAAAGTGAACTTATTCACTAGGAGAAGTGAAATTCTGGGATATTGTTGACTTGTTGTCACTTCTCATATATGCAGCGACAAACAATATAGATGCCTGGCAGACCTAAAACGGAATCTCTGAATGCTTGTCCGCGTGAGCTCAAATTTCAAATAGTTGATCTAAAAATATTGTTTCCTAATCCAAATCCATAGGTCACGTCCCCTATGACTGCAAATGGTTTGAAAGCAGTAAAATCCACAAAATTGCTTTTAACACATGATAGTTTAATACAGGACTGTCTTTCCAATGGAATATAAGAGAAGATGTGAATTTCAGTTCATCGGCTTTATTCGACGCTTGATCGGGTATTTCAATGAATTCAATCAGATTTTTGTTTGTCTTGTCCATTCATGTTTTAAACCACAAGTTTAACTTGTGGCCTTGGTGACGCTTTTCAGGCTGTAACTTTCTGGCGTTATGTTTCTTTTCCGTATGGTTTCTATCAATGAACACAACTACCTAACTGGCAGGGCACATTGGTTTTCATTATAGAAAACCGGCATATGTGAAATCCTTGGTGGATTTTTGGTTCAGTGAAGTTGGCAAACTAAGTGAAATTGCAAAAAGCAAACCCCTAGCTGCTTACACAACTTGTGACAGGTTCCCCGTTATCGCTTGACTTACCACATTCTTTGTCTGTGTAAATGTTTTTTCTGTCTGTCTCACAACTTTGGCGCTGTTAGATGAAGGATATTTACTCAATAAGAGATAATTCTTTGATGCAATCAGCAATCCTACCTACGTTACCAATGGCCGCTGAAGCGACTATATCATCATCTGTGCATGTTGCAAAGTTTCACAGTTGACCATTCGTGGGCTTTCTTATTTGAAAGGAGGTTCATTCACCGTCGTCATGATGAAATATGTAATGTTTGCTTTACAATTGATGAAGTGGCCAATGTCCTTAACATTCATTATCGGTGGGAAATACTTCCACTTAACTCCAACACTAGTCGAGTTGATATTGCTATAAGAGTTTCTTGTTAAAGATGAAAAGGCATTCTATGATGTTCGGATATTCAAATGCCTTTACGCATCGAAACCGGAGTCACGTATAGCTTTAAGCTACTTTAATAGGAATAAAAAGAAGTAGAAGCGACACTTTAACGAGCGGTTCATCCGAGTTGAGCATGAATCTCTGACTTGTTTTTTTTTCTTCCTGCACGTAATCTGGTCTTTAAAAACAGATGCGCGAAAAAGATCAAGTACGGAAACAAAAGTAGCCACGTCCAACTTCATTCGTTTTTGTTGAAATTTATCTATTTACATTATGTGTGCCTTAAAGTCACGATGAGGTGCGTAACTTATCGTTAGAGAAACCAAAAATACTAGCTATAGTTGGTGTAGGTATTGTGCTGTTTATATATACATACATTTCGTCAACTTTCCTAACTAGTGCTTCCTGTTGCCTCTTGAGGACATCTAAAAATGTTGAATAATTTGCGAAATAAACCAATGGTTTGCTTGCTTGATATACGAATGTCATTTTTTCAATGGATTGTTCACTTACTTGAGTCCGTTTGCGTTTCCAGCAGTCCGGATAAATTCTCTTGTGTTCTTCGGCCAAAGTTTTTGCCTCCATAATGTAGACTTTGCGCGCTTCTGAACTCAGCGATCGCCACTCATCACCAAGAATGACACTTATGGCTCTGGAAACAGCGTTAAATGAAAACATGGATAAGTTTGAGCGATAGATGACTATACTAGGCGCCACTCCTTTTACCTGTTATCCTTTCCCGGATGTTTTTGCGTGATTTCGAGCCGGTAACGTTTTGCAAAGAGCATAAACGCGTTCATCGGTCTACGTGCGTTCGAATTCGTGTTCTTCGTTTTTCTCGTTCGCTTTCCTTTTCGTTTTACAATCTGTAGGGTGGAGTCGATTCTTCTTTGATATTCGACGCGCTCTTCTTTTCTCTGAAAATTTATGAAATTCGTATAAGCAGAAAATAGTATAGAAATATTTTGCTTCAGGAAAGACGACATAAAAAAAGTTACTATCGACCGAACACAAACACATCCATGCCCATTAATTAGCCAATCATAGTTATCGAATGGTCATGTTAGTCAATCATAGTTATCGAATGGTCATGTTAGCCAATCATTGTTATCGAATGGTTATGTTAGCCAATCATAGTTATCGAATGGTTATGTTAGCCGTAGAGGGGGAAAAGTTTGAAACCTGTGACTCCTTACTCCTTATCTGGTGCATTTTACCGTACATTACCTTAGCCATATTACTCAAGGCTTGCGCTGCAGAATCCAAATCAAAAAGTGCTGATGGACTAAAAAGAAAGGAAGGAGATTCGTTTGTAGTGATTATTATTCAGTGGTCCCCATGTTACCACACTTCAACAGAGCACACTTTTTCCAGATTTATAAAACTATGACACTCCTTGTGAAGTGATGTAAAAAAGATTTAATTTGATTATGTTCGAACACGATATGATCTCGGCGATTTTTTGCTGCATAATTTTGTCGACAGTGCTATTGTTTCCCATCATCCTCAAATCTAACCAATTCTCAAGATGCAAATAAAGAAACGTACCGTTCCACTTTGGTTGAGTTATCAAAGAAACTTTGGTTCCTTGTTACGTCATCCAGTTGCAATTCACGACAAGGGGGCCTGGGACTGTTCGCTGCGTCCTTGACGTCATACTTAGACCAAGGTGTGTAAGTCGGCGGTATTTCATCGAAACGACTCTCGCGTTTCACTTCCTTTTCTTTCAAGTTGTGAGGTCGAAATCGTGCGGAGGTTGTCTACAGTTACATGAAGTATGTTGTATATTTCAATGAGGAGTGATGTGTGGTACCAACTTACTGAACAAACGAAAATGGCATTTGTTTCTGTTTCAGATGAAGTATGTGAATGACATGCTAAATCTTTCCTAACATTTTTTCCAAAACATTTACGTTTGCTACATTACCATCGTTGATTTAACATCCCACTTGTATCTTCGAAAAGCTGGGTATTCTTCACGGTTGTCTTGGGTTGCTGTGCCACCAGAGTCACCTGCAAACGTCGCTGAGTATTCTTGGATTCTTTCCCACAACATCGCAGTCGGCAGAGTGAATGAACGACTGTCGTTATGCGTTGTAAAATCTGATGTGACATGTTCAAGACTAGGAAGCTAGACGCAAAGAGATCAATAATCAATCCGCAGGCGTACAAATTGAACTACATTCGATAGGCATTAGGGTAAATAGTTAGACATGGTAAATGGTTTGACTAGGTGAATGGTTAGACATGGTAAATGGTTTGACTAGGTAAATGGTTTGACATGGTAAATGGTTTGACTAGGTAAATGGTTAGACATGGTAAATGGTTAGGTTGGCTTAATAGTTAGACATGATACATGATTAGACTTGGTAAATGTCATGTACTTATACAGTTAAACGACTTGCTGGCCGACACCCCCCCCCCGAAAATACTAGCCAGTATTCTCTGAAATTACTGACGATGCTAAAAGTACGATTCATTTGCTATTTGGAATGATGATCAGTCGTAAATAAAAAATCGCCAATAACTTCATATGGCTGGAATCTCGTACATTTGTTTGTCCTAAATTATGCCACATTTTGTTCTAATATTCTTTTCAAAATCAATTTATACCTTGAACACGCTACTACTCGATTCATAATCACATGACATCTTTTTGACCAATGGGCTTTCAGGACTTGTTGCGATAGCCGCAAACTCTGCAAGAGGACTAAGTACTGGCCAGTATTGAGCATTTGGATTGGATAGTACCAAAGGCGGTGGTTTGGGCTTCTTTAGCGATGTCATGCCGGTTGATTCCGCTTCTGTTAGCAATGAAACATGAGAAATGTTTTTACGCAAAGCGTCCTGAATTGTACTCGAAAAGTAAAACCATTTCTGTTACAGCGCATGCTCGAATCCAATTTGCGCAGTGTAAGCATCGTCATAAATTTTCTAGAATGTGCGCAATATTTATAACAAAAGCGCTCTTTAGATAGTGTAATATGTCGTGAGTATCAGTGTTGTCATTAGTTAACTGATTAGAAGCAAGAAATCTGATTGGATTGATGCTGCATTGTACCGAAGTTAAAAACCTCAGCATTGTCTTCCTAGCTTAGCGCTTAATCCGTTTGTCAATACGGGCTTACTAATATTGGCGTTGTTGCTGTAATTGCAATTGAAAAAACAACAGAACGCCGAGTCGTTTAAATAGAATACGCCAGAAGAAACGCAAAGAGCTTGCACTGTATTTTTTTCCAAGAGCTTTCCATGACCTGTTTGTCAGTCAAGTGGTGCTAAGTCCTAAAGAATAAATTTGTTTTGGACGTTATTGTTACCTCTCTTCTCGAATTACCAATCTCCTAAAATTTATGTCAGCGCTTTTAACACGTTTAATGGTGAATGTCATTTTATTCGCTTTGTCTTCCCTCTGCTGTATCACCCTATTAACTACTTTCTTTTGTGCACATCGTTAAGTCAATAAATTCTAAGGTAATTGTGAACGGTTGAATTAAGTTAGATTAGCACAGCACACTGCACGACTTAACGACCGCTTTCACATTTACTTTTAAACTTTTTAAAATCAGGACACAGATTTTTTGGACTATTTGAGGGAACGTTCGCATTCTCCGTCCTAATCACCTATTCCTTTATTGAATGAATCAAATTACGATATTTGGATGAAAGCGTTTGTCACAACCATAAGTTCGATTACGTTGTGAATATAAAAGAACTTTCTATGGAAAATATATGTTTCCTGTTTATTAAAACATAAAAGGATTTTAATTGATTCTGCTGTTGCACCTTTGGTTTTATTTACATCAATCTCGTAAGGATGCATATGTACAATTTCGCCTGAAAAAGGAGGTTCAATTAAGTCCATACAATTGTATAATCTTTTTCAATTTTTTACTACTAGCAATATTCGACTAGCGCGCGCAGTTTCCGCAGACTTGTCATTGCAAGAAATGATGCAAGCACATCGAGAATTCCCTGCCAATTGGTGGGCTTTCTCAACGTTTTAACTAATAAGAATAATTATAAGTGGAGTAAGTTGATAGAATGAATGAACTACGATGTCATAAATAACCTAGTTGCAATAGAGGTATCAGTTTCAGGTAACTGGAGTTAGCTATGGTCTATATGAAACAATACCTTGTGATGTTATCTCGTATCACTCTCCAGCAGTCTCTTAATTCACAGATGTAGTGCAAGCTAAACTTTCCGTGTCTTTCCGTAGCGTCTATCTTGCTCGTAATTGGGACTGTTTCATTCACTCACCATTTGCAAACGCCAGACGCCATTGTCTTACAATGGATACTTTACCATGGTAATTTTTCACGAGCCTTTTGATTGGTTGAAGTATTGTGGTAATTGCCCTCCTTTTTGCTCGTCTGTCAATAGGAATGTGATACTAGTTAATCCATGTTTGTTGTGCACGCGCGTCGATGAATGTGCAAAAATTTAATTTTCTATACTAATGAAAGTCTTTTGAACAAACTAAGTGATGAATGCTTTTTAAGTTTCGACGAGTAAAGCCTGGAGTTTATTTTTATATCAATTACTCTCTCAAAAATATGTTTTTATCGTAAGCAGAATGATTATTTACCTTTATTTACGTTATTTTTCATATTTATTAAAGCACTTCAGATATACATGAGCTCAGTGGGCAGGTCAAATTTCGCGGCGAATTTGTACGATGTCTCCAGACAAAAAAATCAACGAGCTGATCTTTTAAGCAAAATTTCTCTTTTTAGACAATATCATCAGCAATTATCGATCACATACATCATTTATAATCATATGGAGATGAATTAAGGAGAAACATGGTCCAGAGATTACAAAAGATTAGTTGATTTTGTTAAAAAAATGGCTAGCAGCACCAACTGTTTCGACTTGCAAGTTGGTTCGTCTGACGATGTCGATCTCTTGAAACCTAAACAAAAAGTAAAACAAAACCTCGTTGAAGAATGTGAGCAGATGTGGGAACATATACAAGACGTAAGACAAAGTTTCGTGTTAATATCATATCTACGTCCGTCGTTGTAAAATTGAATATTGCATATTACGCAGAATCATCATCGCGTGGCGAGTTACATTAAAAGTACACCTCCTAAAGGAATCGATCGATTACAGGCAGTAAGCTCTCGTTTTAAATTAATATATTTCACTTTTAATAGATTATTTCAGTCGACAAATGTGTTTTTTGATAAAGCCCCATTTAGGTAGTGTTCCAAAGGATTGTGTGGGATGATATGGGATATTTAGTTCTGTACAGAATCTTTATTTTATTCTCTCTGGGCAATTATTCATTAAAAATCAATTTAGATAGGCAATTGTATGGAATAAAGCCCGATGTATACAGAATCTTTATTTCTATACTCCTGAGGCAATTAAAATCCTTCAATTAAAAGAGAATCGTCTACAAGCGCAACTGAAGCTTCTTAAGACTAAAGATATTGAAGGTAAAGTTAGCATTCTTAAAGATTCTCAAGACAACCCGTGATGGCAGCATGTCACCAGTTTTACAGCATTGTCCAAAAGATTGGTGACTATTTTCAATGAATGTTTTATTGGTAGTGATTTCAAAAGATCTGAAGTTTGTGGAAACCTGTCTTGAGGAGAAGGTAAGATAAAAGTCTTGTATTCTTTTTTTTAGCAAGTAGAAACTTCCAGAAATGAAATGTTTATGTCTGCAATGTTTCTGTGGCAGATGAAAAGAAATGTTCAGCAACTTGAACAAGTCCTTGGAGTTGTGAAAGAACAAAGAGTTGAAGTTGCTGGTGATCTTGAAAGGTAAGATACTTGATGAATTCATGGTATATTCATCAAAATAAAGTAATTGAAATTGCAGCATAAAATAAAGAAATGAACTTTGCAATTTCAACATTTTAGAAAGTTCTATCCTCATAGGCATGTTCGGGAGGCATCTTGCTCAAATTATCAGTTCATGGTTTAAGAACCATTTGATTTATGTAGTAATTTATGACCACTTGCAGGTTTTTTGTTTTAAATTGATTTGTCCAGTAAACTGACATTCCTTTATGTCCGTGGCTACCAATGTCAAAGTTGGGCTACCAATGTCAAAGTGACCAAAGTCCGGTTACTGCTAATTGCAAACACTGAAGATGTAAAATGGAGATTGTGTTAGGGGGGTCTGTGTTTTGTTTTCAAGATCTGTAAATCTTCATTTAATGTGTTTTAAAGATATTTTTCAACAAGAAAATAAAGTAAGAAATAGTGAAAATAATTGATAAGGTCTTTTTGTATGAAGTGTGAAAGCACCATCCCAACATGCTTCCTAATTTTGTTATTTTTGCCCAATAAAACAGCCTTTTCCTAGCCCCCTCCCCCCTCCTTCTGACTTATATGCCTATGTATATTCAGCTAAATGTACCTACTGATGGAGATGGAGATTTGTACTTAGTTCAAAGTGTTTGTTAAAGTACCTTAACATTTTTTTACTATACAAATCGAACAGGGAAAAGCAATTATTGGACCAACAGAGATCAATAAATAAGGTTTTGGAAGAAAAACTTCACATGAGTGAAACAGTAAATGATGAAGGAAGTCACAATACTGTGTAAGCATTAATGATAATCTACTTCCGAAAATTCCCTGAGTAAATTGTACTTATGCATTAGTGTTTTTACTCATGCTGTCTTGCCTCACTCCCGGTGATAGCACTCAACTGCCTTAGATTCTAAATCTTAGCCTAGATGTTTTTACTTTGTTATGTCACCCTTAGTCTGATGATTGAAACCAAGTTGTATCCCTCTTTATTCATTTGTTTCCCTCTAGATCTATTTGTACCCATCTAGGTACAACAATATCCCTCTAGATCCATTCATATCCCTCCAGATTCATTTGTATCCCTCTAGATCTATTTGTATCCTCTAGGTCTGTAAGTGATCTTCAAAGTAAGAAAAAGAAGGCATCAGAATATTACTCTGTTATAATGAGCCACCTGGTGAGTGAAGTTGTCAGACTGTAAGTATTGTGTTATGATTTATTAATATCTGGCACACTTGACTTTTACAGCTTTTATACATCTTGTCTTCTCATTATTTCAGCAAAAGTTTTTAGCCCATCATTTTCCTCCTCCTGATAAAGAAATCACCGAAAGAAATGTAAGTTTTTTATTATGGTTGTGAAATCAAAATACATCACCATAAAACTTGTTTGCTGGTATCTCTGGGTTTGAATGCCCTATCCAGCAATTAGAGGCCTTCTCTTTCCTTTAAATATGTTGGATGGTAAATTAAATTGGAAAATACTGTGTGTACACTGTGTAAAACCCTATAATAATATTTTATCTGTCATAGGAAAATGGAAGAAAATTTTGCAGTTTACAGCACCTCATTGAGGTAGGCATATTTGAATTTCAAGGTAATTTAGAAACCTGTATTTCACCTTTAATGTATCTGAGGTAAAATTTTACATGTTGAAATATTATGAAACTTCAGGGTTCACTTGCTGTTTATTAGTAAGCTAATTACTTCATTGTGATGCTAATTACATCATTTTGATGCTAATTATTTTCAAATTGTTAATATTTAGACATTGATGAACAAATTATTTGAAAGCCCTCACGATTGTTACATCAAAATACTGCCCTCCTATTGGCCTCCGTATATCCAGTTGCTTTTACGCTCCAACATCATATTGAGACATTCTGAAAACTGTGACCTAATACGGTTGGTTTCATTTCACGCTTGATCCAGGTAAGACTGTACAGCTATGTTCGTCAGTGGCAGAGACACTGGGGGGGAGAGATGAGGGGAGGTAGTTGGTTGCTTTCTCCCCTCCTGATTTCCTGTATGAAACTATTACAATTATATTATTAATACCATTAGAACAATTATTGCTTAGCCTCATAGGGAACCTAATTTTAAATGACTAAGATATTTAATGAGCTTATTATTTTGGAACTTGGAAATAAACATTTCACATTCATAATTAACAGATAGTTCTATACAGAGTATGTTTAAGATGTTTATTCACAAATGGATTGTATTATGGAACTTGAAATCGAACATACTTTAACAAGTATGTTGCAATCAACAACATATGAATGATTTGAGCCATGCAACACTGACACAGTTTTTAAATATTAACTAATTTTAAAACCCATTGGATAATACTTTACATTATGATATAATTCACAGACTCGCTGTGTTGTTAATAACTTGAAATAACGTACATCAAATAAACTATACATAAGCAAGCCTGTCCTGCAGAGCTTGTAACTATTGCACATTAACAACAATTAATGCATGCATGGCAGACTTATTGGTGCACCAAAGGCAGGATGTTGCCAATTCTGATAAAACATTGCCTTGCTCCAAATATCAGCTTGACAACCATGGTCACAAGGAATGATTGTTGGTTGACAATTGGAATTGGCAAATGAGTAAACATACTGGAGCTATGGTAAAAAAAAATACACAAAAGCAAATCAATTACAAGCCAGTTTTAAATTTATGTTTCTGCCATAGTTACTAAGAATGAAATTAAAACCCTGTTTCTATGAAATTGTACATGTTTGAAGAGGTAGATCATCTGTGTTAGCAAGGTGAGTCCAGAGGACTGTTGGTGATGATGTTGACTAATGTCTTGACAACCTTAGCGGTAGTCGTCTTCAGAGTCAAGTGAGAAGTAAATGTCAAGGTTTGCCGTATTTATTGTTTGGTTCATAAGTCATTGTATTGTGTGTATAGGAAATTTGTGGGTGTCAAATGTATAGTTATGAGGTTTGATTTCTAGCTGATGAGAAATGAGATGATTGACCCATTACTTGATGTAAGTTCAATGTAATTAATCACCTGAGCAGGCTGAGTTGAACTCATGGTTGGACTAGACTGCCATTGAGTCTCTGGCTGATTACTTAAACCAAAACTTTGTCCACTTGTCGCACTGACGCTCAACGACTCTAAGTTAAAAGAGTTTAGTACAATCACTCATTTGGGTACGGGACTGTAAAATTTTCTTTTAGTTGAAAGAAAAGTTGACTTTTCTTACTTTCAAGAAACTCTTTTTGACGCTGCAAACGGATTTGCAATCCCTTAATGACAAATATAGTTTAATTATCAGATCTAAATCAATTACACCGGCTATTTGATGATAAAAATCAAGGCAAACCTTTCGGCGAATTGCAGTATCAACTTTTAGTCTAATTCCTTCTCTCGTTATCACAAAACCCTGTCAAGAAAGCAATGTGCTGTCATACTTAGCAATTCGATGAAGCATGGCTATCTCTACCTTTTTGACAAGATTCACGGCGTCTTCAACATTATAAAATGTAACGAAGCCATACCTTAATACAATGATGCATAAGACAAAGCTCGGGGCGAACACATTGAAACATTAGTTTCCAAATGAGGATAGCGATATTTAAGATTTTACCCTTTCCTTTCCCCAGTCTTTAAGTCCAATACAATTCTTGTATCTTTCACATTTAAATTGAAATCTTGAAACGCGAGTTGAAGTTTGTTTTCGCACATCTTGATATTAAAAAAAAGTGAGATAAAGGACATGAAATAAAGGGCAAAAAAGTATAGATAACGCGATATAAGTCAAAACGTGTTTTGTTATCTTTAGTGTATCTCTGTAATCTCGTAATGTTTTGACATTGGGAAAAGCAATGTATATATTTTTTGTTTACATTGCCTACTTGTAAAGCGTTAAACAAATCTTACCCAATGTGGTATGCTTCCGACAAAAATTCTGTTAGTAACGACTATTCCTTCACTCGTTACGTATTCCTGAAAAGGAAAGCGAAGATTTTTATCTTCACATTTACTTGTAGGATCGACTGAGTTTCATTTCTATCGATCCTTTGGTGATAGAAGCCATATAGCTATGCTATTAAATTATTCTTTAGGTTTAGAGGATGTCTTAACCTTTAATACAAAATAAAGACGTTTTAACAAATTACCAAATCGCACTTTGAATCGCAAAAAATAAAATTTTTAGGTAATAAATAGATAATTGTGTTAATTCATAAACAAAATGTAAGAAAGCTACAATTTTCATTCTTGATTTAAAGGTTTGTCATGTTAGCGTACATCATTTTTACTACACTACAGCTGCGTTTACTCAAAACTTGCTTATTTCGTCACGACATCTTCGTTTGATTTTACCAAGTAACAAATAACAGTTTTTGAGCAATTTCTTTGTAAATTGATAGAGTTTTTTAAGTATGTTCACCTTTGTTTCTGATGGTAACCGACTAACCTTTATCCCCGATTTGAATAACTGTAAAACTCGGTGTTGTTTTACTATTATTAATAAACGCAAAAATGCGATTGTTGATATAACACTCACCATTATGTAAGTTGTTTTTAAATCGTAAAAAGTCTAAACCACAGTGAAGTCTCTCCTTCGTTTGTCTCTTCTCGGGCAGTCAATGCCTTGGTAATGTGATGGACGTGAAAGGACAGGCAATTTATTTGATTATTGTTCTGACCATTTGACCACGCCTGTTGAGTTCGACAACATGTGAAAGCGCGTCATAACTATAAATAGCCTTGCAGTCATTCCGCTAGTGGGATTTACTCAGTATTTGTAATAACCATTATAATAAACCAAGATAAAACGGCAAGCTTCCCGAAGCAATATACCAATTATGACATTTGCAGTCTGCCAAGATGGACGCTTGAAGTAAGCCTTGCCTTGTGAAGAAAACGCACCAAAGTGACATTGATTTGACATTTTTAACATTGTCAACTGGTGTCAGCAACTTGAAATCTTTGTAAATAAAAACGTTTGCAATAAATATAGTTTTTAGGCAACTTACCCATTTGCGGTGAGATATTACCAGTAGCCGGTAGTCAGTCCACAAGTCTGTTCGTGCTCTTGTAAAAGAATAGATTTCTAAAAACATGAATGAATTTAAAATTGCTTTGAAATTTAAACAGAATAATTTGTGTATGGCTACCCACTCTTGATACTACTGTAGCAATTAACGAGTCAAAAGTAATATTTTTCTTCAAATAAAGTAAATATCAAAGTGTCTAATATATTCTGTTACGACTAAAAAGGATGCCTGGTTGAAAGAAGGACGCATTGACACAATGCTGCCGTCCTAAAAACAATAGGTTATGTGACTCGAGTTATAACTAGTAATACTCTACAATCTCTAGTAATGACTTGTCATTCTAATTAAATATAAGTACTGACATGGCTTGCTTATTTCGTCCTCCTACATTCATTTTTTCGTGATCACTCACCGTGAAAACAATACATTTCTACTGATGGACTAAGACTTGCGCTCTGATACGTCACTGACTGTACTATATATTTAACAATGGTTATTCATGCGTAATAAATAGAGAACATCCAGCCACAGTTATTTGTTTGACCCCCATTTGGTTTTAAGAATTTATGCAAATTGCCCACAACTACCTGCAAATGCAAACAAGTTAACTAAATATGTTTTAAACTATTCGCGCTGTCTTAACGTAAAGGCGATTTTGACTCCCTTGACCAGACACACCATTAGTATTTTGTTATACAAGCAAGCGGAGAATGTCACAATCGGGCATTGACGACTGTCGTGATATTTTTTCTCTGTATGACCGTGTTGGAGACAATAAGATACGTGTCGAACATTTGGGGGAGGTTTTGCGTGCGTTGGGTTCAAATCCGACGGAAAGCGAAGTCGCAAAATTAAGACAGCAGTTTAAGATTGGCAAAGATGTACGCATTTCGTTTGAAATGTTCTGGTCTATTTTTCAAGCCACAAAACCCCGAGTAATTACACCAGGTAAAGTACCCATCCTACTGCAAAATGATAAAGTTTGTTTAAATTATATTCCGGGACTTACTCTTACATATTCAATCATATGGAAACATAACTGAACAGTCTTGAATCACACCTTTCTTTCTGCACAAGTTTTCTGTTTGTATTAAACGTGTATATCCTTGAGTTTTTAAATTATTGAATTTAATTATTTTTTTGAATTTTTAAACGTGTGCATCCCTTGAATTTTTACATGCAGTAATTTATTTTTCTTTAGCTGTTAAAAACTCCTTCGTTGAGTGTTTCAAGGTGTTCGACAGAAATGAAAATGGTTTAATAAGTTCTGCCGAATTCCGTCAACTTCTCACGAACCTCGGCGATAAATTGACTGACGCAGAAGTTGATCTTCTTTTGGCCGGTCACGAAGATCAAAATGGTCAAGTACAATATGAAAATTTAGTAGACATAATAACATCGGTGTAAACGTTCACATAAATTATATTGAACTGTTTCATTGAACATTTTTACCTTACAATTTATCGTTGGAAAATAAAAGATGACTTAGACATACAATTATTCATACATATGTAAACAAATAAATGACACTTGAGTAATATTTCACTGAAGTAAATTTCCAAAATTTTTTCATTTCAAACAGGGGTGTCCTTCAAAAAATTTCTCAACGAAAACCATTTGATTTCCTTGTAGCTCTATATAAGTGCCTCGAGAAACTCCTCCTACACCTAGACGTTTCTTCAGCTCGGCAAGCAGCGCATCAGCGTTCCCACTGACGTTCGCTATCACTGTCACTTTTTTCCCTTTAGAGCGATTCTCGTACGAGATTGGTAGTTTTCCCTTTTTTGTTCGGCGTACGGTAAATTCTGGAGTGCTGTCATTCATTTCTGTTATACTGTCATCCTCTTTGTTATTGATGGACGCTGCACCGTTTTTTTCACCGTTTCTCGTTTCTTCACGAACAGCTGATTCTGGTAAAAATGCTGCAAAGGTTAAGCCAGCTGGTCTACCTTCAAATTCATCTCTGTCTGATTTTTTTTTTCTTCCTTTTGGCATCTCTTCTTTTATAATCTCATCAATGTATTCTATTCAGACAGATGATACGATTTTTATTGGACAGTATTCACGATCGTTTCGACTGACCTCTCAAGCAAGCTATTCCTTACCTTTTCTTCACCATAGTACTATTTTACTTATTTGATCACTCCTGGCAAGCGCCATTTTGTTTTCGTAAACCTTATGGATTGTTTATACTAACTGTCAAAAGTTAAACTGTCGGATTTTTCCGTATTTAGCCGTATTTAAAATACCAGTCAATTTAGCGTTACGCATGCGTGTACTTTAAGTTGTAAACAAACCAATTTGAAATTGAAAAGAAAATTAACTTGACTTGGTTTACTAAAATATTACTACTGCTATAGTTCTGCCTGCCTGAACTGATGACCAGGCAGCTTACTATGTGTGCAGATCATAGCTATTGTTGTTGCAAATCCGAGGGAGTAATGACTAGAATTGACGAGCCGTCAAAACGCAAATATTTGATTTTGAAGTTGTATTAATGACTTCATATTTAGATCAAACATACAATAACATGGATGTGGCTGAACTGTTTAGGTGTTGTCGGTCTGGAGATATTGAGAAATTAAGGTATTTTATCATTGTTGTACTTCAAAAATATTGTTTTATGTTGTGTATGTTGTATGATAATCTATGAATCAGGTTTTGCTTTTAATATGCATAGTAATTTTACAGTATTAATTCACATCTTTTCCTCTATGTAGGTACCTAATCGACGTCAAGGATGTAGAGTTGAATGTTCGAGATTTTTGGGACAGTACTCCATTGTAAGGACTAAAATATGTATTGCGTATGTGTGGCAAGTTCGAAACTTTGTTTCTTTGATATGTCTAATAATAGTACGTCTTGTTATTGAAGTTTTCGGGTCAAATTTCTATAAATAGACCATTCATTACATTCTTGTGACACGTCGTTGATAAATGATGTTTTCGAGAAAAGCATTCAGTTATTTACAACTGAAATCATGTCAGACAAACAGTGCACTTAACAACTTCTATTAAACCTTTTTGGAAGCTATTGTTTTCCTGACCATTTTAAAAATATGCTTTCAAATTGAAAGAGATGCCATTGCTGTTAACTATGAATCCCTATAAAATGGATTTTCATGCATTTCCCCAAAATGCTTTGAATGGTGATAAGTTTCTACTGTTCTCTTATCAATGTAAGTATGAATCCCTGAAATAAGGATTTTCATGCATTTCCTAAAATGCTTTGAATGGTGATAAGTTTCTACTGTTCTCTTATCAATGTAACATATAATTTCTAGGTATTATGCATGTTTATGTGGGCATGAAGACATGGTTGAATTGCTTTTGAAGAGTGGTGAGTTTTGTTTGAAAATTAGTGCTCATCTGCAATTATAGTGTATTGTGTTTAAATTAAAGCTCAAATTTTTCATTAGACTCTTTGTACATAGGCACCATTTTGATCTATGTAAGTTAGTTTGATAAGGAATTTTTAGAACTAATCTTTTGTTCAATTTGACAGAGTATGTTGTGCACTTAACTGTCTGTGTGAGATTCTCCTCAACTTTTTTTACTAATTTTATGGTTTCCAATTTATATGGTGTTAATGAAATCAAAGTTTTAGAAGTGTTGCAATGTGCAAAGTTTATGGTTTGCTATGACATCTTGCATCTATGCATTGGTCATTATAGTATTAAACCCTTACCTGGGACTGTTGCGAAAAGCGTTACTGGGGCTTTCTTGTGTGACCAAAACCCTAAAAGTAGCCCTATCTGTAAAATGTTGTCTTTTCAGGATCAAGATGTGAAGCCAACACATTTGACGGAGAGCGTTGCCTGTATGGGGCATTGACTGATGAAATTCGAAGAATTTTGGAAAAGTATAATGCAGTAAATTCAGATTGTATGAGACGAGAGTCATATTATGAGTTCTTGCGAAGGTATGATTTAGCATTGTCATTGCTACTGAATTGGACTTAGGTTTCTTTTGCCATTATAAATCATATCTCTGGTGAAATTCATGAGTAGGATCTTGCAAAATCCTGCATAATCCTGCAGGATCATGGATAAGATCCTCTTAGGATCCCAAACCTTTTCATCATATTTTTTACATTTTTCCCAATGTTCGCCCATTCCTCTTTGAAATTTTCAATGGCAGAACATGTTCAATCTGCTGTAAAAGCTGCACCAGCTAAAAAGTAAAACTTTGTAAGGTACAAAACTTCTGCTATATATAATGTGTATGTATTCTTTAGGTGTTTTGAGCAGGGAGCTTTTGCTGATGTCCATTTTGTAGTGCAAGAAGACACTGTTCCTGCTCACAGGGTGATTCTATCAGCTAGATCTTTGTATCTTGCCGAAATGTTTAACACAAAGTGGAAGGAAGACACAGTGTTTTTACCAAAACAATTAATGTAACTGGCATTTGCTTTTGAGCTTTCACATTTTTTTGTTAATGTAATTAATGTTTGTCACTTTCACAGTTCAACTCTGGTCAGTTTCGAAACATGTTGAAATATTTTTATACTGGTGAGTAGACTATCTTGGCATCAAAAAAATCATTGTTATTAACATTAACTCGCTAAAATGTTTCATGATGTTGGAAGAGGTGCATCCAAGAAAATTATGAATGCCATCCTAAACCATGTTTATTGATAAATAATTGAGGCGAATGTTGAAATGTAGCACTTTATTTTTCCAGGAAAGTTGGATGTTCCTTTCCAGGAATGTGATGCTTATCTTTATCTTGCTTCTCTCTTCCAATTGGATGAACTTAAGAAGCTTATTGAAACACGTGTGGAAAATGCAAAAACATTTGGTACGTTGAATTTTGCCTTGTTTTTTTGTATGCATATTTCAATGTGATGTAGCCATACCTAAGGTTTTTTGAGGGGGTTAATGTCCAATGCTGAAGGCATGAGTATATTTAGATGGATTGAGGTTGTCTCACACCGTGAAAATTTTTATATCTAGAGTCTCCCAGTGTCATCCCAAGTCTATAGAGTGAGATTTTTTATAATTCAGTAGTAACATAGGTCTAGTTGTTGTCCCCTTCTTATTTCTACCCAGACTTCATCCTTTCACGAGGTCGGCTTCAACAGAATGCCTCCTCCCCCCCCTTTCTTTGACTAATTTTAATGTAACTTGTTAACTGTGTGTATTTGGCAGGGGGGGAATGAACAATTATGACGGCACAAAAAAAGGTCGTAATACGTATTTTGTTTACGGAATCAAACTTTCGTGTCTTTAAATTGTTAGCGTGATATTTTTAATGATTGTTCAGTTTACAGCTTTTATCCTTGTAAGCTTTTTGACATAATGGTTAAATTACAAAATCTATGAACTGCCATCCAGGTTTCGTACAACTCATCGGCAAAATAACAGCAATGACGTCAGTTTGTTGCCATTATATGACGTAATATCATATATTTCATATAAGGTGAATCAAAGAGAGGTTTTGTTCGTGTGACAATGATTTGCATTGATCCTTCAATGGAGCGACGAAATCTTAAAGAGGAATTCACGAAACTTGCCGAAGTTGCACTCCCTGATCCATTTAGATTTCAGGTTTAACTTTTTGACAGTAAATTAATGTTTGGGCCAGTTGCCTTTTCCATTATTGCGAAATGTTCAATTCAATTACACTTTATTTTTAATACTTGTTCTTTGCAGCAACTTCCCGAAATGTCTTTGTTTATTTCACAAATGTTAGGTAAGTGTTTTAACTTAAAAATAAAGTTTACCTCGCTTCATCGTTCACTCTTAGAAACTTAATGATTTGATAGTGTATAAAGGCATGTCCTTACTCCCTAGTTTGGCGCACATAAGCCTGCATGAATTTTTGATAGTAAAGACAGTTAGAGTCTAGAATTAGGATTGGTAAAAATTACTGTACAGGGAACTTTCAAAAAACGAAGACCGGCATGGATTGGTGAGTGATGATGCTGATGTTAAAAGGGGTGAATGTAATTTGTAACTTAAGAGAAAGCACTGACATATTATCCTTACTGAAGAGAATAACGATGATAATGTTGGAAAGGTTAGGACAAGACGAGGATAGTGCGCATGACATGGTTATGATAATGAAGATTGGTGGTATTAGCTAATAAAGATAAGAATGGTGAAGATATTGATGATGATGGTTGATGGAGAATTGGGAACGTTTGTGGACATTGATAGGAGTATTGAGGATAATATGAGTGAAGGTATTGATGTTTTATTGGTTGATGGAGTATTGGGAACATTTGTGAACATGGATAGGAGTATTGAGGATAATATGAGTGAAGGTATTGATGTTTCATTTGTTGATGGAGTATTGGGAACGTTTGTGAAGATGGATAGGAGTATTGAGGATAATGTGAGTGAAGGTATTGATGTTTTATTGGTTGATGGAGTATTGGGAACGTTTGTGAACATGGATAGGAGTATTGAGGATAATATGAGTGAAAGTATTGATGTTTTATTGGTTGATGGAGTATTGGGAACGTTTGTGAACATGGATAGGAGTATTGAGGATAATGTGAGTGAAAATATGAAAGAAAGGATGGTGAGCGTGTGGGAACATTAGGAGAACAGTGGTAAGGACGAGAATTTGCCTCATCAATTTGATGTAATTGATTTAAGAATATTGATAAAATTAAGAAAATAATACCGTCATGTTTGATGATGAATATGTCATGTTGTTTAGGCGATAACGAGAATGCTCTTGATGATTTATCGACACTTTCCGATGTCTGTTTCCATGTTGAAGATTTTGAATTTCATTGTAATAAGGTTGGTTTCGTTTGATTCATGTTTAAGTTACCAAACGTTACGTGATGCAGCTAATTCAAGGACATTAAAGATACAAGTAACGATCGTTTTATGTGAAAATATTTAACCAATTTATCTTAAATTAAATGGTTTGAACCCGGGAGTATCGTGACATGTTTGTGGATGAAGATCTTCCAGGTTAGTAGAGTCCTGAGAAGGACTGTTTGTTGATGTTGAGTGACGTTTCGACAACCTTAGCGGTAGTGAAGATCAAGATGACTACCGCTGAAGATGACTACCGCTGAAGGTGACTACCGCTGAAGGTGACTACTGCTGAAGATGACTACCGCTGAAGGTGACTACCGCTGAAGATGACTACCGCTGAAGATGAATACCGCTGTAGATGACTACCGCTGAAGATGACTACCGCTGAAGATGACTACCGCTGAAGATGACTACCGCTGAAGACGACTACCGCTGAAGACGACTACCGCTGAAGACGACTACCGCTGAAGACGACTACCGCTGAAGACGACTACCGCTGAAGACGACTACCGCTGGAGATGACTACCGCTGAAGATGACTACCGCTGAAGATGACTACCGCTGAAGGTGACTACCGCTGAAGGTGACTACCGCTGAAGACGACTACCGCTGAAGACGACTACCGCTGAAGACGACTACCGCTGAAGATGACTACTGCTCAAGATGACTACCACTGAAGATGACTACCGCTGAAGACGACTACCGCTGAAGACGACTACCGCTGAAGACGACTACCGCTGAAGACGACTACCGCTGAAGGCGACTACCGCTGAAGACGACTACCGCTGAAGACGACTACCGCTGAAGATGACTACCGCTGAAGATGACTACCGCTGAAGATGACTACCGCTAAGGTTGTCGAAACGTCAGTCAACAACAACAAAAACACTTCTTCTCAGGACTCTACTAACCTGGACGATCTTCATTCACAAACATGTAACTTAACTGTAATGACAGTAATTTACACAAACAGTACACTGTATGTTTCTCCACAATCATCCTTAAGTTATTTTTATGTTTTTTTCTTAGGTGTTTTTCTATCATCGTAGTCATTATTTTAAGGCATTATTTGACTTCTCCAACACTGCTACAGCAGCCGATCAACGACGAAATCTAACGGGAAATTATAGTATAAACATTCGCGACCTCACTCCAGACATCTTTGCGGTCGTTGTTGCTTATATGTACACGGATGACGCAAAGGTATACGTGTGTCTAACGATGTATATTTAATTCGTGGCATCCTTTTCTGTCTTCTTCATTTTTAAATACGGTTCTTTTTTCTTTTGAGATCCCGTCTGATTTCGAGGGCATCTTCAATGTGATCTGTGCTGCCGAAATGTATTTGCTCCCTGGTCTCAAGCGGTTGTGTATCAACTCAATGATCGAGATACTAGATGTGACTAACGTTGTGCAGGCTGTGCGAGTTAGTAGAACTTTCTCATCGCCACGATTAGAGGCCGAGTGTTGCTGCTACATTGCTGAATACATGGACGAGGTTGGGACTGATAATGGTGTACTAAAACTCTTTCTATGGTCCCTAGAAAATTGTGTTTAATAGTAGGGATCAAAGTAGTGTTAAAGCTTTAGTCTTTATACTCCAGCCTGATGTCTTCATCGGTAGTGATCTAAATAGTGTTAAAGCTTTAGTCTTTATACTCCAGCCTGATGTCTTCATCGGTAGTGATCTAAATAGTGTTAAAGCTTTAGTCCTTATACTCCAGCCTGATGTCTTCATCGGTATTGATCTGAATAGTGTTAAAGCTTTAGTCTTTATACTCCAGCCTGATGTCTTCATCGGTAGTGATCTGAATAGTGTTAAAGCTTTAGTCCTTATACTCCAGCCTGATGTCTTCATCGGTAGTGATCTGAATAGTGTTAAAGCTTTAGTCTTTATACTCCAGCCTGATGTCTTCATCGGTAGTGATCTGAATAGTGTTAAAGCTTTAGTCTTTATACTCCAGCCTGATGTCTTCATCGGTAGTGATCTGAATAGTGTTAAAGCTTTAGTCTTTATACTCCAGCCTGATGTCTTCATCGGTAGTGATCTGAATAGTGTTAAAGCTTTAGTCTTTATACTCCAGCCTGATGTCTTCATCGGTAGTGATCTGAATAGTGTTACAGCTTTAGTCTTTATACTCCAGCCTGATGTCTTCATCGGTAGTGATCTGAATAGTGTTAAAGCTTTAGTCCTTATACTCCAGCCTGATGTCTTCATCGGTAGTGATCTGAATAGTGTTAAAGCTTTAGTCCTTATACTCCAGCCTGATGTCTTCATCGGTAGTGATCTGAATAGTGTTAAAGCTTTAGTCCTTATACTCCAGCCTGATGTCTTCATCGGTAGTGATCTGAATAGTGTTAAAGCTTTAGTCCTTATACTCCAGCCTGATGTCTTCATCGGTAGTGATCTGAATAGTGTTAAAGCTTTAGTCTTTATACTCCAGCCTGATGTCTTCATCGGTAGTGATCTAAATAGTGTTAAAGCTTTAGTCCTTATACTCCAGCCTGATGTCTTCATCGGTAGTGATCTGGTTTTAAAGTTTTAGTTATTGTATACTCCTGTCTTGCGTAGGTCTTCATCAGCAGTAATTTGCTGTTAAAGCTTTAGTCCTTTTATACTCCTGTCTTATATCTTCATCAAAAGTGATCTAGTGTTAAAAGCTTTAGTTCTTATATACTCCTGTCTTATATCTTCATCAATAGTCATCTGGTGTTAAAGCTTTAGTTCTTATCTTCATCACTAGTGATCTAGTGTTGAAACTTTATTCCTTTTATACTTCTGTCTTATGCCTTCACCAGTAGTGATCTGGTATTAAAGCTTTAATCCTTATATGTACTCCAGCCTTATATCTTCATTAGTGGTAGAGCTTTAGTCCTATTATCCTCCAGTCTGATGTTTTTTCATTTGTAGTCATCTGATTTCCATACAAGATTTTGTGTAAAGTTCACTATAGTATCTTCATCCGAAAGGATCATGCGTTGGGTCCTATAAAAATGTAATATTTCTTATTCTAGCTTGCCAATGATCAAAGTTTGATTGAGTTGATTCTGGAAGATGCTCGAGGCATAGAAGAGAGACAAGAAACTGATTCCATCCCTTTGGTTGACGACATTCGATCTCATCTCTATAGCTCGCTACTTCCAAACTATTCGTCTGAAAACCCAACTTCTTCGTCTGAACAAAGGCTTGAAGCTCTTGAACATATGCTTAGAAACATAGGCCTCGAATGTTAGAACAGTATTCGTATGTGGTTTGTTGCTATTTTTATCCCAATATTTACTTTGAAAATTTTGGTCGCCTTCAAAGGCCCCTGTGCTTTGATCTTTATCTAAATTCATTGTATATGATATATTTTGTGAATTTATGGTCCTATGTAAGGGATCCGTAATCCAGCTTAAGTCAAGCTTTGAAAACGTGAATCCACGAGCATGAAATCTAGATTCTAAAGAGCTTGGATCTGGAATTTGAAACCTCAATAGATCCTTTTTCATAGGACAACATTTTTATAATATTGTATGTTATATTAGAATAAGTAATTCTATAATTGCTATAAGCAGTTTTTGTTGAAAGTGACGTCTTCAAGAGTAATAATGTCAAGTCCATTCGGTCGACGGACGAAAAATTGGTCCAGGTTAGCTTGCAAGCCAGTAGCATTTTGTAAGTTTGGAATTCGTGTAAAATATTATGTAATGATTTAGTGAAAACGTAGCTATTTAATTAATTAATCAACATCCATACATTTGATCCTTTATGTTGTTGCTTACTTGACAAAAATTTGGTAGTTATTTAATTTGACCCTTCCTGTAGTGTATCAATATGTTGTCAAAAGGGAACAGAGGTAATATCTTCCTACGCAATCTTATAGCTAAGTATGTTTAAATTGTTCCAACGTATGGCTAAGTATGGTTAAGATTGCGTACGGAGATATTTCGTGTGTTCCTTTATGACAACATATTAATACACTTCGGGAAGGGTTAGATATAGTAACTGCCAGCAATTTGACGTAGTACCACCACTGAGTACCACGAGTACCACTGGTACAGTTTTGCGGGAATGCGGGCTCATGTATAATTCAGAATATGGCGGGTTCCTCGATTAACTTCGAAACATGTGATTCTAAAGACAGACCGTTGTCATTTTCGAATAATAATGAAAATAATAACAATAACCAGAAAGAAAGCTGTAAGGAATTACTTAAAGTTAATCCCAAACGAGGTAAGCCAATCTATTTGGTGTATAAACATACCAACTATTCTTTCATTAAATTTAAATGATTAAAATTTAAAATCCTACTAGAAAGCTGTGACTAATGACTAGTTTTTATCACTTAACTACAGAGTTTGAGAGATATTTCCTGAAGAAAGATTTCAACTTTAATGGAGAACGCAAAACATATAAACTTGGAGCTTGTGAAGGTTAGAGTAAAGAGCTTTGTTTTATATGTTCTATAATTTGAGTTTTGTCCTTTTAACCTTACAATTGCCTGCCAATTTCCCTAACACATAGACTTTTTCGTGTTCATTTCTGGCATTGCTTCTATTCTTTGTGGCAATGAAGGCGACAATTGTTCACCATCGTTCTCAAGACCTCCTTCCACTGTCACCGACATGTTTTCCATTGTTTTCTTTCTACACACATGTCTGATGTATTTGCATTTCTGTGCCATAGTTGCTTTAATTTGTCTTCCGCTAACACTGGGATATTGTGCTTTAACAGTTTCTAAAAAGACTTTCTCTTGTTATGCAATGAAAGATTATAACATTGTGGAAAGACTAATATCTCTTTGCACCAAATTCCTACAATTTGGGTGGCACTCACCAATAATGTGTTTGACTATGTCTTTATCCAATGGTTTGCGTGTGTCTTTTCCATGACCTGTTACACTTGAGACTCTAAGGATGTCTCTGTTAAAATATTGAGTCATCATGGACAGTGTTAACTTCCTGTATGAATCCTTTTTACCAGAGTTAACATCTTGAGGTTGGAATGGTTTTGCCTCGATTACCTGAAATGAAACAGCATTCCTAGAATTGAGGACTTTACTACTAAGATAGTTAAATTTTCATTCAATTATCTAGTGTAACCGCATTTCTAGAATTGAGAACTTTACTACTTGGATAGTTAAATTTTTATACAATTATCTAGTGAAAAAATGTACAAGAACCAAGGCAAAACACACAACTTTTTGAAGCCATATATGGTCTTCTTAAGACATGGACTTAGACACTTAAAGCTATCAGATAGCAGGCCACGGAAAGTCCAAGTTGTGGTGACTCATAACATCAAACAATAAAAATGAGGGAATACATTTTTCAGCAATATAGGGCAATTATAAGGTGAAGGTTTTGACAAGGTTCCATTGCATCCCTGATCATATTATCTCTAAACATACATCACATGCTTCTGTATGCTCCTCGTGATTTTGCATTTCAGTTGGTGCCATAGTTTGTTGTGTCTCGGATGAAGATATGATAGGCATGTTTTCATCAGTCTTGGAAGTTCCTGTTCCATGATGGTCTTTATGAAACTCCATTACAGGATCTGGGCTGCCTCTGTTTGAATGACCACTAAGAATACTTGGCAAATTCACCATAGTAACATATGACATAGCTCTTTCTGGTGCTGTATTCAAGGGGCTTGTGTGTGTCAATTGTGCCTCGTGAATGGTACACGATGTGAGGTTAGGGGACATTGCTACAATCATATTGTTTGCAGGGAATAGTTCATCTTGTGCTGGTTGTGCTACCACAGTAGGCATGTTATAGGATGCATCATCACATGTTTGCCGGCAGTTTGGACATATGCGTAATGAAGTGATGAATTCGTTTGACTGCATTGCCTGTGTGAGCAACTCTGGAAGACCTTAGAAATATTTGAAATTTCTTTGTGAGAAGCATAGAAAGGTTTTCTGAAGATGCAAGGCATTTCAACTCTTAAAAATAATTTTTCATGCTTCAAACATAATTTTTAGTCAACTTGGTAACAATTTTAAATTCCCCACCATTTGGTCTCTTTCTATTGGTTCAGAATATAATAAAATATTTTGTATCTGCCCAGTAAAAAAATGTGAAAATCCAATGATTTATGGAAAGGAGTTTTTTAAATAAGTTCTCTATAAAATGGCAACCAATACTCTACTTGTATATGATTAAGGTCTAACCGTTTTGTAACTTATGATTCATTTTCATCAGCTCTTTCACTCTAGTTTTTTCTTTCGTCAGTTCTTTATTAAGCTGTTCCATTTTATTTCTCAATGAAGGTCCCTGTTCCATATAATTGTCCCTCATTACCAGTCTATGTTGTGATATTGGTAATGCCAGACTTGTGATTTGATTATCATCAATGAGCTCCGTATCCTCAGATAACAACAGACTTTGATGTTCTTCCAGTAGCTTTCTATCCTCTAAAATTTATTTTGTTGCATGTTTCATAGAGCTATATTTATTGGGTTTTTGTAAAACAAAAACTCTAAAATGAGCTTATTGGTTTATAGCTGAATTTGCATTTGATTGTGTAAACAATTCTAAGCTAAATCAATTGGACAGTTTATGTTAGTTTGCAAATTAATCAATTGCTAAACTATCTTCACAAAGCAGGAAAAATTAAAACATTTGTTTTAAATGTGTCTGTTTCACATTTTTGCTATTTTATAAAAGAAATAAGAGGGTTTTTTGTGTTAGCACTTGCTTGTGCAGACCTTTTGGGAAAACTCAATAGCGCGTCCTGGGCACATATTCTCGATTGTTGCATGCATGCTTGGAAGATTTTTGTTATAGGTATCTAGATAATTTGAAGAGTTTGTTAGTTTTTGTAGAACAGTACAACAATTTGCCATTCAATTTTCATTCATTTGTGTTGTGCAAATTTTGCTGTCATTGATTTCAAAGAAATGACTAGTGATAATGTTCTAAAATTTACAAAAGACGACGAAAACTTTTGCGAGCAATCTTACGAGCTGGTTTCACAACAGTGCGCGTCATGTGCAGTGGTCATGTGACTAACACGCGGGTGTGAATTTTAACATGTGCTATTTTCAACAATCACTTCGCCGCCATTGTTTTGTTTTTGATATATTTTCGCTAAAACGGATCGAGGCAAGTCCCGTAAAGTACAAAAACATATCGAAGAAGCATATAAACTGTGTCACTAACCGCTCACGCAAGCAACCCGGCCAAGTTTTCCTTTATTTACCACTGTAGAAACATCGCCTCTTTCTACAGTTAAGAACGATATAATCCCTTCTTTAGTGAAGTCGTGTAGCATGGATTTATCGCGAACGTAATTTTCTGTCAAAATACTCGTTTTTTTGTGACCAGAACTCCATTGTACCAATACGTATTTCATTGCCACGGTTGAGTGTAAAATGTATGTAGAAAAATAAGTTGGAGGTCTTTTTGGACGTGGTATTTTTCGTGTCAATAATTCACACGTCTAAGGAAGCAACTAGATAACAATACGAGCCCGTGCTTTATTTTTGCAAGTACAGCGGCTGTCATTATTATTTTTGGTTTACTCAGAAGGGGAGGTACGGATGGATGTACTGAACGGAACACCAATTCTACTACATTTTGTTACTTTAAACTATTTTGGAGTTATTTTTAATAATCGATCGATTTGTGAAGAATGCAAAGAGTAATTTATGACCAAATATTTGCACGCAAAACGACTTCCTAAATTTTTAATGTGTAATTATGCCAAATACAATCTTTTCAGCCCTGAAACAAGTGAAAGATTTCCTACCAAAAATGAAGGAAGCACAAGAGAAGCTATCAAGTTCAGTTTACAATATAGAAGATGTCAAAGAAGATGAATCATTTATTAATATGGTATGAAGACTTTGGGGGGAGGGGGGGAGTGTAGAATAACATGGGAAGTTGAGACAATTCTCCATTTTGTGGAAAATAAAGAGGTTTTTTATGGAAAAACTCCGCTGTTCACGATAAAGAAATTTTTCCATCTGTTTATTATTCCACCCAAGGCTATTTATGTGTTATTTGTAATTTTGTGTTTGTTATAGTTTGTGTTTTTTTTGTATACAAGTTTGTTTCCAGCAGTATGCATTAGCTGGAAGTGTTCACCAGCACGTTTCTTATCAAGTGTAAAACCACTTTCAAATATTATATGTATTTTCATCGTGTGTAATTTGTTCTCGGTGAGCTTCGTGAGTTTAGAAGATTGCACTACGCATGCGCAGATCATATCTCCTAAAGTATTGGAGTTACGGCGATGATCTTTAGCTCATTCGAAAGAGTTCGACGAGAACTTTGATATGAGCTAAAGATCGTCGCCGTAATCCAAGTAGTTTAGGAGATGGCACTGCGCATGCGCAGAACTATTCTTGCGCATGAGCAGATCATATCTCCTAAAGATTTTGAGTTACAGCACTTACTCTGTGATTTTAGTAAAGTGCTTTGTTTTTATTGTCGAGTTTGTTATTTGGAAGATCATTGAATATTGCTGACTGACGATTCTCTATATGTGTGAAATATCTTCTAGGACATCCAGTTCGTGCAGCTGCCAAACGTGGATAGTTCCTCGTCGGAAAGTGAAGAAGAAACAGAATTAGGTGATTCTCGTACGGTTGAGGTTACTGAAGACAATATAATACTTAGTAAGAACTGTGAAAGTAAGAGAGTCCTTATTGAAGATATCACATGACATGCGCAGATTTGTGAACGTACGATAATGTAAAATTTAATAAACACTATTTCATTTACTGACGTGTAGCACTAGTACACATCATTGACATCATAAATTTTCACTTATGTATTTTGTATTCTGCCATTTTATTGACTGTATAAACTATTTTTTACAACGAAATATTTGGGTTGAAGCTTTCGTCGATAAGCGAGAAAGCAAATTTTGAAGTGGAAACTGGGCTTTATCAATTTAGACTTTAGGAAGAACCAGACCCGGATAAAGAAAGCTTCGGTTTTTGAGTTGTTCTTGTCAAATACTTTGTAACAACTCTTATTGATGATTGAGAACTTAGTTAAAATTATTTAAAGTAAAAGTTGATGGTTGAAGTTAACTTTTACGTTAACCCGATACAGCTGCTCAATATGTTTCCGTGAAACGTCATCATTGCCATCTTTAATCTTTCGGCATTAGTGGGTTAGGGTTGTGGGAAATCAGTGTAGTTGTGGGTAAGGGCGGTAGTGTGTTATGACAGTTGCGGGTGAGGGCGGTAGTGTGTTATGACAGTTGCGGGTAAGGGCGGTAGTGTGTTATGATAGTTGTGGGTAAGGGCGGTAGTGTGTTATGACAGTTGTGGGTAAGGGCGGTAGTGTGTTATGACAGTTGTGGGTAAGGGTAGTGTGAGTTGCGGGTAAGGGCGGTAGTGTGTATGACAGTTGTGGTAAGGGCGGTAGTGTGTTATGACAGGTAAGGGCAGTAGTGTGTTATGACAGTTGTTGGTAAGGGCGGTAGTGTGTTATGACAGTTGTGGGTAAGGGCGTTAGTGTGTGATGACAGTTGCGGGTAAGGGCGGTAGTGTGTGATGACAGTTGTGGGTAAGAGTTGTAGTGGGTAAATGTTGTAGTGGGTAGGGGTTGTAATGGGTTAGGGTTGTAGTAGGTAAATGTTGTAGTAGGTAAGTGTTGTAGTAGATAAGTGTTGTAGTAGGTAAGGGTTGTTGTGTTTAAGGGTTGTAATGGGTAATGGTTGTAGTAGGTAAGTGTTGTAGTGGGCAAGAACAGTGGTGGGTAAGGGTTTTGATGATTCAGTGTAGAGGTGGGCTAGGGAAGTGGTGGGTTATGACAATGGTGGGTAGGTGTTGTGGTAGGCAAGAACAATGTTAGAGTTATTATAAATGTTTGAAAAATAATTGAAAAAATGGATTTGTGTGTAAAACACGATGATGCAACCATATCACTTATACGTTCATAATTTGGCCAGTCATGGATAAAGTCATAAAGAGTACAAGATTTTTCTGCCGCATATTATACATATTATTTAGAGTAAGTTTGCTTGCAGGCGCAGTTTTGTATATTGATGATATTGATGATAGTACAACACTGCTCAGTGCTCAATATTCGCCGGTATTTGCTTTGTCATGTTTCGGCCAAACAATGTTTTCATTGTGTTGTACTCCGGTTTGATGTAATAAATTTAACGGTAATTTTCATGTGAAAAAGATGGAGCTATATAAAGTCGTGGCCATAACGTTGGTATTTGGGGATGCATTGCCAATAACATGTTTTTAGAAGCGATAATGAGGTAGGAAGTCACTAATTTAAACTGTCCGTTTAAGTTTCCCTAAGACGCTTCAAATCAGTATTCTTTTGTCCTTTTCTCAACAACGAGACTGTCGAAACGAGTAGGTACAATTTTTACACAAAAGATTTAGGCCGGTAGTGTCAACTTGTTTTTTAGGGTGGAAAATGATCTGATTAAATTTGGCAACATTCATAGTCACGTCTGACTGTATTAATAATATTTTCTAAAAATAAGATGGATATTGACGAAAATATTGGATTTCAATATTAACTGGCTTGTCTTGAATTTTCTAGAGAGGTTCCAAGTTCTGGGAATATAATCACCTTTACTCAGTTTGTCTTCACTGCTGCCTTTGGATTCATATTTACCACAAAGTTTTTAACAGTGAAACCAGTCATTCCTATAGGGTATGTAATTAAATCTTTTTTTATAAGTGAGAATTTACAATCGTAGAAATTTACATTTTAGCCTAGTTTTCTATCTTTTTGTAGACGATATTGTACAATGGTATCATATTTCATTGTTGCAAGTTTGTTAAATAACATTGCTCCCAATTTCCACATCCCAATGCCACTCCATATGATATTTAGATCAGTAAGTTGAAGATTACTGTTGAAGTTTGATGTAGAAGTAGAAGGTAGCATAGGCCAGCCTGCAAGTTTTGGTCCCTACGCATGTGTAAATTTCAGAGCTTTTTTACTTCATTAGAAATCTATTTTTGCTGCCAAACACAGAAAAATTTGTATTCCATGACCTAATTTTCTGGCTGGCTATGTCACTGATTGTAGAAGTTCTTGTATCGATTTTATCATATTCCAAATTTATTATAAAGATATTTCTAACAATTGTTGGAGCATTCATTAAAATATTTTATGTAAGACCTTGACAAGATTTGATTCAAGCAAAGCTTTGACACCTGCTATGTAAAGGCAAATTTGTAATTGCTGTCTTCACTTCCGAGGTTCTATTTTGAACTTCAAGTATTTTAGACACATTATCATGATGAATTTGTCAAATTTTGAACCTGGGTTTAGGAAATGAATCGGACACTAAATTTTAATCACTTTCCTATAGGGTTCTCTTGTGTCCAGTTTGATATTGGGCATCTTAATATTAAACAAGAGGTTAGTCATGGTTTAGTGTCTTTGATTGCAATTGATTCTTATATAAATTTGTAATTTTTGTTAATTTTTGATGGTCATTAGTTACAATCGTAGCACATATTTGTCTGTGGTGATGATTACAATTGGAATCTGCATTGCAACAATTATGTCAGCAAAGAGTCTGGTATGTATTTATTCTCTTTGTTTTGCAAATATTTTCAGCAGTATGTTTCTTAACATGTCTGTGGATGAAGATTGTCCAGGTTAGTAGAGTCCTGAGAAGGAATCTTGGTATTGATGTTGACTGATGTTTCGGCAACCTTAGCGCTAAGGTTTTCAAAACGTCAGTCAACATCAATACCAACAAACAGTCCTTCTCTGAACTTTACTAACCTGGACGATCTTCATCCACAAACATGTTACGATACTCCAAGGTTCAAACCATGTACTTTTATATGTTTCTTGTTACCACAAAAAAGTGATCATGTTGAAAGCTATTGCAACACCATTGTTGTTTTACATATCTAGTTTAAGATTATCATCTTATAGTGTGAGCTTTCGACACTGTTTTTCTCTGTAAATTTACTTGGCTAGAATGAAAATAGTCTCTCTGGTTCATCTGGTGATAGTACCTTGGATATTATGTGGATGGCTGTGGGTAAGTGGGAAACCATATATGTTGCCATTTTATGACAGACACTTTGTGAAATATTCTCGAGGCTTGTCCTCAAGGATGGAGATTTCCTAGAACATTCTGTACAGAACAAAAAAGTCAAAAGATTTAATGTGATTGCTGGGACACAAAGTATAAACTCCATATTTAACATAGTTAGATTATATATGTGTCACTTTTGGTGTTTGGTGTCAGGCAAAATTTTTAGTCTTTAAACATTATTGGAGGGGGGGGGCTCACGTCTCCTCTGCCTCCCCCCCAGTATTTGCCACCGCTTTTGTGTTGAGTTAGGTTGGTAGTGGCCTTTGGTGCAAAGTGTTTAAAAGGTCTTCTTGTTTATTGATGTGGCAAATTACATAGAATGCCATAATGGTTTGTTCAAGGTGAAATCTACATTTTCTCTAGGAGTTGTGATGCTTATTTTAGCACTTGTGATCACATCAAGACTTGGAGTTTTTCAGGTTCACAAGATGTCTTTCTCAAATGCTAAAGCTTTTATTGCTATTTTCTTGCTCTCCAATGAAATGACAGCCAGTTTGATTTCTTCCATCTCTTAGGAAGTGCTTTACAAGGAATATGGAAAGCATCCTAATGAAGCACTTTTTTATTCAGTGGGTTTTTACGTCTTGCCTTTTGCAAATTATTCACTTTGAGACCACACTCAACTTTGCAAAAAATTAAATTGCTTTTTCTTGCAGCATTTCTTGCCGTTACCCGTGTTTTTGTTGCTCATTGGAGACATCCATAGACATGTGTTGATTTACAATAAATCTGGTGAGTAGTCTTGTCTACAAGTATTTTATGTCCCATATTGGCCTCTAATACATATATTGTTTCTAGTATGTGTAGTTTTATAAAAATAGTTTTATGAATGTTTTATGCAGTGCGGTGTTTGAAATTAAATGAAGATATGATCTTTGCACTTTGCTGGACAATTCATGGGTTCGAATCCCGTTGAGTCACCTGATTTTTTCAGGTCCTGAGACGATTGCTTAAATTGTCCAGCAAAGTGCGAAGATCATATCTTCATTTAAAAATAGTTTTACTGGTCAAAATACATATAAAAATTACACACACCATTGGTATTGTAAGCTTTCAAAAGCTGTGGTTGCTCCAAGCGCAATACATGATCACGTATAATAGTTATCTGGTAATGCAACTGCTCAAAATTTGTCTGTTTTATTAGTTTTTCCTCCTATAACGACATCATTTCAAAATGAAAGATCTTTTCTTTGAAAAATTTGGTTCATCTGTAAAAACATTACATTCAATATATGTCATGTACTCTAATGCCATAAGCTAAATTAGTGGGTGTGTCCTTTCTACAAGGTACAGTTCTGACATGCGCAATATTCAAAGCCTCTGACACACACTACGAAGTTTTAGGAAACGCATCACAGGAAATGGGTACAAAGCTCACAGGAGATGGGAGACTATTGTCTGTTTTTTCCTGTGACAAAATCTAGCATTTTCTGTAGTAGTAACTGGATTTTTTGTTATTAAATGCTCGCTGCTATTTCCTTTATTAATCCCAAAGTCGAATCCGTCTCGGTCTGCTGATGCGCATGCGTACGCGTAATAATATCGAATTTTTTTTCAGAATATTTTGCTTACAAAGATTACCACGTGCAAATTCCAAGACTATGGTTTTATATTGTGGGCAACTGCATCTCTCAATTCATTTGCATACGGAGCGTTTTTGTGCTGACGACCGAGTTTTCATCTCTCACGGTGACGTTGGTCGTAACGCTACGGAAGTTTGTGAGTTTATTGATTTCGATATTTTTCTTTAAGAATCCTTTCACGAAGTACCATTGGATTGCAACCTTTCTCGTGTTTGGCGGCACGTTTCTATTTCTCGACTTACATAATAAATTCTTAGAAGTTTTCGCGTTAAGAAAAGAAACTGAAAAAAAGGAACGATAGAAAGAGAAAGGGAAAGACTTTGTTATTGCCTGAATATAATTTTATCTTATGTCACATGTCTCGTGTTGAAAAACACGCGCCTTGCGCTCCAATGATTTTAAAACTTTGTTGATAATGTTAAAGTCCATCCTCTCTCTCTCTTAATGAGCAAAATGGCGTACACTTTGTTTGTTTACGCTGGATGGGTAATGGTCGGAAAGTTAATGGTGTTTTATCCAATGACTTAGAACCCAGTCCCCTTAATGTGCAACAACCGTGTGAAGTTGAGGAATGACGCTATCTTGAAAGGTCGCAAAAGCATAACTTTCAATGAAAATAAGCTTAAAGAAACTTTATAAAACCTAGACTATCAACTCTGCAACTATTTATCAACGCTGAAGAAGCACATTTCCTCTTAAATATCGTCAGTTTTGCCACTTTTCAAAATAGCGGCTCGCATCACCCTACTATAGAATTTCGACCGTTTGAATTGTGAAGTATCTACTAGATTGGGGTCATGAATAATATTTTGTTATTATGATTAGCACAGCACAAAAGAAAATATTACAAATGTTTTGATTTTCCCGTATCTAATTCTTCATTTAATGCTTTAATTGAGAGTCAATTGGAGCAATTATCTTACGTCACATAGTCAAAAATAGTGTGCCTCGTACCCTATTGAAGATGATGGCTCATACAGCCCTCATGATGGTGGAACTCTTGTAACTTTAGTCAAAATGGTCTATTCTTGACCATAAAGTAACTGTTTGATGCTTCGTAACGCTTACAACGTAGAGTTTGCGGGTACAATTGGACGGGCAACGCGTGAAGGGACGTTACTGCACGAGAATCGTGAAACGGCACGTGATCAACGATGGTCGTGGGCTGTCTTATTTGCTGCCTTTCTTATATCTTTCATTTCCAACGGCATCCATGCTTCCTTCGGTGTAATGTACTCGGTGCTCATTGCAAATTTCGACTCGGGACGTGAGGAAACAGGTTAGTGTTGAAAGAGGTCTTTTAGGAAATATCTATTTAATATGAATGGTTTTCAGAGTGGGTCATTAATACAATAGGATAAACACTGATTTATCGGTCTACAGTTATATAAGATTTATCGGTCGACAGTTATATAAGATTTATCGGTCGACAGTTATATAAGATTTATCGGTCGACAGTTATATAAGATTTATCGGTCGACAGTTATATAAGATTTATCGGTCGACAGTTGTATAAGATTTATCGGTCGACAGTTATATAAGATTTATCGGTCGACAGTTATATAAGATTTATCGGTCGACAGTTATATAAGATTTATCGGTCGACAGTTATATAAGATTTATCGGTCGACAGTTGTATAAGATTTATCGGTCGACAGTTATATAAGATTTATTGGTCGACAGTTATATAAGATTTATCGGTCGACAGTTGTATAAGATTTATCGGTCGACAGTTATATAAGATTTATCGGTCGACAGTTATATAAGATTTATCGATCGACAGTTGTATAAGATTTATCGGTCAACAGTTATATACGCTTCTGCTATTTCTGTTTACAACGCCAACGAATCCGATCCCTAATTCAAGTCTTACTCTAATCTAAACCCTAATTTATCCTACCCACAATCTCTAACCGAACTTAAACTCAAACACCATTTCTACACAAACTTCAACCAAATTGCTACTCTTTTGCGGGTTGACTATAGCACGCATTGTGCATTGATATTCGTTGGTGAAGATTATGATTTGAATGATAATCTTTATTAAAATCATTTTTAGCTTGGATTGGATCTATCGCTATGGGTATGCTGTGTTTCTTTAGCCCGATAGCCAGTGTTCTCATTGAACGGTTGGGATGTCGAATGACGAGTATCATTGGTGCACTTCTTGCCTCTCTTGGTTTCCTCATCACATCGTTTGCTCGAGGCATAACACTACTTTATTTTTCACATGGTTTGCTCTATGGACTGGGCACTAGTCTTACGTACTCAGCCGCAATAACAGTTGTTACACGAAGTTTCGACAGAAAACGGAATATTGCAACAGGTTTATTATAGTTAACAGTATTTTTCGTTAACATCTACATAATTAAACATTAGTCACGAAGATTCTTCCGTAATGTTTCTGGTTTTTGATAAAATAAAATTAGATTCAATTTGCCACGCAGGGATCGTCAAAGCCTGGGGAAAGGGCAACATGAGAATTAAGCTTTTGAAGTTGATATAACCTCTTGAAAACTGTGCTGCGAAAAAAACCCTCGTAACAAATTTAAATTTTTTTATGTCTCTAAGGTTTGTGTACTTCTGGAAGTCAATTTGGCGGGATATCCATCGCTCCTCTTTCCCAAGTGCTGTTCGATCGCTTGGGTTACGAGTCTACGTTTCGGATTTTGGCCGGTCTTATGCTTGTTGTATCATTGGTCAGTCTTGTTTATCGCTCGGATGTCGGCGAGGATAGCTCGACAACTGCGTCACCCAAAAAGTCTCTCAGAGAAATGCTTAATGTATGGCGGAGCAAACCTTATATCGTGTGGGCACTGGGTACTACAATAGTCTGTCTGGGATACAATATACCTCGTTATACTTTGGTAAGTATATAAGGGGATTTATGGTCTAGCATGAGTTTTCCTATCTTTACTGCTTCAAGTGTGATGGCACTTATGCCATTGAAAGTACCGTTAGATAAAGTGATTGCGGTTTAAAGATGGAATGAGGCTCTGATAAGCTAGGTATTGTTAATGGAACTGGACTCTCAAGCTTGCATTTGTGTGCGAACTCAGATTAGCTGGCAATTTAAAGCCGGGGAGCTCAGATTGGCTGGTGTTTCAATGCTGGGTACTTCGGACTAGCTGGTAATTACAAGCTATGAAGCATGGATTAGTTTGTGATTTAAAGCTGGGGACTCTGATAAACTGGGGACTTACAAGGCGTACTTTAGAGGAGTTGACCAATAAAAAGAGTTTTTTCGTAAAACGGCTTATATTATTCAGAAGCTCGTATGTATTCGCTAAAAGTTACCTCTGTGTAGTAAAGTATTCGTGAACTGATGTATGGACCTTCTCTAGGTAAAATATGCAACCGATCAAGGCATTTCAAAAGATGCATCCGCTTGGCTCATCTCTTATTTATGCGCCTCTTCCGCATTTGGTCGTATTTTGTTTGGAAGATTGTGTGAATGGTGTCCAAAAGTTGCCTTATGTCAAGCATGTATTCTTGGTTGTGCAATATCGACTTGCCTGTATCCATTTCTCAAGTCCTATCTCGCTCTTGTTGTTGTCGTGATTTTTTTTGGACTCCCGGATGGTGGCTTTGTTGCCTCTTTGTGTGTTGTCACCACGGAAATTGTTGGCCTCGGTAAAATAACCGAGGGATTTGGTTTTTTGCTGTTTTGTCAATCGTACTCAAACATCCTTGGTCCGCCATTGTCGGGTAAGCTAGCACCATTGAACTAAAATACGTGGAACGCTGCCTGTAAACGAAAAGCCTAGTAATTTTTTGAAGCCAAATTTGACCTGCAGACACGCGAGATTACACCCGCACACGCGTGTCTAGTTCAATCAATTTTTTTCCGCGAGAGAATCTCGAAACACTAAACACGCGTGTCTTGGTGTAATCTCGCGTGTCTGGGTGTAAGATTTGGCTTCAATGATTTGCTTCAGGTGGCGTTCCATGTATTTTAGCTCAATGGCTAGCACTCATCTTCTTCACGATGTTTATGTTCTTTTGTATGTAAAAAAGAAACAGATGCCTTAATGTAAAACACAAGAGATAAATTTATAATTTCACTACGTATCAATGTTAGTTTTCATTTCAATATAGGCATGTTGTACGACACTTATCACTCTTACAAGGCCGCATTCTGTTTTGCTGCCGTCCCAGAAGTCATTGGGATGTTGTTAATGTTTCTCATCCCTTACTATCAACGAAATCAGGTGAAGTACACGCAGGAGATCGCGGAAAACAGCAACAGCGGTATACTTGAAACTGACGCAACAACTAGCGCGTTGAATCCCATCTCCGAGACGCCAATATTCGAAGATTGTGAAACACAACGAGAAATCAATCTTGTCATTAATTTTGCCTGTGATGATCCGAGTCTTCGTCTGGTAAATGTCGTCATCAACAAAATTGGCGGGAACGAATCGAGTGGAGTAAAGTTTACGTCAGAGAGAGTAATCATTGATGCTGACCAAGATGGGACAAATGTAGCGCAAGCAGATATGCTCACATCTCAAGGAAAATGGTCTTCAGAGATGGCTGGAGTTGAAAGCGATGTAACAGGTCAAGTTGAAGCATCCGAGTGTCATGACACATTTCTATCAATGGAGAGTCCTGAGAGAAGCACCAGTACACAAACTGTTACGCATTATACAAATATGGAGACAGAATGTGCTGTTAGTAGCTGTAAGTCTACTGCCAGTGATGCTAATATTGTTGCGTTCTCCACAGAGTCGCCTGTAGCATCAACTTCAAACGAAGCGCAACTCGTTGGAGTAGATGTTAAAAACACTCCTCAGTCTGTTCTTCCCATTTCTACATTGCTTTCCGTTCAGATAAAGTCATCGGATGAACGCCTTGATGCGACAGCATCGTCTGTTATACATATTACATCAAGTAATGTAGACTTGTCACGTGATGAACATGAGACACAAGAGAAAATTATCAAACCGTCGGACGACGACACGATACGATTACCTCCCCCACCCAAACATGTGAAAGATGCAAGGGTACGCCACACGTCAAAAAATGAAATATATGGTTGCTATGACAGTCACGTGGATGGCACGCAAGAGGTGACGCCAAGCGTTAATTTGGAAGAAACATCTTCAAACAATCGGTCGGTTTGTCTCTTGGATTGGACTGGATCTCCGTCAGATACGACTAGTTTAAAGACAGAAGTCATGCAGGGAAAAGAAACTGGCCTTGAACATGACATAAAATGCTTAAATTCTGATCTTGCCAGCTCGAAATTGGGTCTCGAAGCTAATCTCAGTGCATTTGAACCAGTATCGACTGGCTTGGAGTCACCTTGTGGTAGAGCTCAGAATGACGTGACTGGTTTACCATCTAATTTCACAGAACTAACTGGATTAGAATCTGCAATCAAAACCGGATTAGAATCTGCAATCAATCCAAATGAGGAACCTCTAATGTTGAAAAATTTCTCTTCCGGGTTAAATGATCCATGTCTGTCGCCTGTCTTTTCAACCGATCAATCGCGCATGAGCAATATGAAAGATGAGCTCACCTCGACTCAACTACCAGAACCTTTGAAGCCAACAAGCATCAACTCATTCAGCGACAATGAGATGCAAGATCCTGCGAACACGGCTGAAGTCCCGCAAGCATCCAGTCCATTATCGTGCGAATTGAGTACTGTCATTGCTGACGTCATTCAGAGCCTGACGTCACAGCAGTCTGCCAAGTCCAATAAGGAGTCGAGTGCATCCACGAACGAGGGATCTGAATGTTTTGCTGATGTTAAAGTGGATAAAAAGGAGACGACTGAAAGCAATTTGTTCAAAGCAAAGCAATGTGAATTTGCTGACAAGGTTGAGCCTTCAAACCAACCTTCTTTTTACAAATTTCAAACGCCTGTACTTCATTCCATGCAAAGTATTGTTGCCGAAGGCAGCCCGGAGGATGTTGCTCTTCTTCAAGATATATCTATCGATCTTACCCTTGACAAAGATCCCTCGTTTGATTCCCTTGTTACGCTTGACGATTTAGCTGAGACCAACAAAGACACCTGTGAACCTCATGTATCCCAACGTAACTCCTTCATTCCTTCTCCCTCAAGAAAAGTATCCTTTAAGACACCAGCAGTTGCAATTAATAAAGAGACGAATACACAGGAATATTCACCCAGCAAAGATTTCTCCCTTCAAGATCATCATTTATCCCTGGGTGTTCCTAATCATTCATCTTATGTTTCACAAAGCGATCCATCCAATGGCTTCAGTCATCCCCAACAGCCTTTTTTTGCTGAAAGTAAGAAACCCGTGGAAACATCCCATTCCGATCCACCATCCCTCTCTCACACGAACAACGATGGTTCCCATCTTGATTATTCATTTCATTACACTGCGCATGCGTCAGAGCAAGTAGGCCCGGGAGTTTTTTCTGCCGTTTGTAATCCCAATAACAATGATGTGTCATGGACAGACGCGGTTTCATCAACATTCGACCGTGTATCCAAGACAAACGCGGAATTGTCAATCCGAGATCTTTGTAACATGGAAAAATCTTCTTTGCAAACGTGTGAAGCAGCAATACCTAGCCCTGATTTCACCGCCAGCACGAAAGATCTTTGCTGGTCAGACACATGCAATTCAAACAAAGCAGTCGACCTGAATCAGGCAATTTCGTTGAGTCCGAATGTTTTGTCTTACAGTCCATGTTCAACTGAACAAATTGATGAAGTTTTTAAGACCGATGCCCAATGCGACAGGATGCTGCCGGAAAACTTCCAAAATCTTGACACCATCGACGGAGCCACTTTGAACAACTCTAAAATAACACCGTTTACCACTCAAACTGATTCATTTCCTTATCTCACAACAGAACAAAAAGATACAAAAACAAGCATAGAAAAAGACGTTTTTTATGAATCGACTAGTGTGCGCTCAGATTGTCCCGTCGATGTTGTGATTGAAGACACAATATTTCTTGAGATTGTTCCATCGAACTCTGCTCAAGAGGGGGATAACTTTTCAGCTCAAGAATCAGGCAACTATACAATCAATCAATTGCACAATAAGTTGCCAAAATCCCTCGAGTCGACGAATCCATTTTATCAAGATGTTCAGTGAAGATTCATGATTAAGTCCTTGTTATGTTGTGTAGCATTTCTGTAAAATGATGTAATTTTGCAATAGATAAACCATTCCTGAACATGTTGAAAGTTGTTCTTACTTTTGAACTTTAATGCAAAGCTTTGGAACTTTAACACGATAACTTTAACTGCAGTAAAGTATTTACACGTGTAGTTTTGTACAAGTAATGGCTTTCCCACTCAACTCAAACTTTATAATACTTTTCCAACCTTTTTCCTACAGTATTTTGCAGCCATGCTTCGTTCATAGAAATGTCTTTAAGTGGAAAAGATTTTATTGAAGAAAACGAAAGAAGTTTGAAGTCACTTGGCTTAGTCAATGGAGACTTGGTATATGTTCATTGCAATGTTGAGAATGAATGCAATGAGCCAAAGGAGTGACGTCGGGCAATTTCTACTTAAACGTCGGGCAGTATTCGGTCTTTTGTGGACAAAACAAACAAATTAATCGCTTAAATTAACAAAACTAATTTTAACAAGCAAATAGGAAGAAATTTTATTACCGGGCAAATTCTTTTCGATCTTTTCCTTTGCAATTTATTTGAGCAATGCCGTCGGATAAAAGCATTTTCTCGTAGCTTAAATATGTAAAAAAAGTATTTTTTATCTAAACCATATTTTGGGTGCAGTAACATTAAGGCCTAAAATTTACCTGGCAATATTTGCCATCCGTCATTACGTCTTCCTGGCTTTCACATTTAAATTCAATTAAATATATATCAGTGGAATACCAAACACGTGTTTGATATTTGACTCTTCCGTCACGAATGACAATTTGTTACACGCCGCGGCGTTTATTACGGCACTGTTGAACAACGTGGAGAGCATTAACAACTGCCACATGGCCGAAAAATGAAGTTTCGCGTTCGTTGTAACAAGCGAAGATTTAACATAGAGATTCTTGAGGAAAACGCCTCTGTCCAACATCTTAAAGACGCCATTTGTCGAGAGTTGTCTTTAAAGTGAGTAAATTCTCTATTTTTATTTTTAATGATTTCGATCTTGAGCAGTGAATTGTATGTGAAAAGTAGTACTCAATTGTCTGAAGCTTTTGTGACGAATTTCCCTGAGGTATTTTGTCATAATTTTGTTGTTTTGCAGCCATGCTTCATTCATAGAAATCTCTTTGAATGGAAAGGATGTTATTGAAGAAAACGAAAGAACTCTGAACTCGCTTGGCTTAGTCAATGGAGACTTGGTATATGCTCATTGCGATGTTGAGGATGAATCCAAAGATTTCAGTTTGTTGTTTTTGGAAGAACTCGTTCAAATGGGATTTAATAAGGTAGTTGAATTTAATAGCAGCTTTTCAATTTAGCAATCGAATGTAATTTCACAAATCATACCACCATACTTTAGTTAAAAGAGGGTGCTTGATTTTATTAATTTTTGATTCTCAATTTACCGAAACCATGTCCTTCAACAGGAAAAAGTTGAGTCAGCTCTTAAAGATGTTAACTACTGCAGTATCGAAGAAGCATTAGATATTTTGGCGACAGGCAATGATAAAAAGACCATGCAAAGCTCAAATCGAAAAATTGACATTAGACATGAAGGGCCTTCCTCTTCTAAACATGTTGCTCAAGTTGAAACTGACGTCCGCCTTGTTCCAGATGCTGCATGCAACACTGCTTTTTGTCGTGATGGTGTTTCCTCCACTTTGGAAATGTTGTATGACAAAGCCAATATTCAGACTGCAAATGATGCGCTTTGTGTCATTGTTCATGCTTTGATGCTTGAGTCAGGATTTTGTTTAAAGGTTAGATTTCACATGGGTTTCTTTTTGAACTTTGCTGTAGTTTTTACGGAGTCACAGTGTTGAGTAAGATGTGATTAGACTGGAGAAATTACTGGCCATTTTTTAATATTTGTGAACTGAAATTTGTGATAGGTTAGTTGTCTGTGTGTTTCATCTCATCTTGAACATGTGGGAGAATTTGTTTCTCAAACTTGTTCCTCAAACTTGTTCATGGATTTAAATACGTATTATAAACAAATTTTGGCAAATATTGTAGCTGAAAAACACAATGAAATTTTCAATTTGAATTATGTCATCTGAAAAAAATGAAGCCAATTGATGGCAGATTCTCATATTGATTTTTCAGCTATAAGTTTTTCTTTATCCATAGCCATTGATTCATTTGACATTGCTGCGCTTGTTTGTATATAGGGTCTTGGTGAGTCTGATTCTCCTGAAATTTTACCATCTGGCTGGAATGATGGAGATATAGTGAAACTACACTATGTACATCATCTTACCTCAAGCATTGTTTGTCAACTGATATTTTCCGAACTTGGTCCATTTATCTATGCATATGGTAAGGTGAAAAAAAGTTTCTTGTTCCCATTAAATATTCAAAATTTTGTTTGTTAAAATTCTGCAAAGACATCCTTGTAGAGCCCCCACTCCCCAAGGGTTAAGAGCACCTTGTTAAACTTACCAGGTTAGGACCTCCTTGTTAAACATTCCTTGTAAAGACCCCAAGGAAAAGACCCTAGGGAAAAGACCCCAGGAAAAGACCCCAAGGAAAAGACCCTAGGGAAAAGACCCCAAGGAAAAGACCCTAGGTAAAGACCTAGGGAAAGATCCTAGGGAAAAGACCCTAGGGAAACGACCCCAAGGAGAAGACCCTAGGGAAAAGACCCCAAGGGAAAGACCCAAGGAAAAGACCCTAGGGAAAAGACCCAAGGGAAAGATCCTAGGGAAAAGACCCCAAGGAAAAGACCCTAGGGAAAAGACCCTAGAGAGAGATCCTAGGGAAAAGACCCTAGGGAAAGATCCTAGGGAAATGACCCTTGGGAAAAGACTTGAAGGCACCTGGGGAAAGACCTAGGGAAGATCCTAGGGAAAAGGAAAAGACTATAGGGAAAAGACCCTAGAGAGAGATCCTAGGGAAAAGACCCTTGGGAAAGATCCTAGGGAAATGACCCTTGGGAAAAGACTTGAAGGCACCTGGGGAAAAGACCTAGGGAAAGATCCTAGGGAAATGACCCTTGGGAAAAGACTCGAAGGCACCTGGGGAAAAGATTCCTGGGAAGAGACCTTCGGGGAAAGACCCTAGAGTACTTCCTTTCTTCATCGTCGTCGTTTGGCTACTATAACTCCAAATGTTTTATTAGATGAGACACTTTTTGCACATTGCTTTAAGTAATTTGTCAACAAGATGTTGAACATGTTAAAACATTTTTATTGATGTCATGTTTTTTTTAGTATAATGATATATATCTGTCTATAATTGCAGTCTGTTCAAAGGAGCTGAAATCCAGCACTTATCAAGTCAAGTTGAAAGTCTCCCATTACATTCGTTCAGATGTACCAATAAAGAATGGTAAATATTACTTTTATTGATATTTTGTTATTTTTTTATGTCGAAAGACTACCACCAGTTATAGGTAGTCATACTCATTCAAATAATAAATCATGTTGTATATATAGCAATCGTCGTGAACTATTTTACCGTGCTGCTGAGAATTCGTAGATTTTCCTATCACGCAAGTATATATTTCAAGAAACTTTTAAATTTTTAGGTGCGAGATCAACAACTAGAAATCTGCACAAATTATCGACAACTGTGAAGAATAATCTCATTCATCCTTTCCATGCTAATTTACTATCACGTATGATTATTTTTTGTAAGATTCGAAATTATTTTCTTTGGCGCGCCACGTAATTCAAACTTGTCATTTTTGTTTTGTTTTACATGAAGTAATTTGATCATGTCTTTATTGTTTTTATTTCACACGACGCTGTGCATTTCGAACTCGTTTTCATTTTTTCTGTGATTTTAGATCTTGGTGTCATTTCGCCATATTCGTTGCATGGCTTACCTCCTGAGATTCAGGTAGTAAACCTCTATTTTGCCGTTTTGAAATGAACTATTTTTCCAATATAGTCGTGTTTTTCAGTTTTTTTCTGATTAGTCTATGTTCACTAAGATGACGTCAGGTCACGTGAAGTTAAAAATTTTCAATTTTGTAGTTGATGATTTTGAGCCTGCTCCCTGTTCGTGGTGTTCTCTCATTATCGGCGACTTGTAAAGCACTTCATGTTGTATGCAACGATGAGAAACTATGGCAGTACTTTTGTCAACGAGATTTCGGTTTGTAACACAATAAATATATGCTATATCCTTTGCCATGGACATTTCTCTCGTACAAAGCTTGCAATATTCATTATTGTACCTTCACACGAATCTTATTTAAGGCACTTTTATATGGTGGTATTGCTCTCTTGAACAACTTTCGTTCTTTTGCAGCTGCTGAAAGCAATGATCGAAGTTGGAAAGAGGTACGTTATTTACCTTAATATATTAGTTGTTGATGTTTACTGGACGTTTTTGTCCTCTCCTTTCAATCAAAGGCTGTTTATGGATAGCTCTTACACTCAGTTGTTAACACATATTTTCAAAGCGTTCATCTGACACACGGGCACTTTTCTAAAACTATTATAAAGGTTTAGTGTTTGCTTTGAGGGGAAGGGGGGGGGGGTCGAGAGAAAGAAGATTTGAGTTAGGGAAATATTTAGCCCTGTCTCCAAAGACGATGCTCTCGTACGCCTATCCTTGATTCCCTCGTTCTCCGTATTTGAGAGCTGTTGCTGTTCGTAGTTTGTAAAGTGTACTTACCTTCACTAAAGCTTATTCAAATAACAATTGAAACTGCAGGCCTTTTGAGAGTTACTTTTTCTGACTGCGAATTCTTTGCTTTGTGGCCCATAATTGCTTATATTGTATTAATTTGTTGTAGAATCATTACAGTTTCTAGATTGTAGTATCTGTTTTCATGTTTATTGTATAAATCATGTCTTTGGTTAAGACGAATCTCCGCTCGTTTTCAAGCTATTTTTTTGGTTCTTATTTTTCTTATTCAAATAGTCTTTACCTTTACTGCCTATTTTTTTGCAGTTTTACAAAAAGCGCTACAAACAACGTCAACAATACCGACTAGATACAAGAACCCCCATCTATCAGCCAATCATCCAAAGTGTTCCACCTCCTTTAAATCCATTCCTACCACGAGTACCCCAAATTTTAGGTAAGGTCTCAGTCGTCTCACTTGACTCATGTCATCACTTGTTCATTTTACATGTGACAATCACGTGGACATTGCTGTGTTTTGTTGTCCATTACAGAGTTAATGCTATATGGAGAGGGGGAGCCATGGAGCGAATATCCTTTTTATCAATCCACATCCATGCCAATTATTGATCATATATGCCATTCATGCATCATTCATCCACCATCCATCGCATTCATCCATCCATCCCATTCATCCATCATCCATCCCATTCATCCATCATCCATCGATCATCCATCCCATCCATCCATTATCCATCCATCATTCATCCATCATCCATCCCATTCATCCATAATCCATCCCAATCATCCATCATTCATCCATCATCCATCCCAATCATCCATCGTCCATCCATTATTCATCCATCATTCATACATCATTGATCCATCATCCATCCCATTCATCCATCATCCTTCCCATTCATCCATTATCCCCATCCATTATTCATCCCATTGATCCATGATTTCTGTCATTTATTTGAGCAATGTTTGCAAATGTTAAGAATAATACTTTTGTAATTATGTTGCACAATAATATCGGTTGAAACTAAATGTATTTACGTGTGTGGAAGGTGAGGAGCAGACGGGGGGTGCGGCCAGTTTCTTTTTGACAAACTTAGAGTTCAGGTTCCTAAGTGATCCCAATCATTGAGAGCCTGACCACCCCCGACTACACCGAATCAAGTTCGGTGGAAAAGAAAATGAAAAAAAAATTGTGTTCCGTACTTCACCGCAACGTGTCGATAATGATGACCTAATGCTATGTCCGTGAATATAGCTTGCGATATATGATACTCGTTTTCAGTCTGCGCGCGCCGTTCCTACGATATTAACCTTGGTTACTGCATAACCTCATTTAACACCTAACAACGAAGTGGGCGTGTACAGTCTGTGCGGTAAATTCTTTTGGACTTAATATGAGTTTGGTAAATTTTGTTTGCTCTTTAAGGTGGCCCACACGACTTGTTTCCAGACTTCTTAACTGGTCAACCGAGGACTCAACCTGATTTAAGAATTCTCCGTCCAGATGATCGATCAAGGTCAGATTTGCGATTGAGCACTGCCGATAGGGTCATGCAGGGGATTTTTTTTGCTTGAATGAAGAACATTTCTGTTGTTGAACATTAAAACGTATTTTTACCCTTGTAAAGCCACCACGCTTATCTACCTTTCAAACATTTCACATTTAACCTTTTTTGCCACGCTGCCGGAGTAATTTAAAGATTTTACTATGTGCCTCGTCATGTAATTTGTCGTTTCAGAGAGACACCACAAGAAGTAGTTATTTCTTAAGAGAGGACATTTACAATACCTCGTAGTACTTCGTATTGTCTTAATTTGATGCATATTTAAGGTTTTAGTTCTTGCGAACGGGGCAGATATTTCATTTAAAATGAATAAAGCAATGTTCAAGCGTGTAAAGATATATTACTCTACAAACGCTCAATTGTAGTTTTGATTTTAAAACTTTGTCGCATTACTTATGTCTTTTATCGCCGAAAACTCTGACATTTAAGCCAAGCACCGCTTCATCTCTACTTGACGCATTTAATTTTTCTAGTTCACCTCCTAGACTACGATGTGCTGTGTCTATCCTGAAGATTTCGTTGATGTGATGTAAGTCCCTCGCGAGATGTTTTGAGCGTAGTGCAAAGCCCAAAGTTTCATGAAAATGATAATTTTCAAGACATTCGTTGCTGACATTTAAATAAGCGCCGCTCTATATCTACTTGATGCAGTCCGAGTCCATTCGAGTTCTTTCAATGCCCTAGTCTTTCCTTGAGATTTGCTTGTTGTTGTGGATTTATATCTTGAGATATCTCTTGGGCGTAGTGCAAATGCCCAAGTTTCAAAAAAATATTCTATTTTTAAACAAGCCCCGCTTCATATCTATTTGACGCAGGTTAATTTTCTAGTTCATCTCCGAGAGGATAATGTGCTGAGTCTATCCTGAAGATTTCATTTTACATTACAAGACGTAATTTCCAATTGAAAATCGGCGAAATTATTAAATCGCTTTGAACGATGGAAAATAGGAACAATTTACGGCGGTAATTTGAATAGAGACAAAGATTGAGGAAAAATCATTGAGAAAGTTACTTTCATCTCTTCCTTAAGAAGAATTAAGGTATTGTCATGGAAGTAACACAAGAAAACCCCGACTTACAAACGTAAGTTTATGAATATTTTGGTTATACGAAAATAAGTATTTCTATTGAAAAGCTCCAAGTTCATATGTAATTTCCGCTTGTTTAACCTGGTTGTGTTTGTCATTCTGCAGCGGTGCCAGATTCTGACGCTGGCAGTTACCTGTGTGTAAGCTAAGGACATAATATCTCACTCTTGCATTACAAAGACTTGTGAACATCTTGCTATTTGTGCTCTTAGGCATTTGTTTTGTGGACGAGCTTCCATTGCCATTTGCTATGCAGACATGTTTGATGTTTAATTTGATAGTTCTGCATACTGACATTCTCAAAAATCCTCACTGCAGTGTCTCGACTTTCAAAATGAAAGTTTAATACAATGATGTTTATTTTTGTCTTTTCTATTTAGTAAGGATGAAGGAGAGTTGGACATTAAATCCATCTTACAAACTTTTTTTGCTGATTTCCCGTCCGAAAGCGGTATAAATTAATGTCTTAGCAAAAAATTTTCATTACGTTTAAAGTTTCAAAAGTGCATATTGTATGGCTAAAGAATGTTTGCTGTATTGCTATGAACCGTAGCACAGTAACGAGAACATACAGTAGAGCCACTCCATTGAATTTTTTCGTGCCACACATATCTTATTACGCATGTGATTACCATACTGGCAGCCAGTAAACTGCATTGTGTGACTAATAGGATTGATGATATGGCAAACGGCAGCCAATAAACCCATTAAATATACCGCAGCCAGTTGCAGAGCAAAGTGGCCCCACTGTATATTCCTATACTGTGACCTTAGAGAGGTTTATGCCATAGTGTTATGTTATATTGTCAGCCGTAGCGAAGTTAATGATGCTGTCATCAACCATGGACAAGTGTGTGTTATATTGTCATATAACATAGAGAAATGTATGCTATCCTGTCATCAATCATAGTGGAGTGTATGCTATACTTACCTCTTTCATAGAGAAGTGTATGCTATACTGTCATTAACCATAGAGAAATGTATGCTATACTGTCATTAAGCATAGAGAAATGTATGCTATACTGTCATTAAGCATAGAGAAATGTATGCTATACTGTCATTAAGCATAGAGAAATGTATGCTATACTGTCATTAAGCATAGAGAAGTGTATGCTATACTGTCATTAACCATAGAGAAATGTATGCTATACTGTCATTAACCATAGAGAAATGTATGCTATACTGCCATCAACGAAAGAGAAGTGTTTGAGTATGCTATATTATTCATCAACCAGAAGGGTACTATATATGCAATCTTGTAGTCAGCCTTTGACATGTTTTCATTATATTGTTGGGTTGGATAAAATAGTGTTCATATTTATGTTCATTTTATGTTGGCCATAAACTACAAGTACTCTGTTCAATTAGTAAAAGACGACTCTTTCTTAATACAGATGCAACCAAGCTCCACTCAAAAGAAAAAAAGTTCACTGCAACGTTGGATCTTCTTTTGAAAAGTGTAAAAACGTATCAGTATTTCTTTTTCAATGGCAACAACTCATTTCATAAAGAGGAATATTGTAAGTTAGTTGAATTTTGCATTATATTTTGTCAAAATAATGTGAAGGAATTAGATAAAGTGTCATTACTCCATTGTATGTTGGCTTCTTTTAGATTTTTCCTACTGGATTGTTTATCGTCTTGTTGCCATTTTATCGATGACTCATACGCAACCAGAACTTCATCAAAAGTCTGCCAGAGCTGTTTTTTCTTTATCAACGGTTAATATCACTTCCAATTTATTTCTTAAATGAATTATGCAAGAAATGAAATAATATATGTAAATGTGAATAGTGAATTTCTATTTTTGAGCATTGTGGCAAAATCAAATAAAATGCAAATATATTAAAATATATAATATGGGCAGTAAATTTTGCAAAAAGGTGAATCAAAAGGTCCTTTTGTTGCAGTTGACTATTGTCAATTTAATTCAGCCAATCAGAATCAAGCTGATAGTTTAGTTTACACAGTTTTTAGATTTTTAAGCATTGACATTGTTGCTCTATGAAATGAAACTGACATGTTTGTTTTTGTGTTAAATTATCCTGACTATTATAGAAAATTTTAAGAATGTTTTTATGTAATAATAAAATAATTTAAATCACTGAATAATAAAATGCCTAACTCCAGGACTCATGCTTGTGAATGACTTAAATCCACATGTTCAATTAATATTGATTCATTAAGTAATATTTTGGGAGAAAACTAACTCAAATCTTCGTTATTTTAGTTGTTGAAGTACAAACATCACAAGCTTTACATCATAATTATGCGGACGTTGGTGAAAGTTGTTGAAGGTAATATTTGGTTCTGTGCATTTTATCAACAGTTGCAGCTATAGATAATAGCCCTCTAGTTAGGTTGAGGGAGGGTAGGGTAAGTGTAATATTTGGCTCTGTACATTTTATCAACAGTTGCAGCTATAGAGAATAGCCCTCTAGTTAGTTTGAGGGAGGGGAGGGTAAGTGTAATATTTGGTTCTGTACATTTTATCAACAGTTGCAGCTATAGATAAGAGCCCTCTAGTTAGGTTGAGGGAGGGTAGGGTAAGTGTAATATTTGGTTCTGTACATTTTATCAACAGTTGCAGCTATAGAGAATAGCCCTCTAGTTAGGTTGAGGGAGGGTAGGGTAAGTGCATTTAATCATTGTAGAATATTTCTTTTTATAGAACTTCACTCTTTTGCAAAAAATGAACTAATGGCACGTAATCCATCACAGCCATTCCCTGTCTTTGTGGAGCATTTTAAGGTGAAAGGACTACGATGTCTTTATTTGCAAAAAGTTTATAGTCTTGCAGCAATGTTTCTGTTGAATATAATTGTTCAATGGTGTAGAAAGGAAGTAATTTTTGAGGGGCCACAGCATGTCATGGGTGGTAGAGGGCAACAATAATACATGGTAAATCTAACAAAAAAGTCACAATTTTTACAACTGTAACATACATATATATATATACATGTCAAACTATATCAATCAATGTAACATCATCACATAATTAAGCAAATATTTTACTTGAAACTACTAAAATATTTGTAATAGTATATCCGTGGTAAATTATTCGAGGTGTCCCCCTGCTTTTATTCTTGGGAATGTACCCCCACTCCCCCTGGTTCTTATGACGCTTTTGTTTATTATTCATATCGTGTGAAGGTTGCAAGTCCTGGATCAGTTCCCGACGGTTCGTCACTTAAGTTGGACGCCATGGACAACGTCTGGATGTTTCTTGGAAATATGAGGTCCGCAGAATTATCATTATGCAGATGATTGTCATTTGCCGTTCCCAGATTTGTTATGCAATTGGTTAAACATGAGAATCAATTCCTGTTTTTCCTTAGTGAAATAATGGCTCTTTTCGCGTCAGATTCGTGCGCTTCACTTGGTAGTCACGTCAAAATTTTGTGGAAAATATTCTGTGATCAAGCTGTATGGGAGCAGAAAAACGTCCAAGAGGTTAGATTGTGTTTTTTACCATGTTTGATATCATTTTTTATTACAAAAACATTAAAATAGCGCAATTTTATAGTCCTTGAACAGTTATGAATGATATTGGCTTCATTGCCAACAGGTCGTATCATAAAAATATACTAAATGGTTTGAATCTTGGAGTATCGTTACATGTTCGTAGATGTAGATCTTCCGGGATAGTTGTGTCATGAGAAGGACTGTAAGTGTTGATGTTGACTGACTTTTCGACAACCTTAGCGGTAGTCATCTTCAGTCAACATCAACACCAACAGTCCCTCTCTGGACTCCATTAACCTGGACGATCTGCATCTACAAACATGTAGAGTATTTATAAAGTTAGGGTGGCTTGCTTCAAAGCTATCTAGACTTATTTTAGTTATATACGTTACGATAGCGAAATATCTTTTTGTAGGTTTCTCTGCGTTGCTTGAGTGGTTTTCTTCGCTGCAGATTTTTAAACATGGATGCTCATTCTGACGAACTTTTTAATGTTATCATTTCGTGTTTGAAAGATGTTAGAAATATCCATGAGAACGACTTGAGGTATTTTTTTCTGTCTGTAGTAGTGACTTAATTATGTAACTACATCAGGGATTGATCCATGATGTTTTTTTTTGGGGGGAGGGGGTACTTGTTTGCAACCGGCCCTTTGCAGCGATTGCTTTTGATTGGCTGTCCAGGCTTCGTGCAACCGGCCCTTTGCAGCGATTGCTTTTGATTGGCTGTCCAGGCTTCGTGCAACCGGCCCTCTGCAGCGATTGCTTTTGATTGGCTGTCCAGGCTTCGTGCAACCGGCCCTCTGCAGCGATTGCTTTTGATTGGCTGTCCAGGCTTCGTGCAACCGGCCCTTTGCAGCGATTGCTTTTGATTGGCTGTCCAGGCTTCGTGCAACCGGCTCTCTGCAGCGATTGCTTTTGGTTGGCTGTCCAGGCTTCGTGCAACCGGCCCTTTGCAGCGATTGTTTTGATTGGCTGTCCAGGCTTCGTGGAACCGGCCCTCTGCATGGCTATTTTATAAAGTAAATCTTAGAAAACGATAATCTTTTTACGTGTTATTGAACCGTATTGACAGTATTTTTAGGGACATTTTCACCCTTTTTGTACCTCCATCTAACCAAGGGTAGGAGGGGTGCACACCTCTTGTTAGTGCCGTGCAAACTCCAGGCCTTTCACTTCCGGATCCGGTCAAGAAAACTTCGGCTTCTACTAAAGAACTCGGCTCATGAAACTTGAAAGTGGAGCATATCGTTTCTCAAATGATAAATAACACATTGCCAAAGGTCTGAGCGTAGGCCAGTATTCCACGTGGCCAGCGGTGTGAATGTAGGCCATTTTGCCATGTGACTGTACTAATATTGACCGGTTACCCAAATATTGTAACAATGCCAGGGGTGTGAGTTTAAGCCATTTGTCCACGTCGCGGTACTAATATTGAGTGATTACCCAAATATTGTAGCCAACAACCAAATTTGTAAATCGACAGAGGAAAAGGTTTTTTACTTCGACGTCAACTCCGAATCCAACAAAATCCATAAAAGCTCCTGCTCCGATGCACGGCACTACCTCCCCTAAATCCATAATAACTCCTGCTCCGATGCACGGCACTACGTCCCCTAAATCCATAAAAGCTCCTGCTCCGATGCACAGCACTACCTTCACATAAATCCATTAAAGCTCCTGCTCCGATGCACGGCACTACCTTCACCTAAATCCATTAAAGCTCCTGCTCCGATGCACGGCACTACCTCCCCCTCAATCCACAAAAGCTCCTGCTCCGATGCACGGTACTACCTTCATCTAAATCCACAAAAGCTCCTGCTCCGATGCACGGTACTACCTCCACCTAAATCCACAAAAGCTCCTGCTCCGATGCACGGTACTACCTCCCCTAAATCCAAAGCTCCTGCTCCGATGCACGGTACTACCTCCCCTAAATCCACAAAAGCTCCTGCTCCGATGCACGGTACTACCTTCATCTAAATCCATAAAAGCTCCTGCTCCGATGCACGGCACTACCTTCACCTAAATCCATAAAGCTCCTGCTCCGATGCACGGCACTACCTTCACCTAAATCCATAAAAGCTCCTGCTCCGATGCACGGCACTACCTTCACCTAAATCCATTCCTGATGTATGTACATATAATGATAATTTTGAGGGAGAAGACACCTGGTAGAAATAATCAAATGTAGACACATTTTTTTTATTAATAAACTTCGTGTTTCAATTCTGTCCTTTTTCTTTCCAGATCTGCACCATTTTTGGAAACTTTGGCCGACTTAATAAAAACTGCAATAGAAATATCTGTTAAACCAATACCAACACATCTCATTGATGTTCTTGCTATAACTGTTTCGCAGATCAGATTTCAACTAGTTTCAAAAAATTTCACGGTGAGTTTAACTTTCTGATGCAAATGTATGTCAAAAAGAGGGCGAGATTTGCATGGCCAGAAAACGTCATGCTTAAGGCAAAACTGACGTTGCATTTTTCCGACCACAATTTTTGTTTCGATTAAATCGTTTGCGTATTTTCTTGTAAAAATAGGTTTCAGTGATGCAGATGGTTTCTACTCTATGCATCCAGCAAAAGTGTTATGATTCCGGACTTCGACAGTGTCTTGGAAATTGTGCTCATACCTTTATTGACTTTTGTATTTGTTCTGGCGAATGTTTTGATGAGGTATAACGATTTTAACATTGTGTTCTGTATTGGCATTAACATGTTTCTTCTGGTTAAATTGTGTACCATTAACATTAACAGTTGTCTGCTGGTTAAATTGTGTACCAATGACATTAACAGTTGTCTGCTGGTTAAATTGTGTACCATTGACATTAACAGTTGTCTTCTGGTTAAATTGTGTACCAATGACATTAACAGGTGTCTGCTGGTTAAATTGTGTACCATTGACATTAACAGGTGTCTGCTGGTTAAATTGTATACCAATGACATTAACAGGTGTCTGCTGGTTAAATTGTGTACCATTGACATTAACAGGTGTCTGCTGGTTAAATTGTGTACCATTGACATTAACAGTTGTCTGCTGGTTAAATTATGTACCATTGACATTAACAGTTGTCTGCTGGTTAAATTGTGTACCAATGACTTTAACAGTTGTCTGCTGGTTAAATTGTGTACCATTGACATTAACAGTTGTCTGCTGGTTAAATTATGTACCATTGACATTAACAGTTTTCTAATGGTTAAATTTGTTGTCCATGTAAACATCATTATTTGCTTCGACGAAGAAATCTTTTATAAAATTCATCTTAAATTATAGCGCGTTGAGAAATGTCTTGCAGATTTGATTCTTTTTGATATATGGCAAAGCAATCAGGTATAAAGTGACTTGTCGAAGGACTCCTCTCTGCTCTTCCTCGCGATTCTTACATGCATGTGTGTTTGACTGTATGTTGCATTTGTTTTGTTTCGATTGCTCATTCTAATCTTTCTTCTTTTTAATTCGTAGACCATTGACTATAGTTTGCCAGAAACTACGCTAGGTCGTCTTTACGCGAGATTGAAGGGAATTATAAACGATGTACGTGGTCTTGATGATTGCAAGGTATTGAATACGGAGTTTTAAACCAAATCACTATCTATATGCTTTTATGACATTTCTAAGGTTACATTTCGCGAAACACATTGCAAGAAAACGAAAGATTTCTTTGCATACTTGAAAGTGAAGAACTCTGATTTTGCATGAAAAATTTTCAATTTAAACTTTTGGGATCGACGACAACGTTTTTAAACCAAGTATGTGATGATGAGTTATTTACTAAAGAAATTCTCGCTATAGATATTGGATAATCAGCTATAGATATTAAATACTCAGCTATAGATATTAGATAATCAGATATAGATTATCGTGACATAATTGTCATTCATCTTAAATGTTTCATTAATCTTATACTCTTTAGATCACATGTCATTTTTCAATTTACTTTGTAGGAGCTCAATAACTTGTGGATGAAACTATTATTGTTACTGGGATCTTTGTTACAGTTAGTCGAAAGAAAGGACGAGTTTGTTTTAAATACGTATCTTGCATTTCTTGGTAAGTGCTTTGATTTGTTGTGTGAATGTAACTTAGTTTACCACAAAGTTTTTGCTTCTTTTTTCTCGACAGCTATGGCGGACAGTGTAGTTAAAGAAATAGCCTTACTCATATTCGACACAATCGATAAAGTGAAATCCCCAAGTAAAACACAACAGTCAAAAGATGATATGATGATCTTGATGCAAGAGCTACTAGAAACTATCAAAAGATTCCTTCGCCATCACAAATCACTTCCTTCTACCATCCATATGTTACCATTGTTCATGGCCACCGTCACTCTACCTTGGTTTCCTAAACTTGTTTCAAATCCTGAATACGTCGCCATGTTGGCGACCTCAGCAAAGAATCATCTGCCTTTATTCAAAGACATGGAAACTCATGTTGGAAAATGCTTGGACACTGGCACTTGTCTTGAAACGCTAACGTTGTTTCCATCAAATTTTTCACCGAGTTGTAAATTTCTTGTTTTCAACGATGCGATGGTAAGTATAAACTACGAGTTTATCGTACTTTATGTAAGGTTCGATGGTAAGTATATACTATGAGTTTATCATACTTTATGTAAGGTTCAATGGTAAGTATAAACTACGAGTTTATCGTACTTTATGTAAGGTTGAGTAGTTGGAACATACTATGAGCACAGTATAGAGAACATACAGTAGAGCCACTCCATTGAATTTTTTCATGCCAGGCATATCTTATTACGCATGTTATTACCATATTGGCAGCCAGTAAATTGCATTGTATGACCAATAGGATTGACGATATGGCAAACGGCAGCCAGTAAACTAATTAAATATACAGCAGCCAATTGCACAGCGAAGTGACCTACTGTATATTACTATACTGTGATATGAGTTTACTCTTACCTCATGCAAATCCTAACTTTGCAGGAAATTTTTAGATTTTTCGTGGATTGATCAAAGGAGATAAGCTGAAATTTACGAGTTGAAATAGTTGTTTGTTGTCAGTGTGGAAAAATTTACAAGTTGAAATAGTTGTTTGTTGTCAGTGTGGAAAAAAGTGAAATAATAAAGTTGCAGTTATTGTAATAAGAGAAATCTCATTGTAATGAAATAAAACTAATTTCTTCCCACTCACGTCTCTCTCCCCATTCCTCTTCCTTACTCTCACCCTCACCCTTTCCATTGTCTTCACTCCATTTCTTCCCCTTGTTCCCATCTTTCACCTTTCTCATCTCTTCCTTCTGTTCCTTCCTCTTTCGCTTCCCCTCTTCCGTTATGTGTCAGTAAAACACTTTCAACGAAGGGTAGAAATGCACAATTTATACAATTCTTTGTACTTTTTTAGGAATGTGCGAAAAACGAAGACCTCCAAAGAAAGGCACTCGAGCTGTTTCCCGCCTTGTGTACTAATTTGGACGTCACTTACCAGTCGAGAATGATCGATCCTTTTTTGCAACTCTCCTCAAATTATGAAACTTTTCAAAATTTACTGCCCGCAGTCTTGGGAACATTAGGATGTGCTATGTGCCAATGTTCACGAATTTTTTTCGAAGTTAAAAAGTATCCTTACACATCGCTCCTGGTAAAATGTACGGTTTGTGATCTGAAGACAGAATCAAAGAATGCAAAAGGTATTTAAGAAAGTTTTTAAGCATGTCGAGACTGTGTTTTACTTCTTTGGCGGTATGGATTGGAGTCTTCTTAGAGTTCCCTGATTGATGAGAACCGACTTTCAATGTCTTTATCATTTCTAACTGTGAAATACTAGTTTCGTGGCTAGCTGTGAAGTTTTGATCCTGCTATGTATATTTCATATCATTATCATTATTCAATTCTTTAGAAATCCGTTTCTACAGTGAGTGAACACTGAAAAATTTATATAGCACGAGCAAAATAGCATGCTGGCTACGCCATCGCCGTGATGCGAAAGATTCAAGAATATACTGAATGTTTTAAGATGTTTTAACCATATCTTCTTAACTGATTACTATTTTTTTGTCCAGCTGCCTTCACCAGTTTTTATGATTTTCTCGATCATTTCGTGGATTCTGTTCTACCAAAGCTTTTTTCCAAAACGCAGCTGTCATTTCTTGGTAGTCTCGAGCGTCTCGACAAACATATCATTTTATCTTCCAATTTTTTCTTTCGAGTCTTGAGTGTCGTTATAGATCTCATTGATCACTCCGACGTCAACATACGAGTAAAATTCAGGTAAAGTGTATGTGTAATGGAAATCAATTCAATACTCAAAACTCTAAAAAGTTGTGCTTTTATGCAGTGCAAATTTGGTCCTGCTATATTAATTTTTCCTTGTTCATTCACTATAAAAACAATAAATTTCTAAAGAAATAAATAATGCTAATTTCCTAAAATTTACATAGCAGGACCAAAACTTTTGGGCTGGCTAAAGCATTGCTTTTATGTGGGTTTTTGGCTTTATACATTTCTCCTGCTTGTACAGATAAAGTTGTTGTTTCGACTCACGATAAATAATTCATGTTATCTTTCATTTTTCTTTTTTAAAGTAAATTGTTGCCATGTTTGGTGACGGAAGACGACAAAACCACGAAAATTATTGCGACGAAGTTAAATGATGTTTGTACTAAAGCCTCCGTCTCCAAAAACATAAAGTAAGATGAGAAGTTGTCTGAAACGTCCTCATCTTTATACTTTTATGTTTATACGAATTCTTGTGTAGTGAAACATGCAATATGTTTTTTTAATTTATTTTACTAACGTGTTGTGTTTTTGATGTAACGTCTTTCAACATTTCTAGGCTTCAAGATACCATTGTTCGTACGATTAGTGAACTCGGTAAGACAGCAGGAGAAGATCTCTTGCTGGTGGTCGTCGTCAGTTTGCTTGAGATGTTTCTCGATCATGAGAAAATAATTTCATCTTTAGCATTCACACAGGTTTGTGGAAGATTCGGGTTTTCTTTTCTTGACTTGTTTCGCAAAGGTTTGCTGTTGATATGAATGTACAAATGTTGATTGATAGCCGTAGAATAAATAGCAATTGCTTTATATCCGGCTGAATGTGAACACACCTTCAATCCCCCACTACCCCCACTACCCCCTCCCCCCCCGCTAATTATGGTATTTACTACAAAATTTTAAGTTTGGTTTCCAAATATTTTTTCCAGCATATTCATCTTTAATCAACACATTCTTCACTTTTTAGATACATCGCGTTGCAAAATGTAGGGGCAAAACTTCCCAAGAATTCTTCGCAGATTTAAAATATCATTTGTGCACGTTTGTCGTCGAGACGATTATAAAACGGATGAAACAAAACGTCGATCATTCCGGTTCTGTTTCTTTGAAGATATTTCGTGCCATCAGCGATGTCTTCGAGTTCAGAAGTATCAAAGCATTAATGCAGGTTTGTTTGTGTGTACTATTGAACCTGATTTTGTGTTTGATTATGGTACACCAATACAGATGATTTCAATTTAAGCGCGCTATACGTCTGCCACTACATGATACAGATGCACACCCACCCCCCTGGATGTATTCAAAATGACTGACGTAAGATTTCAATAACAATTTATCCAGGGGGAGCAATTTCCCATTGTTTGCACTGATTACCCTATAAATGACTGCAGAAAGAGTTGTATGTTGTAAAAGCATGGCCGATGTTTTCAATAGTTTGAAGATATTTTTTTAAATTTTCAATAAAATTTCCTCTATGTGGTGTAAAACCGCCGATTATCGATTTTTACAACGTAGTAGTTCAGGTAATTATAAACAGGTCAGTGGTTTTCATCTATTTGCAGCTGTTTTTCTTTTCGGCGTATTTCTCTTGTATTTCTGCTCTTTTTTACAGTGTGCTCAAAGTATGTTTATTCCTCAACTGGTGCAGAAAGCTCTTCCTGAATGCGCCGTCGTTTTGCGCTGTCTTGCCACGGAACTTAAAGTAAACTACAGAAAGGATCTTCTCCTGTTGAATTTTAACTTTATATTTTCTTTTCTTGTTCGTAACTGTTCTGGAGAAGAACTTAAAGAGGCTTTGGCATTTGTTGAGGTAGCATCGTTTGTTGTTAAGTATTATCAATGTTATTAAATGATTATTTCATATTGAATCCTATTACTTATACCATTAAACACTGTTACCACAGAATAAATATATACAGAAGAGTCACTCGTGTCAGAAGAGTCACTTGATGTTTTTGTCCTCGCGCATCTCGTGCCGCGCATGGTGGCCGCTATTATTCCACCAGATGATTACGATTTTTGACTTTTTCCCAACCTTTAAAATGATCCGAAGTCGTTTCTTAAGTCAAAATATACTTGAATTCATTATTAAGTATTGACGTCATGTAATTTTAATGGTTGGAAACAAGTGAGAAATCCTAATCATCCGGCTGGAATAATGGCCGACATGAGGACGCGTTGTACACCTGAGTGACCCTTCTGTATAATCATTATTCTGTGCCATTGCTATTAAATTTTTCTGTATGAGTTGGTTGAAGTCATGTTGAAGATTTCCACATTGAGTTTCTTTTATTGAAATCTTCTATTCGTTTATAGCGTGAAACGAACGTGGATTTAGGGAGTCTTTTGAAGTCGGACACACAAAGCGTTGTTAACCAACTTCTTTTGCACCTTCATTCATCATATAATAAAGTCTTTACTGGTCTCTCTATTTTGGCCAGCAAAGCTGATGGTAGCGTCATGACGGACACTTTTAACTCCGAGCAAATGGTTAGTTTCATACACTATGTTCGATCACTGATAGTGTTACTGTCCTATTAAAAATTTTCTTTCAAATCGTTGTTTTGTTTTAAGGCCGAATTCTTACAACCTCGACTCTTGGGAATCCTAGTCTTCTTTAACGCGGTCTTATTGGATGATAGAAACAACGAAAATCAACGTCTGGCTCTCGCATCTCTCATTCAATTGATGAAAATCATGGGGGAGAAACACATTAGCGTCGTTCGTGTGAAGGTCATGGCTATCTTAAAACTGGCTTTGCAATTTGATTTCAAAAGCTGGGGTAACCTGTGTTGTGACGCCTGGCAGTGTTTCGTACATTGTCTTGATGTGACATCCCTCAGACAGATGCTCGGTCAGATATTGGTCGCTTTACAACCGCTGGTCCAGTATTCAGTCGAAAAGGTTTGATCTCTTGTTTTTCGGCAATGCTGTATCTGCAAGACGTTGTAACATGTTCTCCATGATTAGGTAGCCAATATATTTCATTATTTGATCGTGAAGAGAAGGAAAGACTTGGCGGAGAGCTTTAAGGACATATGTTGCTCGATTCCAGACCTTCCCGAGTTTGATAGCGTCCGCCATGTATTCAAAAACATTACAAAGAAAAGCAGTGAATTGCGTGATAAACTTCGCGTGCTTATGAAAGGTGTTTCGCACGAGAGTAGTGAAGTGAGACTAAACGCGTTGTTAAAACTGAAGACATTGCTAAAAGAAAATCAGGTAGCATACATTTAATGGTTATGCCTTTCAATTTCAAGGAACATGTATCCTCCATGTTTTAGCTGTACTGCTTTTCCATGTATAGAAAACACTTCACGAATACGTCACGAACAAGGACGAAGTTGATCCGGTGGTTTGTCACTTGATTGATACGGTAAAAAATTGGATGGTAATTTGCTCTCATATCAAATTATAATGGTGAAACAATCGTCTGTTGTTTTTTTCAGTTGATTGCAAGGTGTGATGAGCCTAGTAGCCAAGCTGTTGTTGCTGAATGTTTGGGAGAACTGGGTGCAATTGATCCTGGATGGTTAGTGTCCCCATGACAAGTCGCGTTAAATAAAAACATATGAAGAACATTTGTGTCCCCAAGACAAGTCGTGTTAAATAAAAACATATGAAGAACAGCGCCATTGCAAATGTTCTCCTAATTTATTGATTGCGGGCTCACATGTCTATGGATTATTTTTTAGCCATTATTTGTTACGTTCGCTCAAAACCATCTCACATCTCACCTTATCAATGTATACACATGTGAATTCACGAACTCTGAACTCTACTCCACGTAATCTCGCCTTGTTTAACCAACTTGCTTACATCACACTGCACCTTCGTCAGCATGGCAGGGATGATCGAGTATTCATTATATGTTTGTAGATGTAGATCGTCCAGTTTAGTAGAGTCCTGAGAAGGACTGTTAGTGTTGATGTAGACTGACGTTTCGACAACCTTAGCGGTAGTCATCTTCAGAGTCAAGAAAGGAGTAAACGTCAGGTTTACTGTGTTTGTTATCTCAGTCTTACGTCATAGTATTGTGTGTACAGCAAATTTGTGAGTGTGCGGATGTCAATTGTGTATTGTCTAGTGGATTAGTCTAGTAATGTGTAAATTGTTCATTTGTTTGAGGTTGTGAATAAGTCGTTTGTAAAGTGCCAGTAATTGTTACGATCTGTTTAGTGGCTGTTGTTTTAAGTTGGTATTCCATCTTTTTGACATAAGCCGTTGTCTATAGTCACTGCTGTAAGTAATGCATTTTGCCAAGTCCCAGTCAATGTTGTGTTTTGTCAGTCGGTGATGTGATTGTCAAGTCCTTCTCAGGACTCTACTAACCTAGACGATCTACATCCACAAACATGTAACGATACTCCAGGATTCAAACCATTCACAATTCAAACCATTCATGAAGTAGGACTAATGTGGTTACTAACATTTAAATCTGCCAGAGTTTATTTTGCTGTTATTTGTATCTTTATCGAGACTTTGCTTTGCTTTAAACAGGTTCCCAAAACGTAAACAGACCAGTGATGAACCAGCTGTCTTTGAGGTGCTGTCTAGCCAACTTAACCTAATCTTAGCTTACGTTAGCTGAACTTTTGCAAAACTCTTTAACATTTAATCTTGTAGATGATGTGCGACTCGCCATTATTTGCTGTTGATCTTCTTAACGAACTAGCTCGGGCGTTTGTAGCCGCTGCTGACACCCGTTCGCAGGTACGACTTTTGTTTTTAACCTGGGATGTAATGGTATAATAATGGAACCTATTCTTTTTTTCCAGGACTTCTCAGCCTACGCTATCCAAGAAGTTCTGCAAGTTTATGAATGTTCTAGTAACGTATCAACAAGGTATGGTTTTCCATTCGCGTATTGTTATGCATCGTATTTTATTGTTTCCCATTGGACTTGGAATGTTGTATTCTTTATTACATTTTCTTCTATTTTGGCCATCCTCACCATAATGATGTATTTTGTCGTATGTTTGATTGTTAGCTCCGGTTATAAGATTTGGCAAGAGTTTCCTGAACATGTTCAAGAGATTTTGAAACCGCATTTTCTATCCAAGTAAGCATTTCATTCGCACAGTAATTAATGAAATATCGGAGAAGAGAAGGTTTTTTTTGTAATTGAAAAGAAAGGGCGAATTTGCTGGGTATGATTGAAATTCCATATCTTCTCTTATGGAGTGCTAAACTTTTCATCATTGATTATATTTTCACATCATGGCAATATCGACTTGTTGATTTCCGGTTTGGAACACTTGCTGTAAGCCTGTATATGCCCCTAGAAACTACTTCATCCCCCGACTCCTTGCTAGTGGCGAATCTTATTCCTTGTTTTTGATTTTTGTATAGGTATCGTCTTTCGGCCCAGTCTTCACGGACACGATTAGGAAAATTAATCTTCGGTAGTAACATTGGGCAGAATTTTAATGACTGGATCAGCAACTGGACTTTAGAACTGGTCTCAAAAGTTCGTAATTGTAAGGCACAGCAAGTGTTTAACGCTTGTTCGGCTGTTTTTAAGGTGAACCAGTTGTATGTATTACCTTGTCTTAGGTTTGGAGTCTTTCAGTGGAGTGAATTTTTTTTTCTTTTCCAGTACAATACGAATACAGCTATATTTCTCTTACCTCATATAATGTTATATGTTGCCATTGATGGTACTCCAGATGACCACAAAGAGGTCAGTTGAACTTGTGCGAGTACTCGAGTTTATGACTTTGATGTAGGATGTGTGGAGGATTCGTTCATAAGGACATCAGTTTTGTATTTTTCGTTTCTTCCTTCTTGTGTGCGAAGATATTTCTGTCTCCAAGGCATTGTACATTGTATGATTTTTGCAACTATTTGTGGTATCCTATCAGGTTTACAACGAAATGTTAGCGATACTCGACCATCTCGTGGAAGAAGAAATGTCTGACGTTAAAGACAAAGAAAATACAACAGGTTTGAATAAAGATTGTGGTGGGTTTTTGGTCTTTTTGAAATTTTTCTTCTTCGTTTCTTTTGTGTAGATTTTAGCCACAGGAGTGCTCAAACAATCTTCTCTCTTTTGGATTTCCTGACACGTTGGGCAAGACTCAAAGCCGACGGCGGCTGCCAAACTCAAACCGTAGGCACAATATTGCGTTTCGCAAATACAGAAAGCTCTGGTAAACTTTTCCTCTGGTAGTCTAATAAACCTTTCATTTCATAGAATCGTATTGCAAACTTTGCAGATGCAGGTGACGAACGCTCTAAAGTGGAGCAATTTCTTGATGGTATTCCACAGGTGAATTGGCTCGATAAAGTCATGTATTATCTTCAACCAAAAGTCTGTTTGTTTTAAACCGTCAATTGTCATTTGTGACCCAGTATCAAAACGTAACGTCGTCGGTTGTAATAAGCAAAACATTGTAACGGTGTTGTTTGACTTACATGAAGTGCCGTCTTTCAAACTATCGCCTGTTCTTTTTGCCATAGAAAACGCTGGCGACAGCGTCATTTCGTTGTAAGGCATTCGCGCGGTCATTGATGCATTTCGAGCAGTTCATGATGAAGAGTGGACAAGATCTGCAAGCGAACCTTAACTTTATTCAACGACTTTATTGGGCTCTAAACGAACCGGATGGTGTTATGGGAGTAGCAGCCGTTAGAGATTGTCCAGCGTCATTAGAGGAGGTTATATTGCAACATGAAAGTGAAGGTGAGTATTGGGAGCGGGGATAACTGTGCTAGCAGGAGATAACTGTGATAGCAGGGGACAACTGTAATAGCAGGGGATATCTGTGATAGCAGGGAATAACTGTGATAGCTGGGGATAACTGTCATAGCAGGGGATACCTGTAATATTTTCCTTCAGGAGGGTGGAGTGAGGTATATAGTTACTCTGTTGATTACAGGAACCATTTGCTTTGACATTTCTTTGAATCCTTCTGCTAAAGGAGGGCAGTACAAAGTACACAGTCATATTAACATGCCTTGTAACACTCGTATTCTCACTTGTTTGGTTTGTTATGACGAATTTTGACTCAACGTTAATCATTTTGGGTGAGAGGGGGATAAGGTACTGCAAAACATTTGGTGTTATCTTGTCTTCAAACCGAAGACAAAAAACTTATGCGATGTTATGTGTGTCATGGGAAGGTTTGAAAGCCTATAGTGGTGTGTTGTCATCTGTGTGTAGGACGGTTTAAAAACTTATACGATGTTATGTGTGTCATGGGAAGGTTAGAAAGCCTATAGTGGTGTGTTGTCAACTGTGTGTAGGACGGTTTAAAAATTTATACGATGTTATGTGTGTCATGGGAAGGTTTGAAAGCCTATAGTGGTGTGTTGTCAACTGTGTGTAGGACGGTTTAAAAAATTATACGATGTTATGTGTGTCATGGGAAGGTTTGAAAGCCTATAGTGGTGTGTTGTCAACTGTGTATAGGACGGTTTAAAATTTATACGATGTTATGTGTGTCATGGGAAGGTTTGAAAGCCGATAGTGGTGTGTTGTCAACTGTGTGTAGGACGGTTTAAAAATTTATACGATGTTATGTGTGTCATGGGAAGGTTTGAAAGCCGATAGTGGTGTGTTGTCAACTGTGTGTAGGACGGTTTAAAAATTTATACGATGTTATGTGTGTCATGGGAAGGTTTGAAAGCCGATAGTGGTGTGTTGTCATTGTGGAGAGTATCGATAATAGAAAGATGTAACGTGTTATGGGAGATGTCAACTGTGTGTAGGACGGTTTAAACTCAAATTATAGTTGCTCTTTAATAATAGAAAGATGTAACGTGTTACGGAAGATGTCAACTGTGTGTAGGACAGTTTAAACTCAAATTATAGTTGCTCTTTAATAATCGTGTTTGTCTTCCTCTTTTTTTCCTGTTATGAGAGATGTCAACTGTGTGTAGGACGGTTTAAACTCAAATTATAGTTGCTCTTAATCGATAATTTCGAGTACTCGCACAAGTTCAACTGACCTCTTTGTGGTCATCTGGAGTACCATATAATCGTGTTTGTTTTCCTCTTTTTTTCCTAAGGCAAAATTCATGATGCAGTTGCTCATTATCAAAGTGCCATACAGTTGGAACCAGACTCTCTTGAAAGTCATAAGGTAAACGGTGACATATCTTCACTAACTTCTTTATTCTACTGATACCTTAATTTATTGATTTGTTTAAAAAAATCTTCCGTTGTTGTGGCATTCTCAAATTTTACTAAACCTTTCTCCAGAGGCTCATGAAATGTTGGATTTCATTGGACAATGTGTATCCCGTGTTAAAATATGCCAGCGGTCTTCTTGAGGAAAGGTTTACCGTACTACGTGTTATTCTTTTAAACTGGTTTCGTTTTCTTTAATACATTTATTTAATTACATTCGTTTGATTTCACTGTTAACTCTAGACCATATTGGGGCGAGGCGTTAAACTCAAATATATTGGAGGCCTGCTGGCGTTTGGGTCAGTGGGAAGGACTTGAGTCAAACATGCCTAGGAAATTGGTTTGTAGATTATTTTTCCATCTTATGACTTTTTCGAAAATAGTTTTTCAAAATGCCTTTAAAAGTTGAAGCGTACTTGGTTAGAGCAGTACACAATGGTTTGTTTTGAACTCTTGACGATTCACAAGAGTCAAATGGGTATAAACTGAAATTTGTGTTGAATAAAAAATTGTTTCTTTTACACGTGATGACATTGCAATCTTTCTTTTTACACGTGATAACATTGCAATCTTTCTTTTTACACGTGATGACATTGCAATCTTTCTTTTGCACGTGATGACATTGCAATCTTTCATTTTGCACGTGATGGCATTGCAATCTTTCTTTTTACACGTGATGACATTGCAATCTTTCTTTTTACGTGATGACATTGCAATCTTTCTTCTTATACGTGATGACATTGCAACTTTCTTTTACACGTGATGACATTGCAATCTTTCTTTTTACACGTGATGACATTGCAATCTTTCTTTTTACACGTGATGACATTGCAATCTTTCTTCTTACACGTGATGACATTGCAATCTTTTCGTGATGACATTGCAATCTTTCTTTTACACGTGATGACATTGCAATCTTTCTTCTTACGTGATGACATTGCAAGCTTTCTTTTTACGTGTGATGTTGCAATCTTTCTTTTTGCGTGATGACATTGCAATCTTTCTTTGCACGTGATGACATTGCAATCTTTCTTTTTCGATGACATTGATCTTTCTTTTTACGTGATGACATTGCAATCTTTCTTTTGCGTGATGACATTGCAATCTTTCTTTTACGTGATACTGATCTTTCTTTTTACGTGATGACATTGCATCTTTCTTTTTACACGTGTGACATTGCCATCTTTCTTTTTACACGTGATGACATTGCCATCTTTCTTTTTACACGTGATGACATTGCCATCTTTCTTTTTACACGTGATGACATTGCAATCTTTCTTTTTGAACGTAATGACATTGCAATCTTTCTTTTTGAATGTGATGTTATTGCCATCTTCTTCATTCACTTAGGAACCAAAATATACAGACTGGAGCACGGCCATCGGTCAAATACTTCTTGCTACGAGAAGAAAGGTTCGGGTTTTGTTGCTTTTGTTTCACTGTAAACTTAAATGCAGGTGTTTTCAACGATAAAACATATTCTTATGTACAAGCATTCATTACGTAAATTCTAGGAGACGATTAAACACCATTCATGATCTCCCAGCGGTTACTTATGTACTGCACTGCGTGAAATAATTGCATGAGTTTTTTGAAGATAAATATGTTGTCATTCATAAGTTTTTATCATCCCGGCCATCACGAATCAGATCTCACGTATGTAGAGCATGATCACAGTATAGGGAACATACAGTAGAGCCACTCCATTGAATTTTTTCATGCCAGGCATATCTTATTACGCATGTGATTACCATATTGGCAGCCAGTAAACTGCATTGTGTGACCAATAGGATTGACGATATGGCAAACGGCAGTCAGTAAACTAATTAAATATACAGCAGCCAATTGCACAGCGAAGTGGCACTACTGTATATTCCTATACTGTGACATATCTGACCTTGCTGATTTCCTCTAGGACAAAGACGATTTTACAAAGAGTTTGCAGAAGTTAAGACTGGCACAAATGGAGCCACTTTCTGCAGCGAGAATGGAATCAGGATCTTATCAAAGAGGATATGATTTTATAGTGAGGTGAAAAGCTATCTTTATGGAATGGCGTATGTCGACTTTTACCAGGAGGGGGTGGGGAGGGGAGATCTTTCGTTTTTACTATGAGGGGTGGGGATGGGAGATCTTTCGTTTTTACTATGAGGAGAGAGAGATCTATCGTTTTATGATGAACACGTGACCGTAGTCCATTCTCTTGATAAAAAAGGTGTCAATCTCCCCCCGTTTTTTATACGATATCAAAAGGAAAAAAGGGGGGTGACACCCTTTGCATTCTGAAATTCTGAAAGTTATCTCATGAATTTTTTTGTTTTTTAGGTTGCATATTTTAAACGAACTAGAAGAAGGATTAAAGCATGTTTTTGAGGAAAATTTTCCCACCATTCACCAAAACGTTATTGAGGAGATGTTATCGAAACTGGAAACAAGATTATGTACCACTAGGGTAAGTAAGGAATGTATTTTTTGTGAATGAGAGATATATTTTCGAAAGGTTATGTGTCATTAGGGCTTGTGAGGGATGCATTTCCTAAGCGTTGTGGATAACAAGGGATAGTGATCGATATAATTTTCAAAGTAATCGCTAGGTTTAGTCAGAGATCTATTCTCTTCTCTTTACGTACGTTTTAGCCAGAATTTCTTCTTGGTTTTTTCTTACTCTTTCTGAGATGCCGTTTTTGTCTTTGTATTTAGGCATCTTTTCAAACCAGAGAACCAATCCTTTCTTTGCGAAGAGTAATGTTCAGGCTTTTAATACAGTATGTTGTTTGTCATGCATATTTGGCTATGTGTATTTGGCTATACGTAAGATTGAATACAACAGATGAGTTATTTTGAATTTTTTGTGAATATTTTGTATTCGAAATTAGAAGTTTTTGTTTCTATATTCAGTTGGTCGTTTCAGCATCCAAAATTTATGTCATTTTTATTGAATTTATCGCATTTCATCTCATATAATAGATTTGGTTTATTTACACACGAATTTATTTAGGGACGATCGTTTAACTGAAATCGAAGATCATTTCTTGCTTCAAACTGCTAAAATGGCGAGAAAGTAAGTTCAAGCTACCAGCAAGATGAAACTTTTTTATGTCTGGTACATTGTGATCGAAATTTGCGTTAAAAATGTTCAACATCTTATTTCATTTTGGTTGATCTTTTAACTACGTAAATTTCTGACTTTGTATTGTGATTTATTTGGCTTAATTGCATACTGCCTAAGAAATTCACGTTTTATCAAAGTGTAATTTTTCACAGAACTGGTCATTTTCAAACAGCTGACAGTTATCTACGCCACATAAGTGAACACAGCAACACCACTGCATTTCGTTTGGAACAATCGAAATTATTATGTTCTCAGGTACAACGCTCCATAGCTCCTTCGTATCATCTTATCTATAGTGTTAAACTCATAACTTTTCCTCAATCAACAATTTAGGGAGATTCTCTCAAAGCACTTTTACGATTGCAAAAATGGATCGCGTGAGTAGAATTAATCTGTCCAGCATTTTTTTCTTCATCTTCTGACATTGAAACATTCAAAAACATTGGTAATAAATCGAGTCGCTTTGCTTCAAGAGATAGTTTTAAAACTCCAAACTTTGTGATTAAAGGTGCCCTGTATAAGGTACAAATTGATAACAATGACTGTTATTGCTAGTTAGTCCAATTTAAGAAAAAGTTATTGATATTTGTAGACCTGTATAGAATGTATATTTTATGTATTTTATTGTGTCTACAGCTATGAGCAATCGTCGTTGAATGAAAACAGTACCGAGAATACTTTAACAAAGGCTAAGGTATTGAAAAGCCTGCTGTTTACACTTCTTATCTATTTGATAATCCATGTAAGGTCCACGTGACACGGTTTGTGTGTCATACGACCTACTGCTCCAGTTGAAGTGAGATATTGTTGTCAGATTTCTCACGTTGCATTGAATTATTGACCAGTCGGTAGTTAATTATTGACCTGTCGGTAGTTAATTATTGACCTGTCGGTAGTTAATTATTGACCTATCGGTAGTTAATTATTGACCTGTCGGTAGTTAATTATTGACCTGTCGGTAGTTAATTATTGACCTGTTGGTAGTTAATTATTGACCTTTCGGTAGTTAATTATTGACCTGTCGGTAGTTAATTATTGACCTTTCGGTAATTAATTATTGACCTTTCGGTAATTAATTATTGACCTTTCGGTAGTTAATTATTGACTTGTCGGTAGTTAATTATTGACTTGTCGGTAATTAATCATTGACCTTTCGGTTGTTAATTACATCGATGTTGTTCATCTCTATCAACCAGTGCCTATCATCATCTGACACTACGGTCTCCATTATCTTACATTATTTCATCACCATCATTCCTCATTATCCATAATCAATAACTGTCACATCATCACCATCATTCCTCATTATCCATAATCAATAACTGTCACATCATCACCATCATTCCTCATTATCCATAATCAATATCTGGCATTTCATCACCATCATTTCTCATTATCCATGTCCCTTATCTTATGTATTGTAGATCAAATGATAGTTTGTATAAATTTCTACTGATTTAACGACATGATCTAATTTCAGACGTTGCTCTATGTTGCTCGTTGGATGGAAGAGACTGCAAATTACAAACCTCAAGAATGTCTTGCAAAATACAAGGTAAAGTTTTGTTGTAAGTAAGACCATGGTAAACCTCAAGATTGTCTTGCAAAATACAAGGTAAACTTTTGTTGTAAGTAAGACCATGGTAAACCTCAAGATTGTCTTGCAAAATACAAGGTAAAGTTTTGTTGTAAGTAAGACCATGGTAGTGAAGTTATTTTGTTATTAAATCTACTCAAAATGTTGGTAAAAGTCCCAAGGGGGCCAGTCGAGAGATTTTTACCAACCCCCAAGGCTTTCAAGTACCTACATTTTATCTCTAAGCAACAAAAACTAGCATAATTTTACTTTGTAATACTATGATTGCCAAAATGTTTTAGTCAGTGCTTCTCGCACTGTCAACGATGGTTTAAATGAAATGTTTTTGTGTTTTTTGGAATTTTTATTATTCAAGTTCAAAATTCTGGGTTGTTCGTAAGACTACAAGTTCAGGGGATATTAAACTCGTATTAATTTTGATACGACTTTTGATTTTGAATAGGGGAATTCTAATTAAGTAAATACGCTATCAATCCGTCTTACTAGAAAAATAAAAATTGAGGAAACTATGGTATTATATATGTTGTTTATCGGCTGGGAGTTCCACTCTCAAAAAATATTTTCACGATATAGCGGCCATATTCCATTTTCTTTCACATATGTTTCTTTATATTTGAATCGTTCTTTAGGACGCCGTTAATTTACATAGTCAATGGGAAAATAGCAATTTTTATTTGGCGAAGTATTACGAGAAGATTATGAATTCAGTGGACGATACCAAGAAATCGGGGAAGTTGTAAGTATTATGAGAACATCGTGGCCTTTGCTTGAATTTACCGTCGAAAAGTATTGTCTCATTAACTGTCTTCTGTGTTGAAGATTTCGCATATTTTAGAATAATAAAGTAAATGGTTTGAACCCGGGAGTATCGTTACATGTTTGTAAATGTAGATCGTCCAGGTTGGTAGAGAAGATGACTACCGCTAAGGTTGTCGAAACGTCAGTCAACAACAACAAAAACAGTCCTTCTCAGGACTATACCAACCTGGACGATCTACATTTACAAACATTTTAGAATAATCTTAACAATATCTCACCACTAGAGATTTCCTACCTTTCGTGATGAAACATTATGGCGAATCTTTAAAGTATGGTGATAAGTTTATTTATCAAACTGTGTCAAAAATACTCCAGCTTTGGCTCGACTTTGGAGATAGCATTGTTGAACAAGGTTCGAAGAAATATGCTGACGTGTTTCATTTCATATATTCGTTGATTGGTCTACCACAATGAAAATAATTTCGTGTTCATCGTGACTTTCACCATTACAATCACATGTCAAAATAATTTCTTGCTCATCGTGACTTTCACCATCACAATCACATGTCAAAATAATTTCTTGTTCATCGTGATTTTCACCATCACAATCACATGTCAAAATAATTTCTTGTTCATCGTGACTTTCACCATCACAATCACATGTCAAAATAATTTCTTGTTCATCGTGACTTTCACCATCACAATCACATGTCAAAATAATTTCTTGTTCATCGTGACTTTCACCATCACAATCACATGTCAAAATAATTTCTTGTTCATCGTGACTTTCACCATCACAATCACATGTCAAAATAATTTCTTGCTCATCGTGACTTTCACCATCACAATCACATGTCAAAATAATTTCTTGTTCATCGTGATTTTCACCATCACAATCACATGTCAAAATAATTTCTTGCTCATCGTGACTTTCACCATCACAATCACATGTCAAAATAATTTCTTGTTCATCGTGACTTTCACCATCACAATCACATGTCAAAATAATTTCTTGCTCATCGTGATTTTCACCATCACAATCACATGTCAAAATAATTTCTTGTTCATCGTGATTTTCACCATCACAATCACATGTCAAAATAATTTCTTGCTCATCGTGACTTTCACCATCACAATCACATGTCAAAATAATTTCTTGTTCATCGTGATTTTCACCATCACAATCACATGTCAAAATAATTTCTTGTTCATCGTGATTTTCACCATCACAATCACATGTCAAAATAATTTCTTGTTCATCGTGATTTTCACCATCACAATCACAAGTCAAAATAATTTCTTGTTCATCGTGACTTTCACCATCACAATCACATGTCAAAATAATTTCTTGTTCATCGTAACTTTCACCATCACAATCACATCTCAAAATAATTTCTTGCTCATCGTGATTTTCACCATCACAATCACATGTCAAAATAATTTTTTGTTCATCGTGACTTTCACCATCACAATCACATGTCAAAATAATTTCTTGCTCATCGTGATTTTCACCATCAAAATCACATGTCAAAATAATTTCTTGCTCATCGTGACTTTCACCATCACAATCACATGTCAAAATAATTTCTTGTTCATCGTGACTTTCACCATCACAATCACATGTCAAAATAATTTCTTGTTCATCGTGACTTTCACCATCAAAATCACATGTCAAAATAATTTCTTGCTCATCGTGACTTTCACCATCACAATCACATGTCAAAATAATTTCTTGTTCATCGTGACTTTCACCATCACAATCACATGTCAAAATAATTTCTTGTTCATCGTGACTTTCACCATCACAATCACATGTCAAAATAATTTCTTGTTCATCGTGACTTTCACCATCACAATCACATGTCAAAATAATTTCTTGCTCATCGTGACTTTCATCATCACAATCACATGTCAAAATAATTTCTTGTTCATCGTGATTTTCACCATCACAATCACATGTCAAAATAATTTCTTGTTCATCGTGACTTTCATCATCACAATCACATGTTAAAATAATTTCTTGTTCATCGTGACTTTCATCATCACAATCACATGTCAAAATAATTTCTTGTTCATCGTGACTTTCATCATCACAATCACATGTCAAAATAATTTCTTGTTCATCGTGATTTTCACCATCACAATCACATGTCAAAATAATTTCTTGTTCATCGTGACTTTCACCATCACAATCACATGTCAAAATAATTTCTTGTTCATCGTGACTTTCACCATCACAATCACATGTCAAAATAATTTCTTGTTCATCGTTACTTTCACCATCACAATCACATGTCAAAATAATTTCTTGTTCATCGTGACTTTCACCATCACAATCACATGTCAAAATAATTTCTTGTTCATCGTGACTTTCACCATCACAATCACATGTCAAAATAATTTCTTGTTCATCGTGATTTTCACCATCACAATCACATGTCAAAATAATTTCTTGTTCATCGTGACTTTCACCATCACAATCACATGTCAAAATAATTTCTTGCTCATCGTGACTTTCACCATCACAATCACATTTCAAAATAATTTCTTGCTCATCGTGATTTTCACCATCACAATCACATGTCAAAATAATTTCTTGCTCATCGTGATTTTCACCATCACAATCACATGTCAAAATAATTTCTTGTTCATCGTGACTTTCACCATCACAATCACATGTCAAAATAATTTCTTGTTCATCGTGACTTTCACCATCACAATCACATGTCAAAATAATTTCTTGTTCATCGTGACTTTCATCATCACAATCACATGTCAAAATAATTTCTTGTTCATCGCGACTTTCATCATCACAATCACATGTCAAAATAATTTCTTGTTCATCGTGATTTTCACCATCACAATCACATGTCAAAATAATTTCTTGTTCATCGTGATTTTCACCATCACAATCACATGTCAAAATAATTTCTTGCTCATCGTGACTTTCACCATCACAATCACATGTCAAAATAATTTTGTGTTACCCTTCTTAAGTTTTACATCTGCCTTATTTTCATCACTCAACTATTTTGTAGAAGAACAATCGAAATCGGATAAAGCTGTTTTGAAACAGAAACTGGAAAATCTAAATAACGTAAGATGTTTAAGTTCTAATTGTTAGACATCTCGTTTCGGTCCTATAGTATACACTCGTATCCTTTTCGGTCCTATAGTGTACACTCGTATCCTTTACTTAGCCTACTTATTGTTTTATTTTTCATGTAGATAATCAGTGAGCTGACAGAAAATTTACCACCTTATAAATTCTTCACTGCTTTCCCCCAACTTATATCACGAATATGTCATCGCAACGAGGAGGTCTGGGCTCGACTTAAGGTACGGTTTCAAAGAAACTATGTTTTTCGGGCAAGGCAAATTCTGGCTTCTGAAAATATAACTCTCTAATGCACAGGTTTATTTTTTTGTTTCAACCCTGCAGTCCTTTAATTTTCAACCCTGCAGTCCTTCAATTTCTAACCCTGCAGTCCTTCACTTTTCAACCCTGCAGTCCTTCAATTTTCAACCCTGCAGTCCTTCAATTTTCAATCCTGCAGTCCTTTAATTTTCAACCCTGCAGTCTTACAATTTCTAACCCTGCAGTCCTTTAATTTTCAATCCTACAGTCCTTTAATTTTTTACCTCGCACTGCGTCAATATTCGATTTCCACAAACATTTAGACTTTAATATCAAAGTTGATGATGACCTATCCCCAACAAGCTATTTGGCTCATGATGGCTGTGTCAAAGGTAAACAATTGTAGCAAAAAAGTAATCTTTCGATCTTAATTAAACATTGCATTATATTATTCTCTATATCGTACATACATAGACACTCAAGTACTTAGTATTAAATGTGGGTCATCGATAGTTGTTTTCTTCATCATCTTCGTTTTAGCAAACATCTTCAATTCGTGAAATTTCTCTATATAATTTTAAATTTAGTATTGTGTAATAGCGAGTGTTTCATTGATTGTAGTCGTCTTTGGCACTTCGCAAAGGCCGCTGTCAACAGATATTTACTGCTGCAAAGTAAGTCTTAGTTCTTGTTTGAATGAACACATCATATGTGATTGTTCTCGCATCGTAAATAACCGAGCATTGCAACAATTTGGTTTTGCAGGCGATCAGAGAAAAGTCTTGGAAAGTTTATTGAGGTGAGAGATCTGTGTAAGAGAGTTACTCGTTAAAATTTTGCGTTTGGTGATCAGGGATTTTTTCTATATCACCACCATATCAGGATGCTTGCAAGTTGGCCCACTTCTTATGTGATGTTTCGGAGAAGAACCGTGGCAAGGAGAATGTTCTTAGCATATCTCAGGACTTCGGATCGTTGAAAAGACTTGTTATGGACAAGTAAGTGATCTTGTTAAATAGTCTACACCTAAAACAAAATTAAACAAATTCCGAAAACGAACATCTCGTTTTCTTGATATTCAAGATAGTACAAGAGTTTTAAAACAAAATGTGGTGTAATATTTCGTCTTTATTCTAAAGACATCTTCAGACTAATGACGTCTTTTATTTTGTTTTACTTAAAATTGTCTGCTTGTCCTGGTTATTAGTCTACACCTTATATAAGACAAGAACATTTCTTTAAGTGGTCGGCGGTCATTGCATGATTGAAGACAGCTTTTGTTTTTCATGTTTTATACATACGATATTGTTGATCCAGGCTAGTGGAGGAAGGACTGTTGGTATTGGTGTTTAATGACATTTCGACAACGTTAGCCCTAACGTCAGATTACCGCTAACTTTGTCGAAACGTCAGTCAATTTCAATACAAACTGTCCTTCTCGGGACTTCACTGGACGAGCTACATCTACAAACATGTAACGATACTGCCGGGTTAAAATCATTCACTATATTGTGTTTTTCTTCAGCAACTTCAGCCCGATTATAATCCCTCTGCAATCGTCATTGACGGTAACATTACCCACTGGTAAAGGAGAAAATAAACGACATTATCCATTTCCAGAATCTCAGCCCACGTTTATTGGCTTTGATGACAAGGTTTGTACGCAATCTTGCCTTTGATGACAAGGTTTGTACGCAATCTTGCCTTTGATGACAAGGTTTGTACGCAATCTTGTCCCTCAGTTTGTTTGCAGTTTGAAGTTCTTTTCCAGATACTAAAAAATCATAGAAAAATTCTTTAACGAACAAGACTCTTTCTAATTTTTCTTGACTGAACACAAATCAAAGCATGTAATGGAGGCGAGGATGATGAAGTCATTGTAAATATATAAGATGTTCGTCCTTCCGGCAAATTATGCTGTCAACTTTCATTGTTCCCTTCCATTGTTATACAACGGAAACGACTTTAATCTTCTTTTATTAAGGTTGATGTCTTCCAGTCCCTTGCTAGACCGAAGAAAATAACCGTTAAAGGAAGCGATGGACAAAACTACACCCTCCTTTGCAAACCAAAGGTAGAAACATGCATTACTTTAGCATTTTGAGTTACAAATTCTTTGATGTTCCGTTCATAGGACGATCTTCGCAAAGATAGCCGAACGATGGAGTTTAACAGTCTGATTAACAAGGTTTGCAGTTTGCACTCGAATTCAATGGCTTAATGTTTTTTATGTTATTCTGAAACAAATATATTGCATGTAGTTGGGGGTCTATTTTAACATGTTTGACGAAGTGTTTCGGTTTAATCTTTAGATGAAACATGAATCATCTTTCAGGCTAGCATGAATCGACTTTTTGCATTATTTTATTACCTAGATGCGCAGTGCATTGTGGTCTTAGTAGTGAAACAAACCTAAACATTACAAAATGGCTGTATATCAAATGGTTAAACGAAGTGCGAGTGCAATGTTTGTTTCCTTTCCTGCAACAACAGAAAGGATCCAAAGCTTTACTGTTTTCAAATTGTAATGTTTACATTTGCGTGACTATGAAGACCAGAATGCATTGCGCGTCTAGAAAATAATGAAAATAACGCATAAGGTCAATTTATCCAAGCAGATTGAAGTACTTTTAATGTTCTTATGAACATTTTTACGAAACTTGAGCCGTCGTACCTATTGTACTTTTCTTGTTTATTTCAGTATTTAAGAAAAGACCCCGAATGTCGGCGGCGTCAATTACATATTAGAACTTACGTAAGTCGAGATAGATAATTATTCCTTGCACCAGATTAGGATTATCGTAGATTAGGATTATCGTTAATTAGGATTATCGTAGATTAGGATTATCGTAGATTAGGATTATCGTAGTGGAATGAATAACTCGTTTTGTGTCTTGTTGGTCATTTCAGGCAGTTGTGCCTCTTAATGAAGAATGTGGATTATTGGAATGGGTTCAAAATACGGCCGTCTTAAGAAAAATTTTACTCAAGATGTACAAGTAAGTCAAACAAAATAGAACCAATAATGAGATCGTTTTTCTCGTGATTTCGTCCGTTTTATCCAGGGGTCTTCCCTTTGTACGTCTATTCCCTGAAGTATTTTCCCGGGGATCTTTTCTCGGGGTCTTTTCCCGTGGTTGTTTTCCTGAAGGTCTTTTCTTAAGGGTCTTTTCTCGATGGTTTTCTCACGAGGATATTTTCCAGACGATCTTTCATCAACTGTCTGCCTCGTGGGTCGCAGAGATCTTTTTCTGTGTTTCTTTTATTTCCCGGCCATCGTTGCCAATGGTTTTTTTGATGTTGGAACATTATCACACATATGTTTGACCTCAACTTTTGATGAATAGAAGACTAAATATGTTTGTATTGTAAAAATATCGCGGCATATGATTATGTTTTATAAAAACTAACAGCAATACAGCAACAAAATGGTACTTAGTCTACAAAAATATATCGTTTTTATATTGTTGTTGGCTTTTACTGAATTTATCTACTTAACATTTAATCAAATTATCAGCGAAACTACGCATCTTTTTTCATAGGGAAAAAAAATTCCATACCCGTTCCTCTGAACTTAAAAGACTTTATGAAGCAATGACCTCGTCTCCCAAGGAGTACGTTCAATGCAACTATCTTTGATTAAAATTTTTTTTTGCAACAATTTTTTAACAGATTGTTTGCTTTGTTTTATATCCAGAGAAAGACTGAAGATTTTCGAGACACAACTATTGTCACGGTAGAGTTGTATTCAAGGCGTTGAATGACGTCATTTGTTTCGGTCCGACATTTTTTCTAGACACAAATATTGTCACCGTACAGTTGTACTGCAGGCGTTGAATGACGTCATTGGTTTTGGTCCGACATTTTTTCTAGACACAAGTATTGTCACCGTACAGTTGTACTGCAGGCGTTGAATGACGTCATTGGTTTTGGTCCGACATTTTTTCTAGACACAAGTATTGTCACCGTACAGTTGTACTGCAGGCGTTGAATGACGTCATTGGTTTTGGTCGGGCATTTCCCCTAAAGTTTTCACCTTGCAACTTTGCTTGCACAACGTAAACCAAAGTTTAATTTTACTGGCAAAGAAATTACCTACAAGAAATTGGGATCATTTACGTTCACTTTCTAAAAAAGATTGAAGCTCCTTTATACAATTTCATTTTTTTAGGCGTTTCCTTACTTTTGTGAGTGAGTAGTTCTGCCTTCATTCGAATTTCGCACCAATAATATTTTGATGGGACGCTAGGAAAACGTTGAACGGTTTCTTAAAGAACATGATGCAAAGTAAAAGATTGAAGTGTCTTCACTCCTTTTTAGACATCCTGCAATCTTTAACGAGTGGTTTCTAAAAATGTTTCCCACTCCTATTTCTTGGTAAGCGTTCCATCTATTTTCCATTTGTGGTCACTATCATAAACTTTTATGGTCGTAATTTGTACACTTCCCTTCACTCCTAGGTACAACAGTCGCCTTTCCTATTGTCGGACACTTGCTGTCATGTCAATGGTCGGCTACATTCTTGGCCTTGGTGATAGACATGGGGAAAATATATTGCTTGATTCTACGACTGGAGACTGTGTACATGTCGACTTCAACTGTTTGTTTAACAAGGTTTGGCTATTTTGTAAAAATTTGGCATTTTTGTATTGATGAGTGAACAGTGGGGCAGTTAAAGACAGTGGCTTAGTCAACTCGCACGTTTGAATTTTAGTCATTCTCAATGGCGTAGTCTGCCTGCAAGTCGATTTACTAACATTAAAAACAATAAATTGCCATAGAAATGTAAAATGATGCGCTAAAATTCACACAGCACGACAAAACTTGCAGGGCCTACGTCACTGTTTCTGCTATGTGTATATTTTAGTGTTCACTCACTGTAGAAACTGTGGATTTATAAAGAAATTAATAGTGCTAATTATAAAACATCTTCATAGCACGACCAAACTAGCAGGCGGTATACACGACTGGTTTGCCATGTTAAATTGAATATAATTTCATTTGGAGAGAAGTCGATCCAATTTTGACAATTACATTGTTGTGTACTGCAGCTATTTATAAAGTGTAAATGTCAATGGAAAGAACGTCTTATTTGAAGACTTATAATTTCATGTGTCGTACAGTTATGTGGAGTAATATCTTATCTGTGTTTTCAACCATTGATTTATCTTCTTTATCTTAGGGTGAAACTTTTGACTGTCCAGAAGTTGTACCATTTAGACTCACTCACAACATGGTCCAAGCTATGGTACGTCTCATGGTGCCTTCATCGTATTTTTGTCTGTGTTTACTTGTTTTACGAGTAGTTTACTTGTTTTAACAGGGTCCTTTGGGGTACGAGGGGGTTTTTCGTCGTTCTTGCGAGGTGACGTTGAAGGTTATGCGAGACGAATCAGATTCGTTACTAAGGTGAGTGGAATCCCTGTTGTTATTGATGTTTGATGATTTTCAGTTTTTTTATGACATGAAAAACGTTCTTGCTAATAAAAACATTTACTTATAAACAAAACGCGTAAATTATTGTATTTTTCATCTTGAGTCAAATAGTTTTCCTTGTTCATCTGTAATGTCTCTAATGGAAACATTAACTTATAAACAAAACGCGTAAATCATTGTATTTTTCATCTTGTGTCAAATAGTTTTCCTTGTTCATCTGTAATGTCTCTAAAAGTAGTGAAATATATATTTAATCGATTTATTATTTTTAAAAACTTTCATTTTTTCAATACTAAATAATACAAGCATGAATTGGAGCTCGATACATAAAACAGATCGTTTTTTATGAAGAAATAACGAAGACGTACATCTTGTCGTGTCGTTATTTTCTTAGTGTCTTGAAAACTTTCGTTTATGATCCTTTGGTGGAATGGGGTGAGCGACGTCTTCGAGGCTCGGGAGCTGCTGCCAAGGAGCAGGTTACGAAACGTTTAATTATTTTTGTGCGTCTTTAGCAGTCGTGCGTCATGATGATGAAAACACAGTGATGAAATATCTCTTAGAGAGTAAAAAAGTTTTTCTTCATACATACATATCTTTAATTTTATTCATGATAGGGTCTGAAGATTGTCAAACAAATAGACCAAAGACTCCGGGGATATAGCAAGAATAAAATATTACTTCCTCTCTCTATTGAAGGAGAAGTGCATCGGCTTATCACAGTAATCTAACTATAAATTTACCTCATAAATACGTTGAATGTTGTTTATCAGAGAGGTGTGTCAAAGTTAAAGGGTTATTATAGAAGAGAGAAATGTTTAGCGTAGTTAAATGTTGTTTATGAAGAGAGAAATGTATAACATAGTTAAATGTTGTTTATGAAGAGAGAGATGTATACCATAGTTAAATGTTGTTTCTGAAGAGAGATATGTATACCATAGTTAAATGTTGTTTATGAAGAGAGAGATGTACACCATAGTTAAATATTGTTTATGAAGAGAGAGATGTACACCATAGTTAAATATTGTTTATGAAGAGAGAGATGTACACCATAGTTAAATGTTGTTTCTGAAGAGAGAGATGTATACCATAGTTAAATGTCGTTTATGAAGAGAGAGATGAATACCATAGTTAAATGTTGTTTATGAAGAGAGAGATGTATGACATAATTAACGAAGAAAGTTTTAAAAAATGTATTTTATGTCATGCATCTTTGACACAGATTTTGTTTTAAAGATTCTCGTTTTCAGATTCAGTTCAGTTTTCCATTGGCTAATTGCCTTTATTTCTTGTAGGAGGCCACAGATATTGATAATTTGTCTCGAATGTACATAGGATGGGCTGCGTACCTTTAGAATATTTTAAAAAACAGGCAGAAAGGAAAAAGAAAACTGTGTTGAAGATACTGTGTAAATTGTTAAAGTTTTGTTACAAAATTAGCATAATATGCGAAAATATTGTGTTGCGCCAGCGAACTACGGTGTCAGTGATAATAATACATACATAATTATAGCCACTGAAACATTTTAATTGTAAGTCAAGATTGCTGTAATTTGATATTATGATACAATTACAGTAAAACTATAAATCGTACTATGAGGATGTTCATTTAGTTAGGATAATGCACTTCGCATTATTTACTTTATAGTTCATTTACGGCAGAAGCGAATTTCGGAGGTAAGCACGATTTTGTTGTGACTTACAATGTTTTAAGTCTTGCTAATGTTTACGTCCATGTGAGCCTTCAAGCTCCAAGCACACGTGGTGTTTTCATGAACGGATGCTTGCGGCGTGATTCTCTGGTAAGGCTTGCTTTCTAGTTGCTAATATGAGCTAATGCTTGTTGTTTTATTTGCAGACAAAAATCTATGAGAAAGTGATTTTCGACAATGGAGAAAAGTAGCAAAGCCGGTGTATCAACCAAACGGAAGCGATCTGTTAATGTCACCGAAGAAAATGTACGTAGGATCAAAGGGAAAAGGCAAAAAATTGCGCGGGAAAATAACAACTTTGATGTTGAAAAAATGCAAGAAAATAGTTCTTTTGAAAAGTCGGATGGTCACATGAGAGGGAGAAAAAAGGTTCCCGAGAAGATTGGTAAAATCAAACAAAATAAAACATTTCATAAGTCGTCCGATATTCCTAAAACAACGACGAAAGTCGCTGTTGGGAAGACAGGAAATGAGGACAGTTCTGACGAGGATTTGCCTCTCTCAATAATTTCAAAAGGAAAAAGAAAGAAGGTAGGAAATGAAAACCACTTAGAGCTTGTTGGTAATGAGAAAATGAAACATCTATCTCAGAGTTCAAAAGTCAGACAGGTAGTTGGGAAAGTGAACATTGTTAAAAACTCTATAATGGAAAAAGATTCAGTCAAGAAAAATATAATGACGCTTGCCAAAAACAATCACGCTAATATTGGAAAAACTAAAAGTGATGAAATGAAAAAATTACCAATGAAGAATGTTAAAGGAAAAATGAAAGTGAGTCCATCTAAGAAACACTTTATCAAAACTCCTAGTCCATTCAAGAAACTTGAAAACAAACAAAATGAAATGAATGTGAACATGAATTCAAAAGAATCTCCATTGGCTGTTGATGCTTTTAAAAATTTGAAAAATTGTCCAAACAAAAGGTTGAAATTAGACATTGATAATAAAAGCAAAATTTTGACTGAGGAAAATGGCTCTGAATCAGATGGAGGGGATTCTGATATGGAATGGGAAGATGTTGATGGTACGTCAAAAGTATTGGTCTAACATTTTATATGTAGTTGCTGTGGATTGTCTATTGCTGCCCAATTATGTTTTTTTTCTGAATTGACCTTGGAGCAACATCTAGCCAAAACTATCTTATTTTGTCAATAGAGGTTTCAGAAAGTTTTCAAGCCAATGTTGGAGGATCAGAGATGGACAAAGCAGGATCAACAAGCAGCAATGTTGAAGTAACCATAAACACACCTGGAGGAAAGAAAAGCAGATGTGGACATCCGTGAGTTGATATTTTGCATCTTGCGAATTAGTCTTTCTGCTATCGAGGAAACTTCAATGAGAAACAACTTTTTATTTCAACTATAGAACTAATGAGGAAATTATGAAATTTATCCAACGTAAAATCAACAAAGCCAAAAGGAAGGACAAATCCTTGCTCATCAGGTGTGTAAATGTCTTAAAAGAATGAGGTTTTAGAAATATTTCTGTTTGCCTTAATTTGTGATGTCATGTTTCATTGCTTAAGGTTCATTTTCTTTCTTTGTTGGCTGTTGGATTGAAACGAAATGAAATGTGTAATAATCAAATTGTGCAAGTATATCTTTTATGTACCTACCTTTCTAGTTACCCCTATTGCTCTCTAACTATGTTTATTTCTTGTTAATAATAGTAATGACTTTCTAATAACCCTATTGCTCTCGAATACCCCCATTTACTCCCTAATTTTTTTTATTAATTGCTAATATAATGACTCTCTAATTACCCTGTGTTCATTATTTGCTAATAATAGTAATGACTCTCTAATTACCCCATTTGCTCACTAATTTTGTTTATTATTTGCTACATTACTTAACAATATGTATCTGTTGACTGTTGCTCTATTGTACTACTTGAATCATTCGTTATTCTTATTCATTACTATATTTCAAATTTCTCTCCAATGTTTCCATACTTTCATCAAATTTTCCAATAATCTTTATTTCATCTTTGCAATTTTGACCACATCCTTTTTTCTAATAATCATCTTCTGCCATCACCAAACATCTTCGTCCTTATCTTTTGTTCTCTTGCCTTATGTTAAAATCAGCTTCCCTTTCTGTTTTGTTTGGTAATTGAATCCATTTTACATTTTCAAGGCAGTAGGTTTGTCTCTTGTTCCTGATGTGTTTACGCAACATAAGGACGTTAAGAAATGGGATATCTCCTTCCTAACACGAGTAGCTACATGGTAAGAGTGACATCTTTCTCTGACATTTATGTACCTGCAGAGTAGCTACTTGGTAAGAGTGACATCTTTCTCTGACATTTATGTACCTGCAGAGTAGCCACTTGGTAAGAGTGACATCTTTCTCTGACATTTATGTACCTGCCGAGTAGCTACTTGGTAAGAGTGACATTTTTCTCTGACATTTATGTACCTGCCGAGTAGCTACTTGGTAAGAGTGACATCTTTCTCTGACATTTATGTACCTGCCGAGTAGCTACTTAGTAAGAGTGACATCTTTCTCTGACATTTATGTACCTGCAGAGTAGCCACTTGGTAAGAGTGACATCTTTCTCTGACATTTATGTACCTGCCGAGTAGCTACTTGGTAAGAGTGACATCTTTCTCTGACATTTATGTACCTGCCGAGTAGCTACTTGGTAAGAGTGACATCTTTCTCTGACATTTATGTACCTGCCGAGTAGCTACTTAGTAAGAGTGACATCTTTCTCTGACATTTATGTACCTGCAGAGTAGCCACTTGGTAAGGTGACATCTTTCTCTGACATTTATGTACCTGCCAGTAGCTACTTGCTAAGGTGACATCTTTCTCTGACATTTATGTACCTGCCGGTAGCTACTTGCTAAGAGTGACATCTTTCTCTGACATTTATGTACCTGCAGAGTAGCTACTTGCTAAGAGTGACATCTTTCTCTAACATTTATGTACCTGCCGAGTAGCTACTTGCTAAGAGTGACATCTTTCTCTGACATTTATGTACCTGCCCAGTAGCTACTTGCTAAGAGTGACATCTTTCTCTGACATTTATGTACCTGCCGAGTAGCTACTTGCTAAGAGTGACATTTTTCTCTGACATTTATGTACCTGCAGAGTAGCCACTTGGTAAGAGTGACATCTTTCTCTGACATTTATGTACCTGCCGAGTAGCTACTTGCTAAGAGTGACATTTTTCTCTGACATTTATGTACCTGCAGAGTAGCCACTTGGTAAGAGTGACATCTTTCTCTGACATCTATGTACCTGCCGGTAGCCACTTGGTAAGGTGACATCTTTCTCTGACATTTATGAACCTGCAGAGTAGCCACTTGGTAAGTGACATCTTTCTCTGACATTTATGTACCTGCCGGTAGCTACTTGGTAAGAGTGACATCTTTCTCTGACATTTATGTACCTGCCGAGTAGCTACTTGGTAAGAGTGACATCTTTCTCTGACATTTATGAACCTGCAGAGTAGCTACTTGGTAAGAGTGACATCTTTCTCTGACATTTATGTACCTGCAGAGTAGCTACTTGGTAAGAGTGACATCTTTCTCTGACATTTATGCATCTGCCTCTTACAAAACAACACGACATTACCAACATTATTTTGATGATTTTAGGATGAAAAACAAAGCACCATATCCAGGAGAGATCCACACGGGTAATTCATTGGTATGCAGTTTGAATCAGAAAATCTCCACATTCTTGCTATCACTAAAGATTTGTTGTTGAAATTTGACATTTTTCACCGCTGGTTTAGGCCACCTATTTGATGAGAGTCCTGGAAAAGAAAGTTTATGTATGTTTCACAATTGTTCAATAATCTACCGCGATGTTATCTCAAAACGGGGAGAGAATAACATGAGAACATGCTCTATATGTGGGATGCTGAATTTTACCCAATGATCTCCCCTCCTAACTCAGCGGTTAAGTTAGACTGTTTAGATTCTTTTGGCAAAGTCTTCGATGTAGCTTTCAGCCATTAACATTGGCAAAGTTTATGATTTTAAATGTCTTTTATATATAGTTATTGGTCGCAATTCTTCGTGTCCTGGGCTTGTCTGTTCGTCTCATAATGTCACTTCAGGTAGTTATGGTTCGTGTGTAGTTCTTGAAACGTTGTTTGCGTGTGTATATGGACTTTCGTGCGTTGATATGTTCCAAAAAAAAAGGCAGTCCATGTTGTAGAAGTTGATCACAAGAAGCTATTTCACCCCGCTAGCTGAGATTTTAAAAATTTTGATATGGGACATGTTGAAGTAGTTATTATGAACTTAACAACTTAGCTCGCATGGAAAAGACTTTATTCCAAAGCCATCATCAGAGTATATACATAATATATTAATCCTAACACGGTATTTAAATATGCACATGAAAAACATGTGACTTGGACGAGATTTGAACTCGCACCTTCGGGTACTAGTCCGCCGCTCTACCTGTTGAGCAACCAAGCTACCAGTTGAGTATATATTATGTATATACTCTGATGATGGCTTTGGAATAAAGTCGAAACACGGTGCCATCCAGTAAACTGTTATAGTGGCGAGAATCTCTCGTCCATACGCAGTTTAAAAAAGATTTGACTCGTCTCCAATCCCTGTGGGCTTGGTAGCTCAACAGGTAGAGCGGCGGACTAGTATCCGAAGGTGTTAGTTCAAATCTCGTCCAAGTCACATGTTTTTCATGTGCATAAATACCGTGTTAGGATTAATATATTATGGAAAAGACTTGGTTTGTGTGATAATCACTTTACAAGAATGTTTCCAGAACATTGCACAACAAGAAAAAAACGGCCGATTTTACCCACTGGAGCCTTGAAGACCTAAAGTTGTTTTAATTTTTTTAGGTTCTGAGTCTGAAAGTCGAGGAAAAAAATCAGAAAGTAAGCAAGCTTTTTTTATTGTTTCTGTTTCAATCTGAGTTAAATGAAACTTAATTATGGTTAGTCTTTACTGAACTGTTATTTTTTATTTCGTTTTCTCAATCTTCGTTTAGCATTATGGAAAATCTTTCTAGCACATTCCTCCATTTATACGAAAGCTCATATGTTATAATTAATATTCAATTTAGAAAATGTTTGACGAAAAACGAAAACCAGTTTTCTTCAATGGGTTTTCATTTTCATCGATCGGTCTTCACCGCTGACCATAATCATTTTAAAATTAAAACAGCAGTATGAGCCCACGCATCAATTGGACCAAATTACCTGAAGTTATAATTCAAACCTTACATGTTTGTAAATGTACATCGTCCAGGTTGATATAGTCCTGAAAGGACTGTTTTGTTGTTGTTTGACAACCTTAGCGGTAGTCATCTTCATTTTGACTCTGAAGATGACTACCGCTAAGGTTGTCGTCGTCAACAACAACATCCTTCAGACTTCTCTGGACGATCCCTTACAAACATGTTACTCCAGGTTCAAACGATTTACTTTAATTCAAACCTTGTTGTTTATTTTAAGAGCAAAAACAAGAAACGATGCCATCAAAACTCCCATAAAAGGAAAAGCTAAAGCAGAAGCCAAAACGCCAAAACAAACTACGGTGAAAAGACGGAAACGAAACAAACCCTAAAAGAGAGTTTATCAAAAGCTGAAAGGAAAATCTCCTGCTTTCCGTAAGAGCGTCAGAGACAGAGTTGAAGTCGACTATAAAGAGGACACAGTCAGTGACTATTTCAGTGATGCAAACAAAACTTCCAAAAACTCGTCAGTCGAAAGTTTTGATGTTTTCGATGACGATATGGATACAGATGTCGATTTTGAAGAGAAAATTCCAAAGATCTCTAAAGGTGGTAGTGCATCGAAACGAGGCAAATCAGAACATGTCAACCACATCAGTACTCCACGACAAGACGCGCCTTCAACCAGTAAGGACGGCGGTGTTTCAAAGAAGGGTATGTCATGGTGGTAGTCACTTTATCTGAGCCTTCTTGAAGTGTATCAATATGTTGTTATAAAGGAACACACGTAATATCTTCCTACGTAATCTTTACCATACACTTAGCCATACGTAGGACACCTTAACCACACTTAGCCATACGTAGGACACCTTAACCATACTTAGCCATACGTAGGACATCTTAGCCATACTTAGCCATACGTAGGACACCTTAACCATACTTAACCATACGTAGGACACCTTAACCATACTTAACCATACGTAGGACACCTTAACCATACTTAACCATACGTAGGACACCTTAACCATACATAGCCATACGTAGGAAACCTTAACCATACTTAGCCATACGTAGGACACCTTAAACATACTTAGCCATACGTAGGACATCTTAAACATACTTAGCCATACGTAGGACATCTTAAACATACTTAACCATACGTAGGACACCTTAAACATACTTAGCCATCGTGGGACATCTTAACCATACTTAGCCATACGTAGGACACCTTAAACATACTTAGCCATACGTAGGACATCTTAAACATACTTAGCCATACGTAGGACATCTTAACCATACTTAGCCATCGTGGGACACCTTAAACATACTTAGCCATACCTAGGACACCTTAAACATACTTAGCCATACGTAGGACATCTTAACCATACTTAGCCATACGTAGGAAACCTTAGCCATACTTAGGAACCTTAACCATACTTAGCCATAATGAGGGACACCTTAGCCATACTTAGCCATACGTGGGACATCTTAGCCATACTTAGCCATCGTGGGACATCTTAACCATACTTAGCCATACGTAGGAAACCTTAGCCATACTTAGGAAACCTTAACCATACTTAGCCATACGTAGGACACCTTAGCCATACTTAGCCATACGTGGGACATCTTAGCCATACTTAGCCTTACGTAGGACACCTTAACCATACTTAACCATACGTAGGACACCTTAGACATACTTAGCCATACGTAGGACACCTTAACCATACTTAGCCATACGTAGGACACCTTAGCCATACTTAGCCATACGTAGGAAACCTTAACCATACTTAGCCATACGTGGGACACCTTAGCCATGCCAACCATACGTAGGACACCTTAACCATACTTAGCCATAATGGGACACCTTAACCTTACTTAACCATACGTAGGACACCTTAACCATACTTAGCCATCGTGGGACACCTTAACCATACTTAACCATACGTGGGACACCTTAGCCATACTTAACCATCATTGGGACACCTTAGCCATACTTAGCCATATGTGGGACACCTTAGCCATACTTAGCCATACGTAGGACCTTAACCATACTTAGCCATACTTAGGACACCTTAACCATACTAGCCATATCGTGGGACACCTTAGCCATACTTAGCCATCGTGGGACACCTTAGCCATACTTAGCCCATTAGGGACACCTTAGCCATACTTAGCCATCGTGAACCTTAACCATACTTAGCCATACGTGGGACACCTTAGCCATACTTAACCATACGTGGGACACCTTAACCATACTTAGCCATACGTGGGACACCTTAACCTTACAACCATCGTGGGACACCTTAACCATACTTAGCCATCGTGGGACACCTTAACCATACTTAACCATGTGGGACACCTTAGCCATACTTAACCATACGTAGGACACCTTAACCATACTTAGCCATACATTGGGACACCTTAGCCATGCCAGCCATCGTGGGACACCTTAACCATACTTAGCCATACAGGACACCTTAGCCATACTTAGCCATAATTGGGACACCTTAGCCATACGAAGGACACCTTAGCCATACTTAACCATACGTGGGACACCTTAACCATACTTAGCCATCGTGGGACACCTTAGCCACTGAAGGACACCTTAACCATACTTAGCCATCGTGGGACACCTTACCATACTTAGCCATGAAGGACACCTTAGCCATACAGCCATACGTAGGACACCTTAGCCATACTAGCCATACGTGGGACACCTTAACCATACTTAGCCATACGTAGGACACCTTAGCCATATTAGCCATACATGTAGACACCTTAACCATAGCCATGTGGGACACCTTAACCATACTTAGCCATAGAAGGACACCTTAGCCATACTTAGCCATCAATTACACCTTAGCCATACTTAACCATACGTAGGACACCTTAGCCAGCCATACGTGGGACACCTTAGCCATGCCAATACACGTAGGGACACCTTAACCATGCTTAGCCATACAGGACACCTTAACCATACTTAGCCATACGTAGGACACCTTAGCCATACGCAGGACACCAGTATGGTTAAGGTGTCCTGTATGGTTGGCATGGTTAGGTGTCCCACGTATGGCTAAGGTGTAAATGCATGGCTAAGCTATGGTTAAGTCACGTATGGCTGGTATATTGTCTACACTATGCTAAATGGCTAAGTGTCACGTATGGTTAAGTATGTTAAGGTGTCCATACATTGTATGGTTAAGGTGTCCACGCATGGCAGCATGGTTAAGGTGTCTACGTAGTTATGGTTAAGGTGTCCACGTATTTAGTTAAGGTGTCCTACGTATGGTTAAGGTTAAGGTGTCGTATGGCTAAGTATGGTTAAGGTGTCCCGTATGGTTGGTATGGCTAAGGTGTACGTATGGTAAGTATGGTTAAGGTGTCCTACGTATGGCTAAGTATGGTTAAGATATGGTTAAACAATTTGGATATCATGACTATTATTAAGCACAAATGCTCTCGCCGTGCATTAAATCATTTTAAAATTTGGCCATTTCACCCTCGTCAAATTATGTAGAATTTTGATAATTTGGGCGCGTCTTGTTTTGCCAACTATCGTCCTCCGATTGATTTAGGCTGTGATTTATGGATTGAGGTGTATTTACAGAAGGAAAAACAATGGATTTGTAAGCGAAACGACCTGTTTGTTTACTATAAACTATGAAAAATCAAAACCCCGACAAACTTAGCTACTGTGTGTATGATTTCTTCAGGCATCGACGGTGAATTGTGCAGTGTAAATAAACCGGATGCTTGTGAACGACACTCGAGCAAGCCGATCAAATATATCATTGGATTTGATAATGGTAAGTGAATAGTCACAGCAGTTGTGGGAAGTCGTTGCTACATCTTTTGTCAGTCACGTGTTTATCACACGTCATTGCACTTGCTGAGTACATGGTGGCGATGTAAGGCACTACGTTGCTCATGGCGGTGAGGTACAACCAGTGAACTGTAATGACAACAGTTGATATTATAGTTCACTGTGTACAACGATTACTCAGTGAACAACTGACCTGCATGCTTGGAACTGGATGTATACCCCCTTCTCCGCTCGTCATTTGTTGGACTTGATTGATGGTTTGGAACAATGTGAGGATGGGATTACACAAGTCATCATCTTTGGATTGTTTATCACTTGTATTTTTAGAGGGCTCGATAAAAGACGTAACTTGTCGCTATGCGACGAATTGGATGACGACCACTCGAAAGCTGAGAACGGACGGTGATTGGCTGGAAGATACAATGAGTTCATTTCGTAGCAAAAACATCGTAAGTGGTTGCTTTTAGCTGAATAAACTGAACTGAAAGTTGGAAATTTTTTATCTGCTATTTACTTGTCTTTTTTACTTCTAACACCAAACAGAAACGAGACAAGAGTGAAGACTCTTTATTGAAAGGTATATCCCAGGGAATTAGTAAATAAATCTTTCTTATTTGATGAACGGTTCTGGGTTGAAATACAACAGGTTCCCAAATGAATGCTTCAATGCCTTTTTTCATCTTTGCAGCTCGATTACTTCAAAAACCGTTGCCACAAACCGTCAGTGAATACAAGAATCATCCGCTGTAAGTAATGATAAAGATGAAACTGTTTTTCAAAATGTGACATTTTTATCTAAGAGCAAATTACTCAATCTACTAGGTATGTTCTAAAGCGACATTTACTAAAATTTGAAGGTAATTTACTAAACTTCAATTATTACGTGTTCTTACGTGGAAATATTTTCCGTTATTCTTACGCTTCGTGTATCCCATGCAGCAATTTATCCTGAATCGGCAGCAACGCTCGGATTTTGTCGTCAGGACGCCGTATATTCACGGGATTGTGTTCATACGGTTAGTGGTGTCAGCGTCCATCCGCCACCAATGTACAAATTTGAAGCACACCATTGTTTTCTCTGCTTTATCTATTTTCTGTAGCTACATACACGTGAAATGTGGATAAAGGAGGCAAGAGTTGTGAAGGCTAGTATTGTACTAGATTGGGTTCATCCGGAAACTTGTGTTTAAACCAGCATCTTATTGTGGCCATTAATTTATTTGACATTAGCGACAAATTGCAATCAATGACTTAATGAAACCTGCATCTTCTTTTCAAATCAACAAGTTCTTTAAAACCAACGACTTATGTACGATTTTCGCGCGATGTTTTGATTGTGGTTTTCTTTTGTGCTTCTTTAGTCTGGGGAACAACCTTACAAGATCGTCAAGGGTCGTAAAAGCAGGGTAAACACTTTTCTTGCTTACAAAGAAAAATATTCAATGCGCCGACTGAAAAAATATTTCTCGGCAATAATTGCTTGCGATCAAAAACATGAATTTTATTGTTTTGCTTTTGAAGAAGAGCCTGCTATTGTCTGCAATTTTGTCTCGAATGACTCAACGTTGTTTTGATTGTCATACAGCGCAAAATGTTGGAGAATGTTGGCGAAGTAAAAGCTGAATTATTTGGAAGATGGCAAACTGAAGATTACATTCCTCCTGCTGTCGTTGACGTAAGTCACATTGACTGTTCGTTTTATCGTATTACTACCTTGTATTACTGACTACTTTATTATATAAACACACCATGTGAACAGTTTCATAACAAGGTTTGCGGCCTAATTTGTAGCTATTATCGTAATTAAATGCAGCTCCTGGAAAACCTTAACACTTGCCTATGTGGTGTTCCAACTCGTTTTTGTATCTTTCCTCGTTGCTCTGCTCAAGCTTGTCTATATTTTTATGACAAGATTTGCCACCTAAGTTGTACAATCATAATTCCCGGCACACCAGCCTGTGTGTTGTTCTAAATCATTTCTCTACCTTTCCTTACTGTTTTGCTCTTGCTTGTCTATATTCTCATGCTGTTTATTGTTGTTCAAGAGATGTTTATCTGCTGTCGTTCTTGTTCCAGGGTATCGTACCAAGGAACGAGTATGGAAATGTGGAGTTATTCAAACCTAGCATGCTGCCTGCCGGCGCCTGCCACATTCAGGGTAACTACCTTCACGCATGAATGTGAAAATGACAAGTTATATTCCGTATAGTGAAGTGAAAACACGTGCTATCTTTTGCTTACTTTGTACTCTAGTGCCAGGAATACACCGCCTTGCTCGCAAATTGAAAATCGACGCTGTCCCAGCAGTCATTGGCTTTGACTTCCATGGAGGTTTTAATCATCCCATGTACGTTATATGTAGGGGGAGGCTGGCACGAGGCCAGTGACTTTCGCACTGGTCCCTTTCCACCGACACAAATTACTTTATGAAAACATAGTCGACTCAAACTGAACCTACATATTTTAGCATCGATGGAGTAGTTGTTGGCGAGGAATTCAAGGAACAACTATTGCTTGCATGGGATAAAGAACAAGAAGCTAAGATAGCCCGCGAACAGGAAGTGAGGATAAGTTTTTGGAGTTCGTTGTTTGCAATATCAGAGAGATGATTGAATTTTCTTATTATAACGTTTTGGTTTGTTTTCAGAAACGCGAAAAGCGAATCCTTGCGAACTGGACACATCTTGTGCGGAGTCTGCGCATTAGAGAGAGACTTAAACGCAAATACAAAATTGAAGAGGTTGGCGATTTGAGTGATTATTCAACTTCATTGCTCTAGTTGCTTACATCTGTAATACTCAAATGATACAAAAATGTTTGTTGATCTTTTACACAGGAAGATAAGGAGACTTCAAATTCTGAGGAAAACAAGAAAACATCAATGGATACAGAGGACCGTATTCCTGACGTTTCTTTATCTTGGCCATTAAATAAACAAGGTTTGATTTATTTATTTTCTGGCAAGATGTCGATTGCAGACCTCTCTTGTGTAATATTGCATTGTCTTTGTACACGCTTTGTTATTAAGTTCGAAGATAATGTTAAATGTGCGTTTTCGCTTTTTTTTTTGGGGGGGGGGGGGTGAGCTGATCTTGTGATCCACTCGCGCAAACACGCACGCTCAGCCAGTACAGCAATCTATAGCAATTGACCTTCTGTGTGTTTGTATCTGTGGTTGATCCAGCGAGGAATTTTTAGGGGGGTGCTTCTGCTTAGTGATTAGTTAAAGTTCAGCGGTAAAAACAAATTATTTATTAACGTGCTCATAAAAAATGGATACTAGTTCCCGTTTTTGTCAACAAAGTAAATATCAGTGACGCTTTTTAATCAAAATAAATGTTGACAATCAATAAACTTGGTATATTCAATAAAGGCTTTTTCCATTAAACGTAGGATGGATTTTAATTATATTTTTTGCAGTTTGTACCCCTCTATGCACCCTGCTCACCATTGCCTACAGTGGGAGCACTACTGTGCTCCCAGCCACCCACCCACCCCCCGCCCTATAAATGCACTACCGTTTGGTATTCTCAGTGTTATGTTACAAATTTTGAGCTGATTATAACAAAGTGTCTTTTAAACCCAATCTGTCGATAGCCATCCAATAATCTTCGATATCATTTTTGTTGCATTTAGAGGGTAAAACGGCCCGCGATGCAGATGGACATTGTCACGTGTTTTTACTGAAAAATAACGTTCAAGATTCTGTCACAGGGGAGTGGAGTAAGGTTTGCGCTTGCGGATTGAAAGAGCCAGTTGAGACACTTTAAAGAAACCGGTAGGATTGTTCATTTTGTTTGTTTTTAAAACCTGGAGGTTATATACAACAATCTTTTTTGCAATGACAGCGTAGAATATTGTCATTGCAAAGTTTATATAATTTAATAGTTAGTTTATGCAGTATAAAAACTTTCGGTTTGTCTTTTTTGACCAAAACTGTTGCAGAATGTTAGCAATTTTGAAATTTGAAGCAAAATTTTTGGTTTATATCATTTGAATTATTGATTATTAGATGGCATGAAGTGCCTTTGAGTATTGTAGGTTCCCTATACATACTATATGAGTACTGTAGGTTCCCTATACATACTATATGAGTACTGTAGGTTCCCTATACATACTATATGAGTACTGTAGGCTCCCTATACATACTATATGATACTTTAAGGTGGTAGCATAAACAATTCGATACTATTTGTGTACCATTTATATTTTCGTAGTCAAAGTCATTTTCACTGTTTTGTTAACGTTATATTTGTACATAACTTTTGTTATTGCATACACTGCTTATTCCACGAACTTAGTATGAATTAAAAGGACTAAAAGTTTTTTGTTGACGATAAGTAAAGTAGCGAATAAGTGTTTTTCTACTGCTAAATAACGTTAGCATGGTGATCCACGAAGCGTAAAGATATGTTTGTTACGTCAAATTTTCCATATTAAGTTGAAAGTTTAAGTTAAAAATCCAAATGATAAACGTCGATCAATTTCTTGATTGAGAAAAGAGACCAAACGTCGTGGTGAAGAAACCAATTACTATAATTGAAGCATCTATTGCATATCCGATACTTGTGATATCGTTCTTCATTAAATTCATGTGGAATAAAGCGGGGAAGACTAGCACTAGTGCAACCGCTGACACGCTACCGACGACCGCCATGAGGAGAGAGAACTCTGGCACCATGATGGCGACGATCACCGATAACATCACGAGTAGAACCCGAAGACTTGAATTAACACACAGTTGTTTGTTGTTGCTTGTTATCTTCTGTGGAATAACATGGAGGTATGATTGAAAGATTACACTTGTCGATAATGTTGATTAACGCAAACGACGGTAAAGCGTAAGAGAACATCCCGTTAAAACCAAGGAACGTATCAATGGCGGACTTCAGAGGACCGTAGGGTAGATTTTCCGAGACTTCTTGCATTGTCTCTGTTTTGAAAGTGAAGACGGCTAAAACACCGAACGCGACTTTGAAAATCATTGCGATGGCGTAACAAATGTTCATAACTAGAGGAAAGCGTTCGGGCGATTTCATTTTCTCCTCTACGGAAGGTAAATATGGATGGGATACGAAGCTGAAAAGAATTATGGACCATGCGACGGGGAAACCTTCCGGATTGAAAAATGGAAGAGCATTCAAGTCCCAAATCTGGTATTGCGATATGCTGTAGCCGATTGTTGATGTAAACACGAAAAGTAAAGCGAACACGCTAAACATACTCAACCAAGATATACGTGACAAGTCGTTGATGAAAACACTTGGGAGCACAAGGATACCTGCGATGGCCGTCCAGCATGATGGCCTTAACACCGGATGCGGCCAAATATCGTTAAGAAAATCAGAAATGAGCAATAGATAGAGGACTAGTGCCGAGAATAAATGAAGGATCTGAGCACAACCTACGATAGTTTTTCCACGATTTGGCCACCAATGTTCACCTTTAGGATAAAATTTATGACATGAATTATTTGGAGTAAATTAGTGTTTTCATATTGAGAAGTACGTGATAACATCATGCATGTTTGCAGTCGATTGTGTCTCAGGTCAATGTTACCCAAGCTGATATAACTCAGATGTGTGTTATTCAGGTCTATGTAACTCAAGGCCAATATAACTCAGGTAAATCAAACCTATGTCATTCAGGAGTATTTGATCCAGGCCAATACATGCTGGTTAGATGAATGTGACTCAGCCCGATGTGTTTGGAGCTAACGTTAATCAGACGTATGTCAGTCATGTGTGTGTCAAGTTTATTAATCATTTTTTTTATTCTTACCAAGATCTGCGTATCCTTGACGTACTCTGACCTTAACACCTTTTTGTTTCACATACAAGCATTCAACGATCAACTTTCCTGTATAGTTTGTCAATACAGCAACAAATACCATGGCAATTACGGAAGCATATCCACCTTGACTTATTGCATACGGTATTCCCAGTGTGCCTGTACCTGTAATGAGAAGACAAAGGTCTTAGATAGATGAAATCATCTGTGAAAGCCCTTGTGTGAATTATTGTGATTTGGCGTGTGTTTTTTTTCGTTGAAAAGGAATTTAAAAACATAACTCGTCAACAGAATTGCATCAGAGAAATTTTGACGAACACTACTACTTAAAATGTGGGGTTACGAAGTCATGGATTACTATGAAGATTAGATTTTATTTCGTTGTGTAAAGGTCTCAGTTACCAAGCCCTAAACTGGTTGGTAGTGTTTAATAATCGATGATATCTAAATAAAACATCTGTTGGAACATACAATTTATAAAGATCGCGTCATAAGAGGCAAACATTATAGACATCTGTTGGAACATACAATTTATAAAGATTGCGTCATAAAAGGCAAAACATTATAGATATCTGTTGGAACATTCAATTTCTAAAGATTGTGTCATAAAAGGCAAAACATTATAGATATCTGTTGGAACATTCAATTTCTAAAGATTGTGTCATAAAAGGCAAAACATTATAGATATCTGTTGGAACATACAATTTCTAAAGATTGTGTCTTAAAAGGCAAAACATTATAGATATCTGTTGGAATATTCAATTTATAAAGATTGTGTCATAAAAGGCAAAACATTATAGACATCTGTTGGAACATACAATTTCTAAAGATTGTGTCATAAAAGGCAAAACATTATAGATATCTGTTGGAACATACAATTTCTAAAGATTGTGTCATAAAGGCAAAACATTATAGACATCTGTTGGAACATACAATTTCTAAAGATTGTGTCATAAAAGGCAAAACATTATAGATATCTGTTGGAACATACAATTTCTAAAGATTGTTTCATAAAAGGCAAAACATTATAGATATCTGTTGGAACATACAATTTCTAAAGATTGTGTCATAAAAGGCAAAACATTATAGACATCTGTTGGAACATACAATTTCTAAAGATTGTGTCATAAAAGGCAAAACATTATAGATATCTGTTGGAACATACAATTTCTAAAGATTGTGTCATAAAAGGCAAAACATTATAGATATCTGTTGGAACATACAATTTATAAAGATTGTGTCATAAAAGGCAAAACATTATAGACATCTGTTGGAACATACAATTTCTAAAGATTGTGTCATAAAAGGCAAAACATTATAGATATCTGTTGGAACATACAATTTCTAAAGATTGTGTCATAAAAGGCAAAACATTATAGACATCTGTTGGAACATACAATTTCTAAAGATTGTGTCATAAAAGGCAAAACATTATAGATATCTGTTGGAACATACAATTTCTAAAGATTGTGTCATAAAGGCAAAACATTATAGATATCTGTTGGAACATACAATTTATAAAGATTGTGTCATAAAAGGCAAAACATTATAGACATCTGTTGGAACATACAATTTCTAAAGATTGTGTCATAAAAGGCAAAACATTATAGATATCTGTTGGAACATACAATTTCTAAAGATTGTGTCATAAAAGGCAAAACATTATAGATATCTGTTGGAATATTCAATTTATAAAGATTGTGTCTTAAAAGGCAAAACATTATAGATATCTGTTGGAATATTCAATTTATAAAGATTGTGTCATAAAAGGCAAAACATTATAGATATCTGTTGGAACATACAATTTATAAAGATTGCGTCATAAAAGGCAAAACATTATAGATATCTGTTGGAACATACAATTTCTAAAGATTGTGTCTTAAAAGGCAAAACATTATAGATATCTGTTGGAATATTCAATTTATAAAGATTGTGTCATAAAAGGCAAAACATTATAGATATCTGTTGGAACATACAATTTATAAAGATTGTGTCATAAAAGGCAAAACATTATAGATATCTGTTGGAACATACAATTTCTAAAGATTGTGTCTTAAAAGGCAAAACATTATAGATATCTGTTGGAATATTCAATTTATAAAGATTGTGTCATAAAAGGCAAAACATTATAGATATCTGTTGGAACATACAATTTATAAAGATTGCGTCATAAAAGGCAAAACATTATAGATATCTGTTGGAACATACAATTTCTAAAGATTGTGTCTTAAAGGCAAAACATTATAGATATCTGTTGGAATATTCAATTTATAAAGATTGCGTCATAAAAGGCAAAACATTATAGATATCTGTTGGAACATACAATTTCTAAAGATTGTGTCTTAAAAGGCAAAACATTATAGATATCTGTTGGAATATTCAATTTATAAAGATTGTGTCATAAAAGGCAAAACATTATAGATATCTGTTGGAACATACAATTTATAAAGATTGTGTCTTAAAAGGCAAAACATTATAGATATCTGTTGGAATATTCAATTTATAAAGATTGTGTCTTAAAAGGCAAAACATTATAGATATCTGTTGGAATATTCAATTTATAAAGATTGTGTCATAAAAGGCAAAACATTATAGATATCTGTTGGAATATTCAATTTATAAAGATTGTGTCATAAAAGGCAAAACATTATAGATATCTGTTGGAACATACAATTTATAAAGATTGTGTCATAAAAGGCAAAACATTATAGATATCTGTTGGAATATTCAATTTATAAAGATTGCGTCATAATGTCAAAGTGATATAATAAGGAGTTGGAAGGAAGAATTTGTGATGTTATAAAAAGGACTTAAATGATTCACTGTTTACACTTATAAACCACTGTTAATTAAACACAATGACAGTCAATTATCTTCGTGGTTATTTAATTACACAATGTGTGAACATTTCTATTGTTTTTCATAAATGTAGCTTTAAACTTTGCGACGAACTTTTTTTTAATCATATTTCAAGTTATTGTTATCTACACTCGAAGGCTTAAAAAACCTTCTTTTTCTTCCAAACTTCAAGCTCAGAAGAGATTGCTATCTGTCGTTAATTAACTAATGTGGTTTATTAGTCATCTGCAAATTCTAGCTAAATCTTAGCCCTAACAACCCCCAAGGGAGTTATGTCATCATAAATATGATGAGAATCTTACAAGTTATACTTGTGTTAACGACCAACATGTTCAACTTCATTTCGTACCATGTTATCAACTTGGATTCCTCGTTTAACATTAATCAATATCAAAGTAAATGGTTTGAACCCGGGAGTATCGTTACATGTTTGTAAATGTAGATCGTCCAGGTTGGTATAGTCCTGAGAAGGAATGTTGTTGTTCATGTTGACTGACGTTTCAACATCCTTAGCGGTAGGTATTCAGTCAACATCAACACCAACTGTCCTTCTCGGGACTCTACTAACCTGGACGATCTATATCCACAAACTTGTAATTAATCAATAACCATGTTCATGCTTGATTTCAAATTTCAAAATCAGTGCTTTAAAAGATGGATTCTTTTCGTTGCTCACCTTGTATTAAGTTGGAAATGTTCCAACCTGCTTGTAGACTTGATGTATTTCCCTTGTTTTCATCACCTGTAAAGACATCGTCTCCTTCGTCTTCACTTTCTTGCAGCAACTTCGTATCTTCTTTGCTATCAAACTCATCTTCGCCCATCGCCTCGGCATCATAGCTGGACTGATGGCTATTCTTTCCTGTTGTAGAACTACCCCCAGTACTAAAAGTTCCTACTGATTTTGATCCTTCGGCTCCGTTTTCAGTCTCAATTCCTGAAAAGAGTTTTCCAAAGAAATCTTTAATTTTACTCAATGATATGACTTGTTCGTTAGGTTGAGTGGATGCGCCCTCTGACCATTTAAACGTTGATGAGTATTTAGCATTGCTCTTTCTCTCAAAATCCCAGGGATTATACACCTTGGCTATTGGCTTTTTCTTTACTTTAAAAAGCGCTTTTACTTTGTATGAAAAGTTCGCGAAATTGGCTCGGACACTCATTACTACCCTACATTTTTCGCTCAATATTTATTCCTAACCGTTGAAGTGCCCAATTGAGGGCTGTAATGATTGCCATTACAAAGCTTTGTCGAGTTTTTGGTTAAATAAAGGGAGTCGTTTTTCGTTAAATATTAATAAACTCCCGCATCTTTTAATCATGAAACCTCTAAAACGCGATTACGCTGCCTGAAACCTCATTTCCCCCTTTCCATTTTACGCGAAACTACCTTGGAATATTAAATATCCGTTATTGAACACTTGAAATACGATCAAAGATTTTGCCACTTAATTTACTATTGGTTTTTTGCAGTTTTTCATTATGAGAAAAAAACTCATTTTTCTAGTGCCTTGTATAATTGCACTTCTATTTGCAAAAGTGATTTCAGTTTTCGATGTCTACTTTTGTCGAGCCGGATCTCCTCTTGCCGTCATATCTACGTAGACTTTTTCCAATCGATATTTTTTTAAGGTTCTTTCTTGTTACTTCATTTGCTGCACATTTTTTTTTAAGAAAATATTGATCGGACGAAGTGGATTCGCCTCAACATTGCTTCAAATGCCACAGTTTATAGATGTAAAAAATCAAAATTTTTATATCTGCATGGAGTTCGAACGTGATGTTCAGTTGTTTTAACTGAGCAAAGCGAACGCAAATCCTTGCTTTTTATTACACTCTCGACATCATTGTTAATAGAAGCTGTTAATTTTTCAATTAGCTGGGTCGTTTATTGTGTGTGATATGTAGAAGTCTGGGGCCGGTTGCTTAACTACTTTCTAGCTCTACCCTTTTGTTCTTAAATTTATCCAAGCAGTTAATTCAGTTTTATAAAAAAGTACTTAGCGCTTTTATAAAAAATTAACTGCGTTTTTATGACTGACCTCTGAGTACTAATCGTTGATTCAATGGAAGTCTGAAGACAGATAAATCATAACTCGCCCCAGTTTCTCTACTCTAAATGCGCAAGTTTTGTTTACTTGTGTAACATTATATGCAGCTGCCTCTAAATGTTCACTCTTTAACAAATTTGTCACTGCCTCAAACAACTAATAGCTGCTAAATAATTTATTTGTCTACATATATAACTCGTGAATTTTAAATGTAGGAAATTGGTCGTATTTCATATTGTATCGTGAAATTTCAACATATGAGAAATATTTAAAACAGTATTGTTATTGATGTTTTTCGATTAGCATAGTAATTTGCGCATAAAACTTGCATAAAGCTCATTGAAATTGCTTTAATGTACGTATAAGTTATCAAAAAACCTTTTCGAGCCGACAGTTTGAAAACATACGCCAAAAATTATCTTGTAAAATCAAGATCCAAGTTATATCAGTGAGAAACAAGATTTGGAAGCATATTTTCGACTTTAATCCATTGGTTTGATAATGAATTATTGTAGTCATAGAACATGTTGTAAGTTTGATGAATTTTTATTTCCTAAGCGTTTGAATGTTGATATGAACAAATCTATCAAACTCGACATCTTGTAGAGTTTTTTTTAACTGATTTCGGCCGTTAAATATTAATTATTTCGAAGTGGGACTTCATGTCGAAATTGAATATAAAATCTCTAATAATGGCGAAAATGGAAAAAATCAAGCATCTCCCCCTCCCACCGCAACGCCAAAAAGATATATAGTGCTTTGCATGTGGTGTTGTTGTTTGGAGCAACGCAGAAGAATACTAAATCAAAAACACAAAAATGCCATCTTTGCACTAAAGGGGGGAGATGAATCTATGAATACATGCGTCACGTTCGGTGACCTGAGTCTTTTATAAACAATACTCTACACCTTTCATGGTCCTCATAAAGAAATTTGAGATTTGTCAGACACCCCCCCCCCCCACACACACACACACTCCATAATGTTTCCAAAATTTTCGACTTTTTCTTTCAGCTACAAAATAAAGTTTGCGGAAAGTCATTTTGAACCCTCTCCCGCTCGGTTTTTTAATAAAAATGATGTTTGCGTATAACTGTTGAATTCTCTTTGATTGCTATCTAGCTTTATCGACATAATACCAGGTGATAATATTTAGCTTAGGAAGGCCCTTTCGGAATGATAGTTTTTTGTTTTATCCTCGTGCATCGAAAATACTTTTCCTTTCGTGTTTTGTAATATTTCCTTATATTTCTTAGTATTGTAAAATGGCTGATGTTTTAAATATGTCGGCGATTGTACTGATAATCTTGTCAGTCTCGACGTTAAAAAACTTCAATTGAAGAGCTTATTTCGCCGCAAGAACAGTCATTTCGATGGACCAAAATAGAGAATAATCTTTTAAGGGGGGTCGTTTTATATTTTTCAAGTAAATACAGTAATCTTTTTTACTTACCAAGATTATCCATTTATAACTAATAGCTTTTCAAATTGTCTTCAAATTATCCTGTAGTTGTGTACAAAAGGTTCTTCTAGCGAGGTTAAGTCGGTTAAACAGTCAAAACTCTTATGAATTTTCTCACGCAAATTGTGCTCTTGCCCCGTAGTGAAGTTTACCAATCAGAAGTGAATATTTCACGATTTGAAACGACTGTTTTCGACGCATGTAGCGATAGTTTTTTTACAAAACACTATCGTCCTTTGCGACGTGAATGCTTTTGCATCATGCAAGAGTATGTAAAAAGATGAATGATACTTGTGAATTGTTAATGCATTTTGAGATTGTGTTTTACTGATAGCGTCACAAGTGGACGCCATTGGCTAGTCAATTACATCGCTCTCAAACCATTTGATATATATACGTATAGGCATATATATATATAATTGAAAAAAGCAGTTTCATATCTTATTCATCACTTTTCGGCTGTATTGTATTTTTTCGTGTTGTTTTTGCTCCGTACCCCGTGAACAGTGATGGAGTGACCGCTTTTTGACATCCGTTTTTAACTAGAAAAAAATCTCGGCATAAGTTAAGCACAGAATTCTGGAAACAAAGTGACTAGACTAATGCACCCTGTATATTATTCAATAAAAAAAATTCAGTGAAAAATATTTTATTGCAAATGTAATCGATAAATACTGCAATTTATAAGTTTGGAGCGAAATGATAAAAGACTAAAGAGTGCCATGGCGCAAATAACATGAAGCTGTCCTCAAAAAGGTTTCTTTTCGTTTTTTTGCATCGATTTCTACAGAGTAGACTGATGTTAGAAAATATTATTTTATGTGACGATTTTCTATTATTCAACATAATTACATGTACAAACGGCAAGCTGGCCTCGTTTACGTTCGATGTTTGTGTTTTATAGGTAGTTTTACTTGTGATTTTGTGACAGATGTCTTAGTGAATTATCGTTCGCTTTGACCTTAACGTTCAATTATGCCATGCAAATAACTTGCTGAATGCTTTAATGGAGATACATGTAAAACACATAATGTTTCACAGGCTTCAATTGTGTGAAAACCAATAAAAAGCCGTCTTATAATATAAGCATTATTTATTATTGTAATGAGTGTTAGCGCCTTTTATCTTTTCTAAAACATTAATTAGACACGTTTTGTTTCCATTGCCTGTTTACAAATGTAAGAGTATTGTGCAATTTCGCACGTTTTTTCTCTGCAAGTGATAAGCATTGAATCTTCTGTTACCTTAAAAGTCTCAAACTCTTAATAATAACTTTGTTGTTCCTTTTTTTAGTTGGCGCATGTTTTCAGGTTTCTTGTTTGGCATAGTAATGGCGGGCGTACTTTGTGTATTTTTTATGAAATTTGTAAATATATTTCTGTGGTATTTTTGACTAGCAGCGAGCGGCAGGGCCTGGTAAAAACGAAATATTTTCCTAAAAATTAAAGATGAACGTTTGTAAATGCAAAATACACATGAAATTAAAATTAGCGCATTTTACCATATTTGCATAATTTGCACCTGTTGAAGTCAGGGGGGTTGAAATTTTTTAGGGGGGTATAGATGCTTATATCAAATTTATTAAATAAAGAACTCTTGAAGCCATCTTCATTCCTGAACCTCTATCTTCGTTTTCGTTTCTAAAAGAGCTAAAATGTCTGTTCAGTGGACCTTGGCTGCCGGTTTTCTTTACTTGGAAATGGCGTTATTGCTGTTGATGTGTTTACCAATAGTATCTTCTTCAAGGTAGCCGAGAGAATTTGTTTAATTGTGAAGCTTGCCTTCTATTGAAATGCAGACTTCAAGCACATTGTTATTTTCTAATGTTACAGATGGAGCCGCATTTTCGAGTCTCACTTTTTATCGGCAATTCTTGCTTATGGACATTTGTATTTTACTGTGTTTGTCGTAATGTTGTCAATTCTTTTTCTTGGTAAGTCGAATTTTGAAAAGTATATTTGTCCTCATACACAATTATATAAATGTGTTAGTGATCTAGGCAACTTCTATTGTACGAATCAATGCCTTCAATATTGTTTTCAACGCTATTGAAACTTTGTTGAACTTCTTTATTGTCTGTCTGTTGTCATAATCAGCTAGCAGTCAATCTTAAGCCATTTTCACTTTAAAAGTAAAACTTATTTTCGTTTCTTTTATGTTTTCTTGTGGTAAATTATATTATAACTAACTTCCTTACAACTGTGATTATTTATATGCTTGGCTCTCCCCCTCTGTGCTTTCAAAAGGAATCATTTCAGGCACAACTGGATACATAATTTACACACACACCCAAATTAAAATTCTAGTTTTTCCTTACTTATTTTTTTATGTCACTGCCAGAGTTTTTGTTTTGTACCTTAACTTTTGCTGAACACATGAAGCTTCCATCTGCAGTTGCTGTGTGCAGCGCTATATGTTGCTGTAGTTATAAATTTTTCAATTGTTTCTTTTAGATTCATTACGAGAATCTTATAAATTTCGTGATAATGATTGGGTCAAGGCTGATCCAACTGTAAATCTTCGCACGTCTAATGAATTCAAGATGAGATTGTTTCGAGCCCAGCGCAACATGTATATAACTGCGTTTGCCCTCTTCTTACTTTTGTAAGTATTTGAAAATAGTAAATATATGAGAAGATATGTTTGTTCAATCAACCATATTTACATTATTACTAAGAAGACAATGTCTAAACAAAAAAATTTAAGAATTTAGTTGTGAAAATATGATAGGAAAAATTCTGGTGATATTTTGAATCTATTTGTAACATTAGAATGAGTCGAAATGTCATCAAAACTTTTGTATTCATTGTGGTTGTCTTTTTTAACAAGTGAAATTTGTTGAAGGATTTTGAAAGGTTGCATTTTTATCAACAAATAAACTTACCATAATGCTTTTCAATCCAAATTTATATGTTTGTTGATGTCCACTTGCAAAACGTGTGCATTTCGGGATAGATAGAACATACTTTACTCTTATTTTTGGATTATAGTGGTAGGATCTTGGGTTGTAGAGGTAGGATCTTCAATCAAAGAGATAGGATCTAGGTTAAAAGAGATAAGATGTTGTTATAAAGTCTAGGTTAAACAGACAGGATGTTGTTATAAATAGAGTCTAGGTTAAACAGACAGGATGTTGTTATAAATAGAGTCTAGGTTAAACAGACAGGATGTTGTTATAAATAGAGTCTAGGTTAAACAGACAGGATGTTGTTATAAATAGAGTCTAGGTTAAACAGACAGGATGTTGTTATAAATAGAGTCTAGGTTAAACAGACAGGATGTTGTTATAAATAGAGTCTAGGTTAAACAGACGGGATGTTGTTATAAATAGAATCTACAGTTAAACAGACAGGATTTTAACTTTAACAGATATAATCTTGACTTTAAAAGATGAGATTTTAAAAATTTCAACCCTTCTACCACCACATTGTATCTGTAGTTAAAATACCAAACACAGCATTAATGATTTTTTTCAGTGTTTTACGGCAAATAGCAAGGCTTCACAAGCAACTTGCCACAGCCTTGGCAAGCAGCGAGGCAGCTGTGAAACAAGCCAAGGGTGTCAGTGATCATTGTGAACAACTGATGGAAGAAATTGAAGATCTCAAGGTATAATCCTTGATAAAAGGGGAAAATAATGTACACTATTTTTTCCATTGCTATGTAATTGAGAAATGCTAGTATTTTTTTTAGAAATTAAAGGGCATCAAGGAGGAAAAAAGCTCAAAAAAAGTTGAGGATGGTATTGAAGATATATTGGAGAAAAAGAACGAACTACTTGCTCAGCAGGAAGAAGGTGTTGTAAATAACGATTATGGCTGATGTCACTCAATCTTCAGTTATTGTTTGCAATCACCGAGATTTACAGATTTTGATCTTGGACAATTTGACATGTAATGATTTGTTTTTGTTTTTAGAATTGCATAGCACTCGCAAAGATCTTGAACAAATGAAGAAACAAGCAGAAGGAGTAAGCAAGGAATATGATCGCTTGTTGGCTGAACATGGCAAACTTCAGGTTATATTTATTTTACTGCCTGTTTAGATGAAGCGTGTCTCTTTTCTCTATATTTTAAAAAGAAGACTCAGTCAACCCTCTGTCAACAATTAGACAGGAAAAGATTAATAATTGGGCAGCTTGTATTCATATATAAAAATATGTACTCACAATTGATTCCAAGGAGACGTCTTGTGAGAACTTGTGGTCAGGTGCAGGCTCTCAACCTATGGTCTCGGGCTTGCACTGATCTGCTATTGAGCTCACCCGAGGTCTTGTCCATTTTCATAAGCTTGTAAAGGCTTATAACTTGACCAATGCTAGCTCTGTTTCTGTTTTATAGTTAGCCTAGATTTGAACATGCTGATAAAAATTCAGACACACTCTGAAATTTCAGTATAATATGTTGCTAGTTTAGCAGAAATCTGAGAAATGGATTTGGAACTGGCAGTCTTTAAATGTTTGCTGAAGGACTTTCGAGGCTATTTTGACTACAAGATGTTTATCGTAATGTGGGATTCTTATATTCCTTGATGACTGAAGGAAGGCTAAACTTACCTCATTTTTATGGATTGGGAGAAGGGTAGATGTATGGATAAAATTACATCCACACTCTTCTCCTGTTAAAGTTGCAAAACAACTATGCTTGGGCACATCCTTTGAATTCTTTTGACTGGGACATTTTGTGAATTTTTTTGTTTGTTTTTTTTCTTCAAGAATGAGATTCATAACAAAACGCAACAAGATAAAAAAGATGAATAAAACTAAAGGATCTTTTTTCGAAAAATTGTAAGTGGACTTTATCCGATATAATTTACTTGTGAATACAAGATAGACGTTTGAATATCCAAACTTCTGTTAGTTGCATCTGAATTTCTGTTGCATGCTAGCCATGAATCTTTGCATGTTACTTCTGAATTTATATATTACTAATGAATGGTAAATGTTACATGTTACCAGTAAAGGTTGCATGTTACTAGTGAAGGCTACATGTTACCACTTAAGGTTACATGTTACTAATAAAGGTTGTATGTTACTAGTAAAGGTTACATGTTACCACTAAAGGTTACATGTTACTAATAAAGGTTGTATGTTACTAGTAAAGGTTACATGTTACCACTAAAAGTTGCATGTTATTTCCTAAAAGTTACACTTTGCTACAAATTACTATAAAATGTTTCGTGTTACCAGCATAGGCTATATCATGTTACCTCCCGTTCTTACAAGGTTACAAGCTGTTATCAAATGCTTTGATTATATTCACGGCTATCTTCGGCCGTAGTGTTTTCCGGCATCATAAGATTCACAAATTTATTGCGTGAAACTGTGCGTAAATCTCTCAACAATTAATGCAAATACTTTAAAACGGAAAATCAAGCGCGCGATGTTTGTTTTGTGCAAAATACACCGAGGTCAGCGGTTGCCATGTGTAAATTTAATACTTAAATTGATACTTAAAATTTTTTTTCCTCAAAATATTTTTTACGGTTGCTGTTTTGCACTGCGTTTGAGAAGCTTGCAAAAATTTATCCGACACAGCTTCACTTTGAGAGTATGAGCTCGCACCCTCGAAAGAAACAACAAAGCTCAAAATATTTTAGCACTGCAAGCTCCGCTTCCATTGGAAATGTTCAACACTATCGTTCTCGTTGAAATTCCGTGTTCTGGCGTAGAATACAACATATCGAGAAACTAGATTTGCCGTACATGTATAAAGTATAGTTCAGTGCTTATTATCTATTGCAAAATTAAAGTAAATGGTTTGAACCCGGGAGTATCGTTACATGTTTGTAAATGTAGATCGTCCAGGTTGGTATAGTCCTGAGAAGGACTGTTTTTGTTGTTGTTGACTAACGTTTTGACAACCTTAGCGGTAGTCATCTTCATTTTGACTCTGAAGATGACTACCGCTAAGGTTATCAACATTAACAACAGTCCTTCTCAGAACTCTCTTCCTGACGATCTGATACAAACATCTATTGCAAAATTGGTAAAAAGAAAATCTTTCTAATGTGTTAAATGAATTATTAATTTGACTAATGTTCATGAGCGCTCTGTCAAATTGACCATAAATTAAATATGTATACATGTTTCCTCTATTCTTGTGCATTCTTCTCTTTCTTCTCTGTCTCATCTTTCCGTTCTCCATTCTCTCCATCCGTTCCATTTCATCCACTTTCCATTCCCTCCATCGTTCCATTCCATTCCTCCTCACCACTCCCGTTCCTCTCATCTTCTCCCGTCTCACTTTGTTCCACTCGTGTTCCACCAGTCTACTTTAGTTTCGTCCACATTACGCTAAGTCGTTCCCTCATCTCCTCCCGTCTCCATCGTTCCCATTCCATTCCATCTTCCTCCATTCCATTCCATCCAGTCATTCTCCATCTTCCTCCATCTTCCATTCCGTTCCATCCACTGTCATTCCATCTTCTCCATCTCATCGTTCCCCCTCTGTTCCTCGTGTCTACTTTAGTTTTGTCACACTACGCTTAGTCGTTCCTCTCATCTTCTCCCGTCTCCTATCGTTCCCACTCGTGTTCACCGGTCTACTTTAGTTTCGTCACACTACGCTTAGTCGTTCCCTCTCATCTTCTCCCGTCTCCTATCGTTCCCACTCGTGTTCACCGGTCTACTTTAGTTTTGTCACACTACGCTAGGAGGGGGGGCTGATTACGCAAACCCGCCTCAGTGAGGCGTTAAATGATTTTGGTAAGTGGAAACGATTCAATACTTATCATCAGATAAATCTTCTCGAGCAATTTTACAATATTCTGTTTTAAATGTAGGTACGATCTTCGCAATATTCTGTTTTAATAACCACGCAAAACATTTGAAATTACAACAACTAATTTTGCCTAATTTGAAAATTACACCAGCAATGACTAGTGGCGCTTAACAAACAGTTGTTACTTTTCACTTTGAAGTTTTGGCCCCTTTCAATCCCTCGAAATCATTTCACGCCTCACTGAATCCCGGGTGATCATGTAAACACCCCTAAGTTAGTTCTCTTACAAAATATGCAAAATATAACGCGTATGCATTTCTTGCGATGCAAACATGTTATGGAAGAGTTTACCTTCACTGCGTTATTTGCGAGATTTTTGCATTCACCAGAGGATTAATATTTTCTCGTTGAAAATATACGAAAATAGTACTTCCGCGACGTCATTCCCAACGCTAACTCCGCCTTATTTACGTACAAACATCAATGTGTAGATATTCTTTTCGAAAATTGACCCTCTTAATTTTATCTCTTTGCAATTAGCTGCTTTCAGGCGTAGAATCTGTCCAGCAAGATAACGCAAATAATAGGAAATGCTTTTTACGTATGTAATATAGTTCTCTTTGGTTGGGCAAACCTTGTTGGTTGTCACCGTAATCAAATAAACACGTGGTAAACATTCATAAGATTCATTCAACTTTACAAGTGGTAAACAAGGCATTTAAGCTGCATGTCAAGTTAGCATTGGCTGGTGGTAATATCTACGACTGTTTTTTTTTATAAATGACACGAGATTACCATGAATTTACTATTGAATTTTTTCTTACTTTCTATATCAACAGACATGTTAATAAATGATTGATTTCTCACCAACACACACGTAGCAAAAAAAGGCGGTAACAGGCCTCCTTAGTAACATCGCGTGCACATTATAATCATGAAGCCATTATACATTGTATTGTCGGTTGTTATTCTCAAAATGATTACATTTGAACAAAAAAAGTTACATATGCTTAATAAGCTTTGGTGTAAGGTGTTTAATCAACTAAAAAGTTACACAGTGCTAATTGTTCAATGAAGATTAGCTATTTTTTTATTTTCCTCTTTATATTTTGGCATTTTTATCGAATTTGTTACCGGATTACATGTTTTATCGCTGTTCATGTACAACAACAACCTGTATAGAAATACTCCACTTATAAAGAAACTCTGATACAACCCAACACATGTACATAGGTTTTTTATGCCAAACAACCAAAAAACAACGAGAGAAAACTAGATTTGGTTTAAGTACTTAAAATCACGAAACTTTAAAACGCTTTGTACTCCGTAATCAATTCAATTAGTGAGCAGCTTTATGTAATTGACAAGATAAAGTTCAGTCGCGTCGCTTAAGTACCGTGAATGCGTGGTTTCATAAAATGCTTCGATCTATGCGTAAACAAGAAAAAATGTTTGAAATATGACCACGACTTTGGCTTTTAGTTGTAACATGTAATTATACAATTTTTGTAGTAATTATACATTTGTTATTGTTGGCCGCCCTCCATGCATGGAGTCCCGTAGTTGACATTTGTTTAAGCACTGTCCCTATTTAATTTGTGGCCAGTGGCCCATCTCCAAATATAGCGAAATCTCATCCTCATGCATATCCTGTCGTCTATTTTTAAAGTAAATATTTTGCAAGTTTTAACATTCTTCTCGTCGTTAGTTCCCTGTAAAATGTGAATAGTTTCCTTCGGTCCTCGGTCCTCACAAAAAAAGCCAGAAGGAAAATCCTCTTGAAAATCACCTTGAAAAAACCCGGATAAATCCCACGCACGCGACCAAATATTTTTCACGATATTAAGATGTTTATTGTTAAAATATTGCGTCTTCGCAATATTTTAACAACAAGATGTTTGTTTTGGTGGAATAGGCTTACGTGCACATTGGTATGTTTTCACAGTACTTGGTTGATGTACTTGTTTTTGATTGCACTTCAAGTGTGCGAATGTTTTTTACGTGATTGTGTTGTGTCAAGGTTTGACGAATGCATTCAACAAAAATGTTTGAGTGTTTTTTCAATTTCATAGTAATTTCTCATAATTTTTTTGATGTTCTAGCAAAAAAATACATGTAAAAAATTATCAATAAGTACAATAACTTCAAGTGACTCGACTTCTTCGAGGCACTATTGAAGTCTTGGTCGACTAAATATGCAATACTTGGTGTAATAATATACATTGTGAAACCTTTCGACGTTTTTCGATGTGAACTTCTACGATGTCAAATTAAATTATACAATCACGTGGTAGAATAGTACTGCATGGCAAATGTTTATCGAACGCAGTTGGATGATTAGCGCGGTCGTTATCAACAATTTGAAACGTCTCTCTCGCTGTTCTTCCTTTCGAATAAGATAAGGTTCGTTGCATATGGTTTATATCAATCCTACTCCTCAAGGATTACGTCCAAAGATAACTTAACATCGTCATTATGTGTCAAACGTTTTCCTCTGATGCATTGTAAAGCTTGTAGCCAAACAGTCGTGTCGTCTGCTTGCGTTCTGGAACGTGCGCACGATTCCTTGGCAAGAAAATTAAATCACAGCGTACAAAATTGATCACAGCGTACAAAATTGATCACATCGTACTTTCAACATTCTTCACAGTATTTCATTTGTGAATTGAATGCGCAACTGTTAACAGTGGAAATTATTCGAGAAGCTATCAGTTACAAATTTCGTCTGATATTAATTTGGAAGATTTATTTTCGTTATATTAACGATACGTTGCTTCGAATTTGGCAACGATGATTTGAAATCAACGTTCGACTACGAACTTGCGAAACTGGAGGAATTGGAATTGTGATTTTCTCTTCGACATCATCCTTCAAAATAATTTCTTTTTAATGACGGACAGATGTTGCATATTTGAGTTGCTCCATTAATATTTTAAAACTGCAGTGGCTTTGCTTGCAAGTTTAATGAGAGGATAAAGTTTAAACAGTTGTCAACTTTTTATTTTATCGTGCGTTTTGATCAAATATCAAATTGAAGAATCACGAAGAAAATATTCACATATAGAGTTGCCTTCAAAACGTTTGGTGATTGATCGTCATCTGCAATCAACTCTTCGAGGAGTCAAACATGGTTTCATCGTTATACAACGCTACCATGTTGCTCTCACTAAACGATTCTGCTCCCATTACATCCAACTCAAGCGTCAACCATACTGCGCGTTTTGATCCATACTACGATACGTTCCTAATCCTTTTAGCCTTGTTGATTATCGCCATTAACGGCTTAGTCATTTGTTTGTTTATGTGGAAACCATTTTTAAAGGAGATCACGAACTATTTCCTTGTTAGCCTGGCTGTAAGCGATGGTTTAACTGGACTTCTTGTCATACCAATATATTTTTCGTGCTCATTAAGTGGTTATCGAGTTCAAGTTTGCTTCAGTTTCGACATGATTCATCGAATGACTGCATTCTCAACTGTGTACCATCTCTTACTCATCACTTGTGACCGTTACGTTGCCATCACTCGTCCATTCCGTCACAGCAGCACGTTCACAGCGCGTGTTGCATACATTTCGATTGTATGTGTGTGGAGTGTTTCCATGTTTTTACCTCTTGTTCAACTCACGTGGTATGATACGTCCAATCTGAGGCTGGCAAATTCACGTATACGACAGTACGAGTTGCGCTACAACATCACTTGTGCAGTCGTCGCCTTTCTTTTACCCGTCACTATTATGATCATCGCGTACGCCGAAATGCTGCGTATCGTTGTGAGACATGCGCGCGCGATTGAAGCAACGTCACGTGAACGGCAGGCTCTGAGCAAAGAAAAGCGTGCTATGGCGATCTTTGCCACAATGTTGTTTGCCTACGTCTTCTGTTGGTTCTCCTTTTTCTTCATGTCTCTAGCATCGGATCTTCCTGGTGTATTGCGTGTACCCGAAGTCGTCGCTTCCATTCTGTTCTTCTTTCGTTTTTGTACATCTATCATAAATCCCATCATTTATATATTTTGTAAAACGGATTTCAAGAGAGCCCTTCGTGAGGTGATTGTACAGTACCAATGTCGGGCAATAGTGTCGGGATTTCTTCTCCAGAATTACTCTGTATCAAACAACGAAGACGATGATAGCTCACCGCGTGGAACCCAAAGGACACACACGTCGAGAGCGCGTTAGATCTCTTGCGTAATAAATGCGCTCAATTTTCCGAAGGACAATTTTTTTAATGATGGTGATTATTTGCCAGTTGACTTTACGAGTGAACATATCCTGTGTGTGAAATGGTTGGTGGCTTGATGAAATTGAAATTTTCAACCTGTTTTTGTGTTATCGCCAATGTATCACTGGAGAAACTTGTACCGAGTCATTAAATTGATGCTTGATGTTAAGCAAAAGGGAACGAGCTCAGTTTACCTATCGTTGTATATGTTGCTGTTATTTTACTATACATTCCATTTTATTTTTCACAATTTCCTTGCCGCATGTTGACGTTTTCAAGAAATACGAGATAACAATTGAATCACTTGGAATAAAGTAAGAAAAAGTCTATTCAAGAAATGAAGTAGTCGACCTTTCTCTGCTGCTGTTTTGAAAACATTATCCAACAACGACAGGCGTATTTCATTCATGTTTTGTTTAGAAAGTTATTTTCTATTCATTGTAAGATATCATCAATTATCGCTATTTTTTGTTATTTAAATTATCGTAGTATAGAAAGTTAAGCATCTTTATATATAAACTTAGCAATCATTTATCTAGTATGAACTCTTATTTATTCTCCAAAATTCTCTGCTTTTGAACGAGGCGAAATCCTTTTACCCGAAAGCAATTAGAAAAAATCCCAAATACCTTAACAGCATTCCCCTATCGTATTATTTACATAACTTTGTACATATGTTAACAATTTATAGACTCATTAACATAATTTGCGCGCATTCCCACAGGTGCGTGCCAGGCAAATTATAAATTACAATCTTATAAATTACAATATAGAAAAACCAACACCGACGGTGTTTCGTTTCTTTTGCCAAATACGCTTATTGACCTCGCGTGTGCGCTGATGCCTGCTTAAAATATCTTTAAAATCTACTTGACATGAAGGCAATAAGTGATTGTTCAAACTAATTACTATGTTATGATAGTAGAATAATATATATATGTCAATCACGCCCGTACACTGATGTATGCCATGATCTTTATCACCTGGAATTCTGCGTTATTATTAGATGACCATTACTAAATTCGGTATGAATGTTTCGAGATAAAATTCCATTTGTATTTGGGATATGTCTGTGTTTTCTCAACACTGTTACACAAAGTGGAGCTATTGTTTGCACTTGCTTCATCGATTTGAGTTTTTGCAATACGCCCGTGGATTGTTGTGATTGAGCACAAGATAAAACCATTGCCATATTTGCTATATTTTATAGCCAACCGTACGTTATTTGTGTCCAGTTCGTGTGCGCGATTTTTCTTACCTCCGGGCTCTTACGATCTGAGCTAATTATGGCTCCTGTTTATTATTTGCTGCGTTGTTCAGTTGCTATAAGAAACAAGATGCTCATCGTTGGTGACTGTTTTTCTCAAAACGGCCTCAGGGCAAATAAGAACACGTGTTGAGCAATAAATATAATTGTTATCAGCGCAGTAGTCTTGCCAGCCCGTAACTTTAACACTGCAGTCACTTATACTGAAGTAAAATTAACATAGCTGGACTAAATAAGCGGGCTGGCTACAACCATTGTGTATTGACCAATGGTATGGACGGTGCTGAATTTTACACGGTCTAATAATAGCAAGGACTGTTGTTGATATTTGTTGAATTTTCTGGCAAAGATTTCACAATGAAATTTAATTTTTATGGGTTCGCGCCCCACTTATTCGCATTAAGAAATTATTTATAAATTGAACTCCGTCAATAGTCATTTCTATAAGCCAGGTTTAAAATATATATATAATATAATTAGCAGTCTATAGGAATGTCTGTTTTTCTAATTATTTTATTTGCACTAAAAGTAAATACGTTGTCATAAATGTCGTGCATATACGCACGTACAACAGTGCAATAAATTAATGGGTTATTTGAGTGAGTCTTCTTTAATGAATGACTCTCTTGCTTATCAGTGAAATGTGATTTTGATTTTGCATAACTAGGTACCAATACGCTGTGTGCAAATACTTAATTTTTTAGTGTTTATTTCATAAAAATTTCATCTTTTGTGAAGTATGTTTAACATGTGAATGAAATCATTTAAAACGTAAAATGCATGTGTGCGAGATACTCGTGCAATTCACACTCGTCCCATTCTCCTGTGAACTAAACACGAGACTCGTCCGGTCTGCGTTTTTCGTCAGTTTGGCTTGTGTTGCATCATCTTGCGATAAATGGACTGGTAACGAGTCTTCACTTCTAGAGAAACACCCTCTTCGTTTAAGGTAACATACCGCTACCAAAATGGAAATAATGACAGCGACCACAATAATGGGAATGAATATTATCCAAAGTAGGGTTTTCATGGAAATCGAGGTCGATTTTTTCTTTCCTTCACCTGTCACAGTTCTGACATCCGTTAACCCCATTGTTTGGACGTTACTAAAAATGTTTGAGTTTGTAATGTTAGCTGAAGTCGAGCAGCGGCCAGCTTAAAAAGAGTTGTCAATTCTGTACATGTAAAGCCTGATCCTGACTTGAAACGTATACATAGCACAGACGTCCTCACTTTCAATAAACGGCAATAACTACAAGAAGAACGGAGAGTTTGGATAATCTTGTGCTTTTGCTATGTTTATGTCACAAGCGAGAATCAGGCTTGGCACCGTTCAGGAGAAGACAACACGAAAGTTTTGTCCAACACGACAACACAGACGGAGGTTAGATAAAGCATTAACTAGAAAATGTTTCATCAAAGTTAATATCTTTAAGATATTCGGTTTGCAACTTCTTTTTTTGTGATCGAAATCTTATTATTCCGTTGCACCATAAAGCATATGATCTCTTCAGAGCTACTTTGTTGTGTATAAAAATCACTGTGATAAAAATACATTAAAATTTACCGTTAAACTCTCCTGTGACTTTTACAAGTAAGCATGACGTCACACCAACATAGCTGTCTTCGTCATCGTCACTTTTTCTGCATGTGATTTGAAACTTGAGAATTTTCCCTTCTATTTCGTGCCTAATGTTTTCAGACAGGTGCTGTAAAAATGAAATTGACTTATTGCACTGCTTGAAGTGGTGACATGCCGATAATTTTCTAACGAATCAAACAGATAGTTATATGTACTGCTCTTTGGTAAATGGATTATGCAACTCTCATTATTTCTTTTTTTAATAAAAAGCGAAGATATCTTGATATGAATAATGCGTTTGTACATCATCACAAGAGCATTAGTTTCAAGTTGAGACATAGCGATAAAAGTGACAGATTTTATCAACTACGATATTTCTCCTTCTGACAGCAACATTTAGCAAAAAAATTTTCGCTTTTGTTTCTTAATTACAACTTGACTTTGTCATGTCGTATGGCATTCTGACAGTAGGAAGTTTTTTTTAATGTCCTCACAGGTGATTATGGCGCTAACTGCCGACTATGATCCGACTGTGTGAGAGAACTAGATTGTTGTTTACTTACCCAGGAGAAATGCCATCTCTTATTCAACTTGAACGTAACTGGCTTTGAGTGGTTAAAAAAGTAATCTGTTGCCTCGATCCAACTTAAATTTTTGTCGGAGTAACTCAACGACGTCGCTGAACATGTATTGTACTCTTGAGTCGACACGTTGAAACCTGTTGTGATCCCATGAGCATGCCTGTTGTCTATTGTTATCAATGTGTCATCCACAGCATCCCAACTCCATCCTTTGCTCCAATTTAGCGAACCAGTCTTAAACTGACAATCTGAATAATTGAAAACAAAGCGAAGTCTAATATTGTAAATTTTTTTAATGTATCAAATGTCTTTTATAGCGACTTTTGCACACGCATTGCATATCCTGAGCATAAAATGTCTCTAAATGACGTTTATGTCTCCTTGGTGATCTATTCATGATGAATCATGCAAAATCTAAACGACACATGATTTTTAAAAAGTTGCAATTTTTTATGCGCGCCCTACAAACTTCGCTCACCTTGTTTTAATCTTCTGTTAAGTACACAACTCTTGGATTTGTTATAAAATGTTGAACTGAGTTCGTTGCATTTACAGCGGATAGTAAACTCTCGCTGGCCATTTGTTCCACTCCCTTCCCTGGGGTCGTCACACTTCGCTGAGTCAATTTGAATGTTGTCCAATGCAACTGTTGTATCTGACAGACCATAAACGATTATATTATCCCGTTGCAGTCTTCGAATGTGTATTTTCCATTGAAATAGGTCCCACACTGTCGCTTTGTTAGGGACGCCCGTAGAAAATGCGGCTACTGTTGTTGACTGAATTGAAAATATTACAGCAAAGAAGACAATGCAAACTAAACTCATCTTTCGAACATTTATGTCGGGTTGTCGTCAATGATCATTCGAAACTTTTTCCTCCTTGAGTTTTCGGTCTTTACATATAAAGGTAATGGATAGAAACGTCAAAAAACAGTTTTATAATTTATTAAAAAAAATTACTATTTCAATGTGATGCATCGCATCGTTTTACCACTTGAAAATTTAGCATAATTTTTTGTCAACGTCATGTGTCTTGCCAAAAGATTTTTATGGTGTTTTTTTACCTGTTCTGTATTGCTTGTTTTGAAAATTCGCAGTCTTTTTCTTGGATATTCGATTCTTTAAAACACACAAGTTGTGAGAGAGTTTCAATATTTCTGCATTTCATACGATTGTCATATGATATGCCAACAGCAAACAAAAAAGGATTGAATTTCGACACCTTTTTCAACAACACTGTGCACCTGCCACATATTTTAGCTCATAATTGCTGTCCCATGCCGAATTGTGTTTTTGTGATGTTTTTGATATTAATGCCAATCATACGATAAATAGAAGAATTTAAGATTGTAGTATAAAGCAAATTCTGAAAAAGCAAGACATCTTGAGATTGCAAAATATGCATCAAAATAAGACGAGAGGTGAACTGTAAATTTTCGACTTTATTTCAAAGTCATCCACACATAGAATGATCTGCCGATTATTTCATTCTCTCTGAAGATGACTTTGAAATAAAGTCGAAAATTTACAGTTCACTTCTCGTCTTGTTTTGATGCATATTTTGCAATCTCAAGATGTCTTATACGGAAGAAGCGAAGCTGATGCAAAAAACATCGACCTCGGTCTGAATAATTCTTGATATCATGCTCAACCTCATCCAATAATTGCTTATTATTTCTCTTCGGAATTTGCTTTATACTATATTTCTTTAAATTGTCGGCCGGTCATGGTTCTAAGATTGTAGATGACTTGCTTTTTCAAAATTTGAAGTCATGGTCGAACATTCAGTCTAACTCTTTCCTGAGGGCACACATTTAAAGATTGAGGAGTGAGTGGGAATGTCATCTAAGTTACAATAGTCCTCTATTCTTGACTTGTAATTCAGCCATTTTGGTTGTCTGATACAAAAGAATATTTTATCAGTGTTATTGTTGGCACCAGCCGACGTGGAGGAATAACATTGTTTGGTAAATCTCAACAGAATGGTTGCAAGTGAAGAATCATCAAACTTTCTACCATCACCAATCCTTGAAAGAAGATTTATTCGTCCACATCGAAAACATGCTGCATGTATAAGTTTGTCCATACTATTGCTAGTTAGCGGCATTCATTATCGAAATATTTTCCCAACATGAAAAGAGCATATCTTTAGTTATCAACGTTTGTTTGAATCTAGATGTTGAATGTAAATGTAAGACTGAATGCTCAGCCATGTTTTGCTTTTACAAAAAGGCTGAGTGAAAATGCACCTATTTGTGTTTGCTATGATTGCCAGAATGCAGTGTTTGAAGATGATGACAATGAGAAGGGTTTCAAAAGCATGATGATGATACCGTGGCTCTAGAGTTTAGCTCTCATTTTCAAAAAGTTATATTTGTAAGGAGCGTGGAATTTTCGGTGGAAAGTGATTGTCTCCCAGTAACTCTTCATAGAACCCACTGCTTACTTTATACTAGATGGCTTAGAATAGTGCCATATACGTCAAAATATGTTAAGTTTTGTCCTATAGTGTATTCGGTAAATTAATATTAGGTTGGTATTATTTTATGATTTTCATTGTGCTTTTGTGTTTTATATTTAAAGAGAAGATAACGCCAGAACATACTATAGTTGGAAGCATTTAATGCGGAATTAGAACAATTCTTTTTGGGGTAACATTCCGTACTTTGTTGTCTGCCAGTATTCTCCAGATTTTGGTCTACACTCTGCCTACACATTCTTCTCTTGTTAGTTTGCGTAGATGTTAGGTCCCAGTCGACGACTGCGAGGTGCGCAGTCAAATTTGAAATGGTGATGATTTCTTGATTCATGTTTGTTCATATTAGCTGAAAATGTCTTAAACGTTTGGAAATTTGACTATGGAAAGTGATGGGACTATGCTTGATGCTGATTCTGTAAGTCTAAAATTAATTGTATTTCTTGCGTGTCGAAAATGACCATGGATGAAATGTTTTTAGTTTACTGACTTCGTTCTGTACAGCCAGTGTTCGCAGCTCACTTGGAGGTCGGATTTCTCCTAGGTTTTGACTTCATTGGAAAGAAGAGCTTTGATCAGTTTATTCTGAGGCCTTTCTTGCTTATGAAATTGTAGCATTGTTTAATTGTCGTATGAACTTATATGAAATACGTTTTAAAAATTAAATATGTCCGAATGCTTGAGAGTTTTTACGAACGTCTGCAAGATTTGCATAAGTCTGTGCAAACACAGTAAACATCTTTTTTAAAATCATGCAAAACGGATAACATTAAAACAAAGGTTTTAAATATTCCTCTTACATGCCAGACTGTAAAATAGGGCAATTTTTTTTGAAAAGAACAATAGTGAGTGTATATCTGTCACAGTTTCCCTAATCATAATAGATTTTCAAATTCTCCTTGATTCATTTAATTGATTGAGCTCAGATAGGTTTGCAGAGGCGAATGCAGACCCGGTTTATTGTTGTTTTTTTATGGTAACCAATCAATATATTTTTTACCTTTATAGTTTGTTTTTGTATGTACTTCTAGATTAATGTTTTTATATTTTCAATAGCAGGAAGACACTGTGCAAGCTGATTCAGATGAAACAGCTTCAGCCGATGAGACAGAGGAAGTTGATATACTGAGTGACTTTGTATCTTCAGACTCGAACTTGTGGAAAAATAATTCAGATGTAGGAGCAAGCGAAGCCAATGAATCGGAAGATACTCCTAGTGCAACAAGCACATATCTTGGTGATCATGATTATTGTGTTACACATACTGCTAGTAAAGACAGTGAATCCAATTCAGCAGCTGGAGATAATAATGAAATTGAAACCAGTGAAAGGGATGATGTTCAAGTGGAAGCTAGTGGTCATGAAAGTTCACCAAAGCTCATTGTGGAAAGTCTAAATGTAAAACAGGTGAAGGTTTGATATGGTTTCTACTTTGATTTATATTGATAATTAATAGTTGAAAACTAAATATCATTAGCTTACTATCAAGATGGGATACTAAAAAAAATCAAAGTAGATGCAAGATTCATAGATAAGATCTTTGAGGAATGCTTGTCGAAATAATAGTTTTTCGTTGTTTGTTGCATGAACATGGGTTTTCCAAGTGCAGTTTTCCCTGTTACAAGAGATAATAACATGTTTTTATGAGGTGTTAGCTTGTTAAAAACATATTTGTACAAAAACACATGCATCTGATGAGAAAGAGTCTGAGCAATATTAAATTTTAGCAATGTTTGATTCTGACTATGAAGAGGCTGATTGTGATGAGTTTTATCTATCATAAATTGTCATTTTAAATATACTTTTCGATACTTTAAACAAGAGTATATGTATTTTGTCTTGTTCTCCCTGTTTGAAAAATCAATAGTTGCTACATATTTTCAGTGTACAGTGTATTTAAATAGCAACATGTGTCTGCTAATGATTTTCATTACCTAAATATTGCCTATGAATGTACACTATGGTATCAACATTTGGGATACAAAACTTTCATTTTGGATAATAGATTTTCACACCCTAGTATCCATTTGGATACTTGTTGAATATTTAAATTTAGGTCCCTGCTCGGTAGGCTAGTGTCATAGCATCTGCGATCTTGTTGTAGAATAATGAAGTCAGTGTTTTTTATTGCAGAAAGAACAAGTTTATTGTATTTGTCGGAAACCGGATATTGACCGGTTCATGATGTAAGTAATGTTAATAACTGACAACACAACAAAAACACTACAACAACAACAGCAAAACAATTACATCAATACAACGGTGAGCAGAGGTGAGAGGGGGGGACCAAGTGTGCTGCAGCCCTCCAACATTTAAGTTGTAGATGCTAACCTCCTTATATTTATTGTTATTAAGAGCCACTGTCTTTTCAATTTTTTTCTTATAATAACTGACCCTTTTTGACAAGGGAAAAACCGTTGACGTAATGAATTCTCATGCTGTCTGTCTCTCTCATATAAAATGAAGTATCTATAATTTTATTGACTCTCAGACTGTTCGTACTTTGCTAAAAGTTCGGAATTGTACACCTTGCCACAACTTTTCTTCTTATTCAGCCCTCCAATACAAAACATCCTCCGCCCCCATTAAAGGCTAATCTACAACAGCAACGCTCCAATGTCAATACAGCGACAGCACAACAACAGGACACTATAAAAAGTAACTAACTCCATTACATCTTCATTTAAGTTGTTGCGATGCTTGTGACGAGTGGTATCATGGTTCTTGTATCGGCATTACGAAGAAAGATGCCAAGAAAATCAAACAGTTCTTCTGCCAATTTTGTCAAGGTATGGTCAAAGTCGCTAGATTAACAAAGCCAAAATCTAAGCCAAATAGCTAATCTAAGCAATGATATAAAAGCTAATCTAAGCAATGATATAAAAGCTAATCTAAGCAATGATATAAAAGTATGCAAGAAATTTCTGCAATTGCTGTTGTTTTGCTTTGTTTTAAATCTGTTTTTATCTTATGTAGAAAAGGATCATAGTCTTGAGACGAAATATAAAAGGAATTATGTTAAATCCAGCGAGAGTTATCAAGATACAGATGAAAACGATGACAATCGCAAGGTATGGGCAAACTAATGCTTATTAGTTATTCTGACGCATGCTCAGTCGTTTACTTTACGTACAGAACTATTCAGTACCATTCAGCACACATACATACGTAAGTTCCAAGCGTCAGAAGTAACATGAATAGGAGAAAATAACAGTTAAATCACGCGGCTACAATTTGTTTTGAATAGTTCATTTTTATTATCTCTCTCGGATGTTCCATGAAAAAATTTCATTCGCTTGCGAGCATTTAAGACGCTCAATTGCGCGATGTTACGTACTTTGATCAGAAAACTTTAAATCTGGAAGTGTTATGGTTGTGCCAGCGTTATCAATTTAAAATTTTTGATGTTTATCCTAAGTGCTGATGTGTATTTTTGTTCGTTTAGCAAACAAAGCGAAGCAGTAGAAAATGTGGTGCTTGTACTGCCTGCCAAATTGAGACAGACTGTGGAAAATGTGATTATTGCCTGGTAAGTTTTGTACCCACTTTTTTACAAGTAAACATCAATGTCTGTTTGGTTCATCTGCCCATGCAGGCATGCCGAGAGGGGGGGGGGTGTGCATTTGAACCTCTAGATTAATGTAAAGCCAGGGAAATTGAATTTTGATATTAGATGTATGAGCGTTGGGTTGTAGGGAAGTCATTTTCTAAGACTGCTTCCGGCTTTAGAGTCACTTTAATAAAATTGGAACGATACAGAGATGATTAACATGGCCCCTGCGCAAGGGTGACACGCAAATTCGTGAGGCGTTTCAAATTTTTAACGGGGCGGGATAGCTCAGTCGATAGAGCGTTTGCCTGGTGATCGCAAGGTCCCAGGTTCAATACCCGCCCTCTCCAGCTCAGCGTATGAGTTGCGGAAATCTGATTTGCTCGGTAAAGTAGCAGGAAGCTGAGGCCAACAGTGGCGCTCCACCTCAGCATAAACTTCCTCGTTGTTCGGCCGTTATCGGCTTTCAGGTCACTTTCACATGACCTAACGATACTCCAGCGTTGAGACCATTCATTCAAATGAAACATATGCTTTAGTTTTATTGCTGCTCCAATGACTTTAATGTCTCAATTTCACAAATATCTTGTGCGATTCATGCCCTTCTTTATCTTTCATTGTTTGATAATTTTTTTTGTGTGTTGCAGGATATGAGAAAGTTTGGTGGACCGAATAAAAAGAGACAAAAATGTCGTTTGAGACAATGTCTTAATAAATCTTTGGTGCGTTCAAATATTCACTGTTCACTGCGAAATCGTAAATGTTGTTGTAAATTTTGTTTTTGTATTCGTTTGGCAGCATTTGAATCCGCCAGACATGATATGGAAGAATGATGAACTGCGTCAGAAAGTCAGAAAAATACGGCAACCAAAGGTTGGGAGAAGTTTAAAATACTTTAGCCCTTGAGCATATAAACATTATTACAGATAATACCTTAAAATTTAAGGATTTTCCGAGACTTAAGTTGATTTTTGAGGATTTTTCAAGATTTCTCCTTATTTTTTGGATTTTAAAGGATTTCTGGGATTTTTTGATACTTTCGTGACTTTTCAAGTCTTTTAGGGATTTTAGGGATTTTTAGGCATTTATAGTTTTTTGGAGATTTTTCAGTATTTTGGGAGATTTTTTATGTATTTTTAGGTATTTATTGATAATTTTTAGGGTTTTAAAGACGTTTTAAGGATTTTCAGGGATTTTTTGATGACTTTCGTGATTTTTAGGGATTTTTCAAGATTTCTATTGACTTTTTGTGTATTCAAATGTTTGTTTTTAATTTTAGAGATATTCTGGGATTTTTATGTATATATAATAACTAGCATCAGCTGTATATATATATTTATATACATATTGGTGATAATATTTACAGACAGTGTAATCGCTAATTTCTTTTTTTATTTCTTTTGTTTTATTGTCAAGCAGGGACGTGATGTAAACGATCGAAGCGATAAAAGCATGCTGGGAAGTTGAAATACACACGTCATAACAGTGGCAGACAGAAAGTTAGTGCATCGTAATTATTCAAATTAACGGCGCGGCGTTTATTTAGCGCTTTGCGATGGGGTGTATTGAACTAAAAAAAATGAAATGAAATGAATATGTGGCCATAGACTGAGAAACACAATGTGTAGTCTCACTTTGCTGTGCTAGATCTCTTTGCCAAGCACTCTTCTTTGGCAAAAGTGTCGGACAATTTCTTTATTTCGCCCGCATGTTTATAAATTTACGTACTGTAGCTAGTACCGAATGATTTTCGTTTCAAAATAAAATATTCTCTTGGATTAGAGTAAGTCGATTTTTTCAAATGTGCTTATCGTAACTGCTTGTTATTGTTCTTGAAGCGTCAAATGAAAGAAAGGAATCGAGACGTAAGAGGCGACTTTCCTTGTGGGAAAATCCAACTGTAGAAGAACCACGACAATGTTACGGGCCACAGTGTCAAAAACGTGCCAGATCAAACTCTAAATACTGCAGCCATGAATGTGGTGTACAGTTGGCAGTAAGGTAAGAAGAAAATAAAGAGTTTGGTAGTGAAGTCTATCCCCTACTAGAAAAAAAGCAATTGACTTGTGTACATCCTTCAAAATGTTCACCCCTTCTGTTGGTTAGTTGTACGAACCAGGGAACTCTGGAATTGATAGCGCTGGAAAATCACTTTGTCAACTTTTTATGTCACTCGTGTATGTTTTCTCGCGAAAAGTGTAGTTGCGATTTTCCATATAAGCAGTTTTTGCTATATGCTAGTTTACATTGTACTTGCTTTCTTTTTAATCCTATTTCGCTCTCTCTCTCTCTATTAAGACTGTGTTCATTATGATCCTCTTCTTTCCTTTAAGACTGTGTTCATGAGTTCATTATGATCCTTTTATTTTCCTTTAAGAGTGTGTTCATGTGTTCATTATGATCCTTATTTTCCTTTAAGACTGTGTTCATGTGTTCATTATGATCCTTATTTTCCTTTAAGACTGTGTTCATGTGTTCATGATTATCCTCTTCTTCCCTTTAAGACAGTTTTGATTTTGACTTTCTTTCTCTTATTTTAGACGCATTCAGGAAATCCTGCCTGGTCGAGTCAAAGAATGGCGAGAGACGCCGTGCATAGCAAATGAAAAAGCTCAAACGAAGTTGAAGGAACTAAAAAAGATACAAGAGGTTTTGTATGAGCATTTTTGTTACATTTTCTCGTCGTAATTTTAAACTTTGATGACATATTTCTGATTTGATATTACGTATACAGAAAACCCGTGCTCGTCTGTTGGAGCTTGACGAAGAAAGCAAAGCATTAGACCAAATTATCGAGAGAGCGTCGCATTTAACTGTAATCAACGAAGAGGTGTGTGAGTCTACTGAAAGACGGATATTTACTTCTTTCAAAACATTTGCAACCGTTTGTACAGAAATGTTTTTATGGAAAAATCCAACCATCGGAATGTATTTTGTCGTTTAGTAATAAGTTTCAGAATTTCATAGCTTTTTGCTTTGTTACCATTTGTGAATAATTGGTGGACAATTTTGTCCTTTGTAATATAAGGCATCTTTTTGTACCTTTGTTCTGCTGGTTGGACGGGCCGTATTGTTTGACGACAAATATGTCATTGTAAATTCTAGGACACGGAGTCTGAAGTTGACTCGGAAATTGAAACGAATATTTACTGTGTGACATGTGGAATTGCTCTTTTACCGAAAGTTGCCCTGAGACATATGGAAAAATGCTACATGAAGGTGAAGTTTTTGGTTTATTTTATTTCTTCATCAGATGAAAATATGTGTATAGCGTTAGGAAATACAGTTAGTTCAGCGCGTTTTTGTTTTTACTTCATTCATGGGTAATGTTGCTGAAAAGTTACGCCATAATGACGTCAGAGCGTACAAGCGAACTCAAGGATTTTCAGGGATTTTTTGAGGCTTTTGGTGATTTTTGAGATTTTTTTCGAGGTTTCTCTTTATTTTATTTTTGGATCTGAAAGGATCTTCAGGCATTTTAGGGTTTTTCTAGGATTTTCATGTACTTTCAGATACTTTATTACGATTTTAAAGGTTTTTAAGGATTTTTCAAGGGTTTTCAAGATTTTTTATGTGGTTTGAAGGATTAGTAGACATATTAAAAGACTGCCAACCAGCCAGAAGCATCAATAAATTAGATATTTAGATAGCCAAATAGATACACAGATAAATGATTGATGATTTATTATACAAAAGTGGAATAAGTTTTAAGTTTAAGGTATTAAGTTAAACGAACTATTTAAAACCAGCAATTTTACGTTTGCATGTTGAAGGCAAATATTCTATAATTAATTAATATTGTATTTAAATCATTGAGTTCTATAATAAGTTCTATAATCATTGAGTTCTATTAAGTTCTATATTGAGTTCTATGATATAATATTACATTATATTATCATTGAGTTATATTGAGTTCTATTTAGTTATTATAGAACTCAATGATTTAAATCTGCCTTAAATATATAATTAATTAAAATATGTAATTAATATTATATTTAAATCTGTCAAGTATGAAGGACAGTTTGAAATAGTTTGTATAACACGATAGAACAACAAACGAGATAAAGTTTTTTGGGTTCGTCAGTTTGTTAGACACAGCGCAATGTCTACGATGTCATAACTGTTGTTTATGTTTTGCTTTTAGTATGAATCCTTTACTTCATTTGGTTCAAATTTTAAAAGTGTCGGGTAGGGTTTCAATGCTGTTTTTTCCTCACACAAGAAAACTGCTATATGTGCGTATTTCTTTTCTTTCGCAGTAATTTATTTTGTGACTTTTACAATGCTCAACAGAAGACATATTGCAAACGACTTCGCGTCTTATGTCCAGAACATACGAAGGAAACCAAGGTGGGATTTTGTATTTCTATTTTCAAATGGCAATTCTTTGAATGTCATTGCTAGACTCAGTCATGATTACTTTTCAGATATTACCAGATGAAGTGTGTGGTTGCCCTTTGAGTAATGAAAAACTGGAAGAGACAAAGGAACTGTGTTGTATTGCAAAGAGGACTTGTGTGAGGCATTACTGTTGGGAAAAATTACGACGTGCCCAGATTGATGCAGCTCGAGTTCATCAGGTTTGACTGAGTTAACATTCCCATTTGAAGGGGGGAAATGATGTTTTGGTTCATCTCTACAGCTATCTCAAAACCAGTATTCTTTGCATGTGAGATTTTTCTGCAAATTATAATTTACTGTGAGATTTTATCAAAACACGTTGTAAACTGTGTCCTGATGAAACAGGCACTTTTTCACATTCATAAAACTTGTTGAAAACCTGTTTACAATGACTTTTAACTCATTTTAGTGGCTGAAACTTGAAGAAGCATTTGAATTAGAAAGACAGACAAAAAATGCCATGAAACAGAGAGGGGGTGTTCTTGGCCTTTTGTTACATAGAACTATTGTTCACAGCTAAAAGTAAGATTCGTGTACCAGCATCACATTTGCTGTTAATATTATGCCAGGTCAACACATATGTACAATTATGGATATCAATGGATTTTCATTTTAGACTGGAATCTAGCTCCCCTCCCTCCCCAAGTCATCATCCTGCCAGCTTCATGGAGGTAATCAGATATGTTGCTAAAAGGGAAAGCATCAAAGGTTTGACTACTGCCCTTTATGCTTTCTTTTCTTGCTACAGATGATTTAATGCTTACCACCAGCTAATGTAACCTTCTTCGTGAGAAGGTTGGAGGTAATATGGCATTAGGAATTTGAACTGAATAAAATTCTATGTTTGTGATACCATACCAACTTTACTGAACCAATGATTTACAAATGACTTTAATTTTTTAACAAATATTTTTTACATGGCTCTCAAATTTCTGTTTTTATTTAATCATCTGAACAGCATTCAACCAAACCCCAAATTTTTTCCATCACCTTTGGTTACATGATGTGTATTTTCCCAAGGTAACATCATAATTGACTTTGTCAAATACAGATAAATTAATTTTTCTTATTGTCAGAAAAATTGATGTTTATTTCATACTTCAATTATCTTTGCATCACTTGAAATTGTTGCATCTCTCTGGCCTTTGATAACTTTACCAATGATCCAAGCTGGCCGTCTCTCATCAACGAGAAATGCCTCACAAAATCCCTTGGCATCCTCTTGGGTCATTGCTATCAACAGTCCCCCTAAATGTACAAATAATATTAAGTGTGTAGCAAAAAACGTGTGAACTTTTTTAGGTTTGAGTAAAAGAAATATTATTAACATAAAAATGAAAGCAATCAAAATCACCTGAGGTTTCTGCTGAGTAACCATCGACAAGTTTAAAGTTGATTGGCGATGCCTTAGCCACAGCATGCATGTGTGCATAGATTGGTAAAGATTCAATGACAAATGAAACTTCAGCTTTCTGATTTGCAGCAAGATTTCCAGCATGCCCCAAAATACCAAAACCTGTTACATCCGTGGCTGCATGAGCATGAAACTTGTGCATGAGCTTAGCTGCAACTCTGTTCAACCGTGCCATGCCCATCATGGCTTCTTGGTATGCATTTTGACATCTTCTTCACTCACAACCTCTTTGATTTTATTCCAATACTTTGGCTAAGAAGCATGAATAGTGTTTGAGAAGAAAGTTTGGGGTAGAGCCTCCCATGTGTGTGATTTCTATGCTTAAATGAGGATGTAATGAATCAAAATAGACAGTTGCTTAGTACCTGCTCTAGCCATTGATGTGCATTGACTGCTATTTGTGTACCCAGTGGTTTGGTCAAAACTAGAACATCTCCGTCTACGGCATTTTCAGGCCTATGTATACAGTTTTGTGTATCAAAATGATTGGAACTCACATTTGTATAAAGCTACAAAAATTTTCTGAATCAGCCATAAGCCTAAATACTCACATTATAAACTCTGAAGACGACACAACAGACGATGCCACTCCACCAATAATGTACCATGGATTGAGTACTGATTGTCCACCATTTACAGTCGTCCCAGCTTCCTTTGCAAGATCATTGAAACCATTAATGATAAGTGAAGTCACGACCTCTCTTTCTTTGGAAGTCATGTCGATACTAACGCCCAACAACATCAACATGTTATCACAATCAGTCACTCCCATCGCGTATAAATCGCTCAAAACATTTGCACATGCAATTTTTCCTTGGAGATAAGGATCGTCCACGAGAGGATAAAAGAAGTCCGTTGTCTGCACGAGACTAATACCCTTGTGACGAGTTGGAAGAACGCAAGAATCAAGTCCAATTCCAATTTGTCCTTCGCCGTTTTCAACGCCCAGTCCACTCAGGAATTTGCGAAGTTGTTCCTGAGGGACTTTACATCCTCATCCTTTTAATTTTGTATAGTTTGTCAAACGGAATGTGGAAGGAAGACCATAATCTTCAGGTAGAAACACATTTCTCACTGCTTCTGACGCGGCCATTTCTGTTTGTGTGCCGGTGAAAAAGTACTACATCCATCAGAAGAAAAAAATTAATCTTCGGGATTTCCGCCTCCTTTTGATGGATGTCTCTAAATTCCTTCACAAAGGCGAAATGTGGATGTGTCGAAAAACACGAAGATGTGATTCTCAACCGGATAATTATGATATTTCTTTGATCGCAGGAGACGAGCGTGTTTTTGGTATGTTTGATAGACAAATGTGCTCATGATGTGTTTATGTAGAATTGCAAGTTTGCCCATTTAAATGCAGAAATAGCTGTAATTTTATTAGGTTTATTGTACTTTGGTCAAAACGGCGTTCTACGGGAAATTCCGAAGAGCTCCGGCCAGTAAATTTTACAGTTTCCATGGCAATTTAGTAAAATAACAATATGGCGTGAGAGAAGCTCGGTGAATTTGTACAATTTGAAAAAAACGCTTTTAATTCTTCGGAAAATTACCGTTAAACACTGTGTTTGTGCATTATTTAGAATCAGAATGTCACATAGGTACGTTATTAAAGTTTTTTTGGTATGTGTGCTTGCCAACAGCCTGCCAAAACGTTTTCGTTAATGCAGAAGAAAAAGAAAATTCAAAACTATGAAAGCATTTTCCTGTATAATTCAATTTCTCTTCTCTTCCATTCAGTACTTATAATAGACAGTGGAATGAAGCAAACAATGCCTTGGCTGACTTACTTGAATTTGAAATTCCTTCTGAGCAACGAAAGCAAGAGAAGGTTTTTAAATCTTTTAAATAATGTGAACGTTCTTAAATTTTGTTTCGTAAGGAATTGTTACAGGTATTTAATATCGAATTTGTTGTAGATACAAAATAATATTGAAGCGTTTCAGTTGCTTGCCGTGACCTACGTCAAATATATTCAAATATATCGAAAATTGGAAGAATGTTATGATCAGGTTAGGTTGTTTGCAAATTCTCTTTGATTTATTTAATTGATTTATGTAGCTCAGATCAGCTTACACAGGCTAATGCAAAGTCAGCTATAGATCAATCAATGAGTATTGTTCACTTTTAGTTAATATGTAATTGTATGCCTTCCATATCATGTGTAAAATATGTTAACATATTGGTATTTTATGACAGAATCCACAACATTTAGTAATTTATGGAATATTAAACAAAGACAACTTATAAAGTATTTTGCATACCTTCAACTGTTCATTCTTTGTGTTTTATAGATTGTTCATCCACAAAAACGAAGAGTAATCCGGCATGTTCTTGATGGCACCATAGGAAGGTTTGTAGAAGTGTTGATGTGTTGATGATGGTATGTATTGCTTAATAATACTTACAATCTCCATTGATGCTTAGAATTTTAGAGTTGAAAAATGACATGGTTCTATTGGAACATTCTGAATATCATTATTTTGATGACGTTCTCTCGGATCTCAAACTTACACCAGTGAGTAGATATGCAAAGTGGTGACACTCTTTATTGATTATAATATTCCTTTGAATTGGGTCATATCGATCCTCCATGACTACCATCAATGATCACCTGTACGATGATAGTGTACCATGCCATGTCAATGTACCATAAATATCCATCGTGACCACCTACCATGACCATTCATCATGACCACCTACCATGACGATCCATCATGACCACCTACCATGATGATCCATCATGACCACCTACCATGACAATCCATCATGACCATCTACCATGACAATCCATCATGACCACCTACCATGACAATCTTCAGAGTCCAAAGATAACTGCCGCTAAGGTTGTCGAAACGTTAGTCAACAACAACAAAAACAGTCCTTCTCAGGACTATACTAACCTGGACGATCTACATTTACAAACATGTAACGATACTCCCGGGTTCAAACCATTTACTTTATCAAGTTGAAGTACATTAGAAAGCAGTAAAACTAACATATTAAGAGCAACATTGTACATATGGCAAAGGCCAGCTTACCTTTTTGCTCATTTTTTATGTTTCTTAGAATGACATCGAGATACCAATTCCCAAATATTTTTTACTGGAGAATAGTAAAAGTCTAAAAGAACGCGAAGTGTTGTTATGTAGCATTCTGGCAAAAATGCAACCTGCTGATAATGCTGTTGTAAGTCATTGTAAAATATTTTGTTGTTTGTTTCAATTTTTGAAATATTAGTTTTGTGTCTTAAAGAAGGTAAAGGAAATACCAATGTCTATGGACGAAGCAATCAAAATTGTACAGGCAAGTGTTGTTTAATCGCTGGCTTTGATATGCTACATTGTGTGTTAACCAGAAGTTTTTGCAATTCGTATTTTTTTATGATAAGGTTCATGAAAGGGCAAGACAAGGTCGACTGAGAGCCAAATTTATGCGTGAAATAAGGTATGTCATGTCTACATGCACTCTCTCATCTTCTACCCAACCCTACCCTTCTCTGAACTTGCCTTCAATTGTTTATTCTCTTTAAGTTCTGCCGTCCCATGCACAATTTTAGGGTGCAAGAGGAAAGAGAGAAACAAGCACAGCAACGTGGGACACCCGCCATCGACCCTGATTGTGCTGCTACTAAAATACAGAAAGTATGGAAAGGTTTTGCTCAGAGAAAAAAGACGAAGCAGCTTAGACAAGAGGAGTTTGAGTTTATTGGCATGGTACGAATAGAAACTGTGTGTATAACTTGTAATCAACATCCATTGGTACATACATGTAAATTCTCGATTATCATAGACAATGAATTTTGATGGGAGATCAAAAGCTCCTCCGTACATGTAAATGTTTAAATGATCGTGTGTTTTTTTTTCTGTTGTTGTCCTGCATTATTTGAAGTTGCTTATCTTAACTAAAGAAGCATGGATAATTTAAATCACGGCTCTTTGTTTTTGTTTAGAAAATGTGCGATGACGGTGCTAACTATAATCCGTGGAAGAAACCAGAGAAAGTTTGCGTAAGTCGCATTTATCTGAAATTCGTCTCAATGACTTTGGAGCTCTTCTGTGCTCACCATTAAGTGGAGTACTGGGAGAATTTTGCACCACAAACATGTTGCTGTTTCCTGAGCAATTTTAACAAATCAATTGATACTTTTAATTGATGAATGGCGTTATTTGCGTGTAGCTTGTCCCTCATCTTCTAGCTATAGATAGTTCTTATTTCTTACGAGATAAAACGCACAGGAATAGCATGTGACTTAAACCAGATTTTAACTCCACCACCGAAACGAACAGAGGTTTGGTGAGACTAGTTTTTTAAAACCAGGATTTATGTTAAAGCTTTTTTCATCATTTTCAGATTCGTCGAAGGGTGGTTCAAGATGATCACGAGAAAGAATATCAAGAGGTTTGTTGTAGGATGTGCTTCTTTTGTCCGATCTGTTCAAATAAAGGCAAGTTTATCATTTTATCCACAGGGTCTGGTTCACATCAAGGATAAATTACGGGATGTAGAGGGTCCTGACATGCGTGAAACTATGCAGGATCAGATAAGACAATGGTTTATTGAGTGCAGGTTTGTAAATTTTAATTTCACGAAAGAATTATCAAAGGTAATCAAAGTTCAGAAATGAAAGCCATCAGTTTCCTTTACATAAATGTTTATAGAACAATTAAGAATTTTCTAAACTTTTGTTCGTAAAGTACAATTTAACTATGGTATACACCTCTCTCTTCATAAACAACATTTAACTATGGTATACATCTCTCTCTTCATAAACAGCATTTAACTATGGTATACATTTCTCTCTTCATTAACAACATTTAACTATGGTGTACATCTCTCTCTTCATAAACAACATTTAACTATGGTATACATCTCTCTCTTCATTAACAACATTTAACTATGGTATACATCTCTCTCTTCATTAACAACATTTAACTATGCCATACATTTCTCTCTTTATAAACAACATTTAACTATGGTATTCACCTCTCTCTTCATAAACAACATTTAACTATGGTATACATCTCTCTCTTCATAAACAACATTTAACTATGGTATACACTTCTCTCTTCATAAACAACATTTAACTATGGTATTCACCTCTCTCTTCATAAACAACATTTAACTATGGTATACAACTCTCTCTTCATAAACAACATTTAACTATGGTGTACATCTCTCTCTTCATAAACAACATTTAACTATGGTATACAACTCTCTCTTCATAAACAACATTTAACTATGTTATACATCTCTCTCTTCATAAACTACATTTCATAAGCAATATTTAACTATAGTATAGATGTGCGTCCCAATTTGAAACATTCAACTTTATGGTGTACATCTCCGTTCTCATTTACAACATTTACTATGATGGCTATATATGACGCATCCGTAGGATTAGAATAGAGATCAGATATTGAAATTCAACAATTGACTAATTTCAAAAGGTCTTCTTTTTTTAATAATATTCTCATTCTTTTAGAGATAAAACGGGAAAGTTTCCAGACTATCCTTCGGATGATGAAGGTGGCTCTTCTTTGTTGTTTAAAGAAAAAACACCAGAGGAGGTATTGCGCCATCTGTTTTGTAAAAAAATGTTGGTTATACATTAAGTTTTATTGTATGAACATGCTTGGAAGTACAAACTACAAGAAAACGTTTCATCAATGGAGATTGTGCAATATCGACGATGCAACATCTTTCATGCACATTAGGCCCAGTAGATTTTGATAAACATTTAGTTCGTGAAAACACGTATTCTCGATAAAATGGATCTTTCACCATCCCCTTTTGTTAGACTAAAAAATTGTGAAAGTGCATTGCAATCATTTCCGCTATCGTCTTCATAAATATGCACTGTCTTGATGGAGCTCAATTTTTTAGTTATTTTTCATTCATGCGACTTCGTTAAAACTAGTGTAAAATAATTGTTGAACTGTTTTTTGTTTCAGCTTGCCCAGGAAGAAGCCAATCAAGTACGTTATGTAATCGCTGTATAGAGTGCCTTGAAACACGTGATGAATTCACGATGGTTTTGTGAGAGAAGTGCTCTTGCTCGGATTAGATTTTGGTGACTACCTGTTGCCTTATCTAGCCGGACTTTTTTTGTCAAGTTGTGTACTTTTTGTATTTTGATTGGCAGATTTTTGGAATTGTGTGCCCCATCACATTCTAATCACTCTATTCCATCACCCTAATTGATGTAGGTTATGTAGGTTTGTGTTATTTTAGTATTTGTAGGAAAATTCGCGCCTGTCCTGCACAGCCTCGAGGCAATGCTTGTATGGGTTCACATTTCCCCCCTAAATCCTTTCCTGATATGAAATATAATATAAATAGTGAGTTGCGTAGCATGATGTGGTGAAATTTTGTATAGACTGCATACGTGTTTCTTTGAATGTAGGAGGAAGACGGTGGGAAAAAGGGTAAAAAGGGAAAGAAAGGAAAAAAAGATAAGAAAGCAAAGAGTGCCGGTAAAGATAAAAAAGGCAAAGGCAAAAGCAAAGGAAAGGGAGAAGAAGATGTATGTATGCATATCTTATTTAGTGATGATTTTGTAACTTATTTGCACACCTTAGCGATTGACTACTATAAAAATGATTTATTGATGTTCTTAGGAAGAGGAGAAAGGATTTCAGATGTCCGAATCAAAGTTTGTTGGTGCCATAAATGAATCCGTCAACGCTTACAGAGGTATGCGAAAACAAACGAATAATACTGCGTTAAAGCTGTTGTGTGATCTGATGAGGAAACTTGTAGGTTGGATTTGCTTTGCTTTCCTCATCAACGAAGGGACGAAATGAATCTAAATACCTACTTTAAAATGGCAAAGCATATATATAAGGACATTCAATGATAATATGCAATGTTTTAATGCTCATGCTGACGTTTGCCAATGTCGTGATTCGAGAAATTACTCTTAATGGACCAAAGAAGGCGTAATGTGTATAAAAGAAAAGTACCCGTTAGACCTCGGGTACTCTTTTCACCTTCTTTTCCGCTCAAGAGCGTGGCGCACACGAAAACCAGCTATTGCGAGTGGGGGGATACTCTTCCGCACATTGTAGATATAGTTAAGGAAATGTTTTCTTTTGTTTTTACCTGCAACAAGCATACATGCGTGCAAATTACGGCATTTTTAGTAATAACTAACACTTCTGGATTGAGACGAAAAAAGCAATATGTTTCGTTAACGCGAGATCGTCGTTCTTTACTTATTTATAATATGAAATTTTTTAATATTCAGACGTTTGGCAATGTCGTGATGAGAGAAACAATTTTGAACAGAAATTTGATGCTGAATTAGTGAAGGAAGCAAAAAGGTTCGTCCATGAGAAGTCGATTGCCAAACACAGTCTGCCATATTCAAAAGGATAGTGATTTTGAGTTCACTGAAAAAGGTTGTTTTCTTTTTTCATCACAAATCAAAACATTTTATTTCATTGATTGTACGGTTAAAATCATAAAGCCCTTAGAAAAATGAAAAAACTTATAATTCAGTAGTTGACACTGTCCTGGCATCGTCCAACCTATCCTAGAGTGTCGTGCTAATCATGGAATTTTATTGTTCATGATTATGAACTTATAAATGTTTTCTTATATGCCCATATTTATTTTGTTATTTTTGCTGCCCTTTTTCATAAAGAATTGAAGTTGAAGCCGAAGTGCGAAAGCAAGTTGACGAATTAATGCGAGAGGAGTTAAAAAATCTGAAAATGGTTAATATGAATTTTTAAATGAACGAATCGTGAATATGAGTTGTGTTGTATCAATTATTACTACCTGCGTATATCTAGGCGGTTGACAGGGATAAAGCTGGTAAGAAGGGTAAGAAAGGGAAAAGCGGTAAAAAGAGTGGTAAGAAGGTACGATTAATGTATTTCACGAGGAAGTTAAAATTTTTATGAGTTTAGTAAAACAAAAGGTACTGATGGTTGTGAGTTATTTTATCATGCGATTTCAGAAAAAGAAGAAAAGTGGAAAGAAAAGTGGAAAGAAAGGAAAGAAAAAGAAGAAGGAAAAAGATCTGACCGCTGACCGGTACGTACCGAGATACAGTACATCTGTTATAGTTTGTCTGTCTGCCATGTATGTAGAAAAATCGTATAATGGATATAATCTATTAGGGAGAGGGGGGCTTTTGCTTTGTTGAACATAGAAAATTCGATGTAGCCATCAAATATGGCTGCTATAACAACGTCAAGAAGACAACACAGCACTGTTTGATGACTTATTACGCATGTACTTGATGTTGGGATTCTAACTTACATTTAATTATGCATGCAATTCCGCTGGTATTAAATATTCCCACGTACTCGAATAATAACTCTTAAGAAAATTTTGACTCTTCGTGTTTGAGTGTTTGTCCTTAATTTCAGTGATGAATGGTTGAGTTATATTTTTCAGTTAAAATAATGTATCATTGTATGTACTATATTTTCTATATGTAGAACTATAGAATCACTGTACGAAGAACTTGCCAACGAGGGTATATTGGTACGTCATCCTAAAATCAAATTGTCAGAATTCTTGGGCGAATTCAGGTTCGCGACGCTCATCAAAATTTGATTGATTCAAGATTTTTACCTGCAACTAAAGCTCAAACATTTCTCATCTTCCAGTTACCTTGGCTCGACTCTCCGACAAGCCAACATCGAACCGATGCCGTCGCTTTCCGATGTTCGACGTATCATTACGGAGTTCTGTATACTCCCCTTAGGTGCGTGGCCATATTGAAGACTTGACGGCGTTGTTTGCTTTAAGCCAGGGGTGGGCATGTGGGCATGTGTTTGCTTTAAGCCGCCGACTGTATCCGACCATTGAATATTGAATATTATTCATGTAATAATCCGGCCCACCAATAACTTCATTTTCCTAAATCTGGCCCGCCGACTGGAGAAGTTGCCCACGCCTGCTTTAAACGCGACGTATTGAAACATAGCAAGGCTGATTTAAAATTTTGAGTCATAGCAAGGGATGGGCACCGATACGTTAAGATGCGATATAAATGAAGTGGAGGGGTTTAAAATTGTGACGGTCGTATATGTATTGAAATTTACTCTCCTACAGAATTAAGCGTTGATCTTGCAGGTTCTCAAGCAATTCACGAGAGGGCTCCGTTCATTAAGTCAATGCTGATCGCCGGACCCAGGGGGGTTGGTAAGAAGACATTAGTGAGCTGCATCTGCACGGAGACTGGGGCGAACTTTTTTGATCTCACCGCATCGAATATCGTGGGCAAGTATCCTGGAAAGTCCGGTCTTAATATGATGATGCATATGGTTTTTAAAGTAAGTCAGGGCTTGATTGGTCAGGATTTAGTTGTGCAAGCGATCTATGTAGGCAAGTGGTCATTTTGGCATTCAACTATCGTGGTTTTAATTTAGGTTGCAAGACAATTGCAACCATCAATTGTATTTATTGGTGATGCAGAAAAAACGTTCATGAAGAAAATTCCCAAGACTGACAAAGTAAGTTTTTACAAGTTGTTAACTCTTTCTCAATTTCCGCATCTTACGTAATTAATATTTATTTTTTAGACCGACCCAAAGCGACTGAAGAAGGATTTGCCGAAGGTTTTAAAATCTTTAAAACCAGAAGATCGAGTTATGATTGTTGGGACATCAAAGTCACCTTTTGATATCCTTTTGTGTACCTAATTCTCCTTTCATATTCACCTTTTGTCTCAAAGTCTTCTTTTCTTGTCCTTAGTTATCCTTGTACTTCCGTTTTGTACCTAAGTCACCTGTTGATAACTGTTTAATGTTCTTGTGACCATTGATTGACTTCATCAATGATCACTTCCGTTATCAAATGAAAGATATTTTTCTTAACGGTAAACTTACACGCTGAGATAAAACCGCTGTGTTCTGCTTATCAGAAAATTGTCCTAGTTCCTAGACCAGATTATGCATCGCGATATTGTATGTATTATTATTAATTTGACTTAATATTTTTGATTTGTGGAAACGATTCCTAATACTTCTCACCCTCTAATAAATACCCACCAATGTATAGTTACATATACCATAGTTTATTTAGAGAAGTACCCACCAATGTATAGTTACATATACCATAGTTTATTTAGAGAAGTACCCACCAATGTATAGTTACATATACCATAGTTTATTTAGAGAAGTACCCACCAATGTATAGTTACATATACCATAGTTTATTTAGAGAAGTACCCACCAATGTATAGTTACATATACCATAGTTTATTTAGAGAAGTACCCAGCAATGTGTAGTTACATGTGCCATAGTTTATTTAGAGAAGTACCCACCAATGTATAGTTACATATACCATAGTTTATTTAGAGAAGTACCCACCAATGTGTAGTTACATGTGCCATAGTTTATTTAGAGAAGTACCCACCAATGTATAGTTACATATACCATAGTTATTTAGAGAAATACCCACCATTGTATAGTTACATATGCCATAGTTTATATTTTCCAGATGTTTTTCTCTTGTGTGAAGTATTGATTGTAGATCACTAAAACTTTTTTAACATTTTTCCTTCGATTTTTTTTACATACATGTTTTTGTGGCAATGTATTCATTATTATAGCTACCACATGCGTGCTCTGCATGACTTTACTGCTGTAAATTTGTTTTTATTTTGAGCTTGTCTCTAGACTTTGAAAAATCGTCTTTATTTTAATATCTTAGGTTTATGGAGGGAGCTTATAATCAAACAACAAGGAGTCCTTACAGATCAATTCGATGTCAGTTCTTTGGCTAAAGTCAGCGATGGCTACACTCCAGGTCATATAATTGAGAGTATAAAAGAAGTGCTGACCGATCACAGAAAACAGCAGGTGGGTGAAGGGAAGGTTGGAAAACAGCAGGTGTGTGAAGGGAAGGTTGGCAAATTGAAATGCACACATTACACGTGAGAGGTTCATACTGTTACTTTTTCAATTTTGGTTATTTAAAGTGAAACTAATCTGATGTAATGTTTTTGAATTGTGGTTTAACGAGCCTCTTTTGCCCTGTAAGCAGAGATTTCAATCTTTGCCGGATAGGAATTCATGTTCTAAAACCTACTTAAAAATAACGTCACTTCATTCACGTACGTCATTCACATACGTCATTCACCTTAGTTGCTTGAATCACGTGACTTGAGAGTGGGATTTATCGATATGATATATTGAAGTGTTCAACTTTTATACTCTTCACAGCTATCATTGCAGCATCCTCACTACATGCAGCTTTTTTAAAAACTCTGCGCTCTCTCTTCTAACTCAACCCAAAAAACAATGGAATTTTTTAATTCTATCATTTTTCTAACGTTGTTCCGAAATATACATAGAAGGAATTAAATATACGGGCAAAAATCTTTGAATCTTAAATGAATCGTATTATATTCTCATTCGTTAAAGTTGGTAAAGAAACCATTGACGGCGTCAGAATTTGTCCCATGGTTGGCAAAAATCGATCCCATTTACAAAGAAGAAGAAGAAGCTTTCAAGGTAAAGGCTGAACAGTTTTATGATTGAATCTAGAAGGTTTATGCCATTGGTTTATTTTCTGCCGTTTTGCTTTCTAACCAAAGACATGGTACACAAAAACACCTCTGGGCAAAAAACGGCTCAAGGCGGCGATGGGCGATGATGAGGACGACAAGAAAAAGGGTAAAAAAGGAAAAAAGAGCGGGAAAAAGGGCAAGAAAAAATGACGAAGTTCATGGTCTGTTTGAAAACCGTATGTTTTGTAAGATTGTAGAAATGTTTGTATAGATAACGAATGAAACATGTGTTTATAATTTGTAACGCTTCACTTCTACCGAAATATCTGTTTTTGGATTCGGCTATTACAGTCGACCACAAACAGTTCTTTCAAAGTTGTTTGACTTTGAAAGATGCTTTGACATTTTAAATACTCGAGGTTAAATTTGATTTCAGTCTAGTGTAGTCTACAAAACTGAACTGGCGACAGTGTCGAAAAAAAAACACTGAAAAATTCATGTGAAATTAAAACTGAACGCGGAGTTGAAGTTTTTCTTGTAGTTTTGAAACACAAGTAGGCATGCCGTGAAACTTCCTAACTTTCAAATAAAATTTGTCTGTAAAGAAAGTTCTATTTCACAATGGACAAATTTTACAGATAAAGTATTCGAAGTATCCAGGCTTAGCATGAAGTAGACAAAACACCTGAGAATGATGGATGCTTTGGTGCACAGAGTCTTATATTCATGTTATTGGTGTATATGTTTTACATACCGTAGCCATAGCAACACAACCTGTTCCTAAAAGGAACATTCTGCTGACGCATGTCTACGAGAATGAAAGGAATGCCAAATATCTCTCTTTTAAGATTGGTTTGCGTTTTTGTGTCTTACATTCATGATTGAAAAAGAATGTTTTTATCAGTTTGAATGTGCCAATTCTTGCTCTAAAACGTTAACCTCATTTTCATTACATTTGAGCGAAGTATTAACATGTCGTCGCTTTCAAAACATCACTTTTAAAGAAATGGCGCTGTGTCATGCACTGTCATGATTATTCAACTTGTGATGACATCATATCGACAAAATAATGATGTAATTATCATATGCAAATATTCCCAAGGCATAGTCTTTATTTATCGTCTTTAATCACTTTTATGTTATTATTGCGAAGACAAAGTCGTCTCATTTGTTCAATAAGTAAAAAAATGGGTAATAAAACTGATTGGGTAGAAGCTCAGATTAAGGGCAACAAGGTGGTCGTCTTTTCGAAAACCTATTGTCCATTTTGTGATATGGCCAAGAAGGCGCTTGCAGAAGTTGGCTTGAGCGATTACTTGTTGTACGAGTTAGATAATCGCGACGACGGTGAAGAGATAATGGATATTTTGAAAAGAATCACTGGTGGAAGGACGGTAAGTTTTTTATCTTTGTAAAATGTGTTTTCAAAACATATTCATTACATTTTTATTGTTTACATGTCACACATACACAGGTTCCGCGAGTGTTTATCGGTGGTAAATTTGTTGGAGGTGGCAGTGAAGTACGAGATTTTCAAAAGTCAGGAGAATTGGTATCAATGTTGAAATCTGCTGGAGCTTTGTGAATCCAAGAACTCTATTTTGTGGCATGAATTAATACTTGCAAATTTAGAATAGGTTAAGCTGAATAAATAGCAAAACGTGGGCGTTTTAAAGGCTGTGTTATTTTCTTATTGTTGCCTTTCTTTCGCAATTATAGGAAATATTAATTGGTGATTTTTGTACATCTTTGCAATTAGAAATGAATATTATTTTGCCATCATATTTTCCCTACCCTCATTGCCTTGGATGCTTTAAAAATTGATTAATTAAAAACGAGTTACTATTTACATTGTAAAAACACATTCCATTATGATAAAAACTAATCTTTCCAAATGGTAACCTTTGGTGGTTCTTCATCACTGAACTCAATATCACCCCAATGTTGTGGTATGTCAAGAGGACTTAGCATTGCCATTGACTCTTCTAAACTACTACTTGAAACTGTCTTTTTTTATTGACACACTTGGTCTATCAGGATTCTTATGGCATTCATTTTGTTTAACAGAAAAGGATTGTTCTTTATCATTTTTTAATGACGATGAGGTGCCCTCTTTTGTAATTTTTTCATCAATTTTAACAAGACCTTCTTTTGCCATTTCAGATACTTTTCATTAGAATTATTATTACCTATGATGTTTTCATCAAATTTATCATGTTCATGTTTCTCAGTGGCAGCTTCCACTTTGGTTTCAGTTTGTCTTCTTTTGCTTTTAACTTTTTCTCGAATAACTGACCGACATTTATTTTTTAGTTTTAACCTTTCAGTTGATATCACTTCAGTATTTGGTTGCTTTGTTCTAAACCTTTCAGCTTTTGAAGGGCGATTACTTATTTCCAGCAACATTTTCCCTCTTCCTTTTCCAGGCTTAATATTTTCGTTCAAACCTTGTGAATGCATTTGTTTCTTACATTCCAAAGGCATAGTTCTCTCGGACATGTCATTACTCAAGTCAACTTTCTCCGCCATTTCTTTGTCCTTTTGAATTTCCTTAAATCTTCTTTCTCGTTCCTTGTTTTTTTCTTTAATCCTGCGAATTTTTTCATCCAAGTCAACATGCTCTTCATGCTTGGAGCTTCCTCTCTCAACATGTTGCCAAACCATCTTCATTCTCAAATTTACAAAGTAAAAACAATTTTCAATTATGTATACAGGTGCTGCTAAGGTGCATAACCCAATAGGTAAACAACACAAGGATGCAAAAAACTGTGTTAGGATTAATATATGTATATACTCAGATGATGGCTTTGGAATAAAGTCGAAACAAGGTGCCATCCAGTAAACTGTTATAGTGGCGAGAATCTCTCGTCCATACGCAGTTTAAAAGAGATTTGACTCGTTCTCCAATCCCTGTGGGCTTGGTAGCTCAAGAGGTAGAGCGGCGGACTAGTATCCCGAAGGTGCGAGTTCAAATCTCATCCAAGTCACATGTTTTCACGTGCATATTAAAAAAAATGTGTTAGGATTAATATATTATGTATATACTCTGATGATGGCTTTGGAACAAGGATGCAAATCTTGTGGGAAATGAAGAGGACGTACATCCTCCCCACACTATTTCGTAATGTGTAATGATAGAGAAATATCATTACACAACAATGGATAAAAATTTGCAACGTTTGTACAGTAAACATGTAATATGACATGAAAGGTGTAATTTTATAGCATTGCATGTCTTTCACAAAAAAATGGATTGGTATGACTACTATTTTATTTTTACAAATAAACACATAATTCCGGCAGTTGAATGATTATATATATATATATATATTTATGTGTAGTGGTGTTGAGAAAAAATCACAAAACTACAGATTCATCCTGACAAGCCTGTTTTGTGATTGCTCACTAGCAATCCCAGAAGAGTGAGCAATCACGAAACAGGCTTGTCGGGATGAATCTGTAGTTTTGTGATTTTTTCTCAACACCACTATACATATTTACGCTCTGCTCTCGGGCATCGAGCACTGTTTTATACGGAGAATCATCAAATATAAACTTCCTATATATATATATTTATATATGATTGTTTATAATTCTTTATAACTCTCATAAGTGTATATGTTTATATAGTGACAACAGCCCTTAAGTCCAGTCTTCTTAAATTTTTGACGAAATTCTTATATCATAGGATTTTGACATGGCACTAATCTATAATACTTTTTAATGAATACAAAAACGTGCTCAATTCAAGTGTTGCGGTGTTGAACATCGGCAAAGCAAGTGGAGTTTTGGGGGCAAATCTATTCGGACAAGCGATGGATGCGGAAATTCGTCAATCAAAACAAATCAAAATTACGTGAAATAAAAATTAGTTTTTAGTTACGTACTTACGATTGCTGTTGTTCATTTCACCATAAAATTACCTATGTGATAGATTGGCGACATCTTTCATGACCTCTGATTGTTTATTGTTTACGAAGGAAAAGAAAAACACACTAATGATCATTGAACTAAATAGATGGAAGGCTACCTCAGTCGAAATTTTGAAGCCAATAGCTCCCAGTCTTTCCACGCAATGTAAACACACGGCCAGTGCGCTCACTTTAAGCAATTATCCTTAAAATAGCATTTTCTAAAGGTTTTAAGGATATTTTAAGGATGTTTTTATACTTTAAATTAAATATACACTTAATAATATTTAATAATAATGTTTCTTTACAAGTACAACAATGAGAAACTTGAAATCAGCAAAATAGGAGGAAAAACCATAAAAAACACTTTTTGCGACTATGTCATAACGCCTTGTAGCAATTTTTACAAATTTAAGGAACTTAATGGAAATTTGACGAATTTCCAAGCATTTTCTAATGAACAAGGAATTTGATTGTTACATGTTTGTATACAATCTTTATGCACAAGACTATAGTGTTTGCGTTTACACACTTTACGCATAGGACTATAGTGTTTGTTTGCCACACACTTTGCGCAAAAGATTATAGCCTTTCCATTTTAACACACTTTCACACCAAAGACTAAAGTCTTTGCATTTTTACACACTTTTACGCATAAGACAATAGTGTTTGCATTTTTACACACTTTTACACAAAAGACTCTAGTCTTTGCATTTTTACACACTTTCACACCAAAGACTATAGTCTTTGCATTTTTACACGCTTTTACGCAAAAGGCTATAATCTTTGCATTTTTACACACTTTTATGCAAGAGACTTTTTTCTTTTATTTTTACACACTTTCACACTAAAGACTATAGTCTTTGCGTTTTTACACACTTTTAGGCAAAAGACATTAGTATTTGCATTTT